GTCCTACAAGGTGTTGGTCACAGAAAATGCCGCCTTACGAACTGGTTTTGTAGTCGTTGAGATGTTTGTTCAGGAGTCGTCGAGATGTCTATGCAACCGCTTCCAAAATTTCGCACTCGACATGGATGCTGAGGACTTCCTGGATGCTCTGCACTTCCAAAGCAAGGCCTACACTGCCATTTGTTGTAGCTCCGGACCTTTCTGGTTTTCTCATGTTCTTCTGATCAGACAGAAACTTGGAGTGCTTTCGGCGAAAATGCCTCACCTGGCTCGCTCTGTCACTCGTCTCTCCCTCTTTGCAGAGCAGAAGAGCTGCAGGAAGTCAGCCAGCGCACCCTCATGCGCATGGAGCGGCGGATCGACAGCCTCGAGGCGATCCAAGACATTTGCAGAGAGAGAGAGAGAGAGAGATATATATATATATTTGTTTTTACTATGTACATAGTTTATAGTATATAGGATATATACAGGTATCTAATCATTATATATATATATACATACACACATAGGGGCATGGGAAAGCTCCTCGTCTCTGGCGACAGGCAATGGTCCGAATCCTTCTGGGTGAGGACCCAAAGTCGCCGAGCAGGTCGTTAAAGAAGCCGCCAACCCAGGGCGATCATAGTTTCGGACCCAGCGCGACTCCGTAAAAGAAGCCGGACCGGGAGTGGTGCTTTCAAGCTTCCACGTGGAGCTTGCCCCACAGGCCTGGGAGGGTTTGCCCCCGCCTCTTTTGTCATCGCAGGCGCTCTTCGGTGGAGGAATTCAGAGAAGCTTTCAGAATGTGAGCCTTGTACAGGGCGCAGTTTCACAGCAAAAGATATGGCCTAGTCATTGGGCATGGTATACGGAACGTTCAAAGCAGTTTTCTGGATTGCCTCCCACAACCCTCTTGATTTCTCAACCGCAGAAGTAAGCTGCAGGTCACCCACAGTACCGGTGGGACAGGGGAGTGTGTAATAGGGTGGACGTAAACAGCGCCAGCTCACGAAAAGGTCGGGGTGCTGTGACGAGTGTCGCGCCTTCCAAGATGTATGCCATCCTTGCCATGCATGTTCTCTTCTTTTGCTGCCTTTTGTTCGTCTTGGGTCTTGGATGGCCTGCAGTCGCCGAAGCCTCACCACCTGAATCTCAAGCCGATCTGCATCGCAGAATCGCTGATGTGAAAACGCCAATACGACGTCTAAGTCTTGCTGATTACTCGTCCTCGGACATCGTGATCCTCGTGAGGCATGACAACCCCCCTCCTCTGCCCGCAAGAAGCAACAGGGACAGCTTAACCTTGATAGCTGAGATCACATCATTTGCAACCAATGCCTTGCGAACCGTGCCTTAGCAGCTTTGCGGCAGATGCCTGGGCCCAAGACTGGGCGTACTTGACTTCGTAACTGGCTTTGTTAATGTAAAGCGCAAGCCGGTGTTAGGCCAGGGGTTCGCTTTGCGGCAGTGTTTGTATATACCCTTTGAGATGTGGCCATCCATCATGCTAGAGTCAAATCTCCAGGGAATCCTTGTCTTGCTTTGCAGACACGACGAGTACTCAGTACTGTACGAGCTGACGAGCTTCGGATCAAAATGCTGGTGCTGCCAGGCCCGATGGCAGAGCTTTTCCTCGCGGTGGTATCATGCACGTCGGAGCACGAAGATTGTGAGCAGCGGCGGCGCTCAGCACTAGGTGGTGAATGTAATGATGGTTGTCACAAGGTACGGCCCCCACGCGTCATGAACCAGTTTTATGGAGCTTAACATCTGTCATACATAACTCATGGGCAAATGGTGTGCAGGAGAGCAAGCGAGAGTTCGTGTGCTGACTCGCAAGGCTCAGCTGTGCGGTGGCCCTGGGCAGCAGTCGCTGCGCTCAGCTGCGACATGTCGATCTTCGAGGGATTCAACAGCTCTGAATTCCGCTGTTTATATGTATATATATATATATACACACACACACACATATATATATATATATATATATAGCTGTATATATATATATATATATATATATATATATATATATATCAGAGGCTACCGCCGCAGCAACGTGCCGACATCTTTGGAGGACCTTTGGGCAACAGCAGGTAGAGTCAGAGTCTGATGCGTCTGGGGCCTTCAAGGAAAGCTCCGAGGCTTGGCAGGTGCCACACGCTTTCTCTGCGGCGAGCTGAGAGGGTGAAGCCCGCCATGCCATACGATGACCTGCTGGCTTCTTTGTGGGAAGTTGGTTCTTCCGTTGCAGCACTTGGCCCAATTCGTCTGCACAGCTTTCTCTCAGACTCTCAATTCTTTAAATAATTCGTACCCCTTCGAATTCCAGGAGGGGGACAGTGTCTGTGCGTGTGTCCATGCCCATCAGGCCAATCGAGGAGGAAGAACCTTCTCAAGAAGCCGAGGAGGAAGAAGAGAAGAACTCATTTGAAGAGTGCTTCGATGCCGAGTTCGATGATTACATCCCGTGCACATGGAGATATGTGGCCAACTGCTTTCTTCTTCCGCTGACAAACGGTGGTGTGAACGGCTTTCCATGGTCGGGTGTAGCACTGTTCTTTCAGTTGAACGGCTGGCCGTTGTGGAAGCTCGGTCTTTGCAGCTTTGCAGGATTCGGCTTGCGAGTGATTATGGCCCTTCTTTACCTCAAAGTGGGAACTTGGGTGTCTCTTGTTACCACCAGCGTGCATCTTGCATGCTGCGTGCCGGCGTTGATCAACCCCTTTGCAGACTGGGCTGTAATCATGGAAATGGTGGCGCTGCTGGGCCTGGACAGCATGCTTCCGAATGATGCAATCGTCTTCTACAATTATTGTGACTCGGAGATTCAGGCGCAGAGAGCAGCATCACAGGCACGTCGCAGAAGAAGGTTGTAAAGCCAATATCCTCTTGCCTTACCAGTAAGTCTTGCACTCCTTGCTACTCGTATCTAGTATCTGCTCGTATAATTCCATTATTATTGGTTGGGGGATTTGTGTCAGGTGCTCCAGAGCCTTGTGGCATGTTATGCGACGGCTTCGACCTTGGGGGGCCTGGTCTATGACTTCGCAGGATGGCGTGGCTGCGCTGCGTACCACTTGGCTTTGCAGATACTCCAGGCTTTCCTGATATTCACAGAGCCGGCCGTTTGGGCCTCATGGTCAGAGTGGCGTCATGGGGCCTCTGTGTCAGACATAGATGCGGTAGGCGATAGACGCTCCACGGCCAGCATAATGCCGGTCATGGAGCCTCCAGAAGCTGGACGACCTAGTGGAAATCCTCCGTCGCTTGTTTGTGACGATCTCTTGCCGAGCCCACCAAAGGCCACCGCACACGTGGTGGAGGGTCCTTGTGCAGTGGATCCAGTGTGGAATGGCGGCACAGAGGCACATCGGGCCCGTAACTCGGGGCAGGAACAAAATAAGAAGTCGGTGGCGATCTCACGTGTGTCTTTCGCTGCCCCGGCGACCAGAGGTTCGATGCTGTTTGCACGTGGTAGCTTCGCAGGACGAGAAAGTGGAAGGGTGAGCACCGGGGCCGGTGGCGCCCGCCGCTCGCTGATGTCACGATTCCCGGAAATGCCCCGAAGTTCGGTCGCGGTGAAGATGTCCAGACGCTCGATGGCTTGTGGAAACATGATACCGATGAGCGTGCCACGCGAAGCCTCTCAGCTCATGTTCTTTCCCGAGGAGGAGGCGGAGGAAGAAGGATCAGCTGTACGGAAAGCAGGCAAGAAGACCATTCCTAGAGACATCATGGTTCCCGCTGTCTTGATATGCCTAATAGGGTTCAACCACAATCTGTCTTACCAATCGGAGTGGACCCTTTATGCGGTCTTCTTCGCGGAACAGCACGGCTGGCAATCCGCAACCTGGGCCGGTCTGGCTCAGACCTCCGGCGATGTGCTCGGCACGGTGATTATGAACTTCCAGTCTCGCTGCGCAGTTTCCTCAGAGGAGGATGGGTTTGATGGTGGCAGCTGCCAGTGGCTTTGGCATTCCCTAACTGCCAAGCCATACACCGCATCCTGGATTTTACTGTCTTGGGCGATCTTGAATTTGGCCCTGACAGCTCCATCGCTTCCGGCAGCAGTGGCTGCTCAAGTTGTCATGGGCACGGTCTTTGTGCTCTCGATGCAAGCAGCTACCAAAATGAACTTGTTTTACTCCTTGGGCGACGGCGATGTGTTTTTGGCATTGCAAGTGATGCGGCAGAATTTCGAGTCGTTTGGCAGTGCATTGGCTGCCTTGGTGTCTCTGCTTCTGTATGAACGCGTCCACCCGCTCGCGCCGTTTTGGCTGACGGCCGGAGTCTCCCTTCTCATCCTGCTCATCTACACGCTTGCCTTTTGCAAGCGTGCTGGCTTTGGAAAGAGTTTGGATACGAAAGAAGAAGAGAGGAGCCAGAGGAAAGGATTGGCACGAGAGAAAACTTGGCAGAAGAGCACAACTACCATGGCAGCAACGAAGCGCTCAAGTCTAGGCTCCGAGGACTAGCTAAGGCTAAGGGCTGTCATGTTTTAACTCACTGTCGGCACGGCACCAGTGGATACACGATTTTCGCTAACACGCCTTCATCCCGTGATTACGTTTTGCTGCTTGCTGCGGCTTGCATGTTTTTCTGTGCATTTGATGGCCTGGGACGCTGCAACGCAGCCAGGAACGGTCTCGAAAATTCGAGCCTGTCGGCTCAGTAGCAGGTTTTTTCCCACTGGAGCGTCCTCCTCGCTTGCTGTGTTGGCTAGTGGACGTGGGTCGATCAGATAATTCATGGGTTCGACGTAGGCCCCACACAAGCACATTCGCAGAAGAGAGGATGCCGAAGAATTGAACTGTAGCGGCAGGTACAGCATGGTACAGTCATGCAAAGCGGTAAGAACAGGATGCTGCGCGCTTTGACTGGATGACTGGGTCCCGAGTTCCTGAGTGCGTTCAGACTGGATGTCAGGGCAGCTCCTGCCGTGAGATGCAACTTGCTTGGCCGAGGTGTGCAATATAACTGTGCTTTTCGGCGAGAACAGTGTGGCCAATGTGTCAGTACCGATGATGCACCTGGGAGCCCTGACAGCACCTGTAGATTTTGGGGCCCCTTGTTGCCAATAGCCGGCAAGTCCAGCTCTGGCTGCCCAGGACAGTCGAAGAACAAGACGCTTGACGAGCAGAGGGCCCTAGCTTGACGCCATGTGCAGAGAGCACTGCGGGGCCCGCAAAACTGGTGCTTCCCGACGTTGTCGAGGTGGTTTCGGTTGGAGCCTGTCACTGGTCCAGATGTCCATGCGCAGCTGCGACTTTTGTTGCACTTGCGCCGGGATGCTGCAGGATGGTGAGCTTGCCGTTATGTTTGCGCAGTTTTTTAGATCGCTGAAGATGATTCGCGTGGTGCAGAGGAGACAAAGAGATACCGCCGCAATGCTTTCAACAGCTTTGCCAAGAACTGCTCCCAAAGCCTTCCGAGGACTTCGTTTGAACTTTGGGGTGGGTGCCCTCTTCTGCAGAAGCTCAAAGCCTCGCTAGGACCTGCAATCCGACACACCTCTCGATGCGAAAGATGGGCCGGCTCCGACCGGCTTTCCCGCCGAAATTCCTGCAGGCCGCCGTCGTCCAGCTTGTGAACGTATGAAGATCTAGCATTGCACAACGTGTACCTGCTGCCTTCGTGCAAGTGCCCAGCCGTGCCCGGCCAAGCAACTGACCATGTCGTGATCGAATGTTTGTGGCTTGGGGCCTGGGGCAGCGTAGGGAGAGCATCCGGCACGCGAGAATGCGCATGATGACGGAGCATGGGTTGACATGTGCCTGCGCCAGACGCAAGGAGCTGATGCTTCGGAGGCCTCCGCTTTTGCGCCATGCGAACTGCTCGTGGCATTCTATAGCACTTCTTTCATTCGAGACTCAGGAGGCAGCAGCATCGCAATCCCTGGCCTCCGAGCTCGAGGCATTGCAAAGGCAGCGTCTCTGGTGCGGCGATGCTGTGCGTTGCAGTGCGTTGCATCTCGGCAGCAGGTTGTGTTTGTCCTTGACAAGAGCGGCGCAGCCGGAGACACCGCAGCCACCCCGAGGCGACAACAAAAGCACGAACTACTCTCTCTTTCTCTCTCGAATGTGTTCAATTTTGCATAGACAGATATGCATATATGCATACAGGTATACACCCACGCTATGCTCACTATACATAGGTACATGTACAACCATCCACAGTTATTGATGTAGAGTTGTATAGTTAAAATGAAATGTATGTATATATATATATATATACATACATATTCTTCATGCATACCATGCACGGATAGTGGGCGATGGCACAAGTGGCGCAGTCGAGCCGCGCAGGTCCGGAACCGGTCGACGAGCCCCCGTCACCCCTCAAGGAGACTCGGTCTTCGTAGACGTTCCGGGGCAGGGTTAATGATGGGATCTGGGCTTGGGGTTTATAGGGTTTCAGGGTGTTGGGGTTTACGGCTTTTTACATCCTTCGCCCTTAAGTCAGGCTTGACCGCAGCTGCAAAGAAGGGGTAACAAGCCCAGGACTCAGAGCCCAGCATCTACGATGAAGCTCGGGCACAGCTTCTTGCGCAGAAGGAGGCCGGCAAAGCTCCACAGCACAACACGACGCACGACCATGATTGCTACTGCTCGAAGGCTCTAGAGCGTGAGCGATCAGAGTTGAACAGCCATTGGCCAGAGCCTCGGCAAGTTTGCCGGTGACCGGGGATCGTCAGTCCCACGTCAGTCCTCAGCCCTGTGCCGCAGTCGGCCTAGGTCCGCACTGCAAGCGGACCAGTCCACCAAACAGGAGGCGAGGTGGAAAGGTGTAGGTTCGAAGTGAGAAGCCTCTACAGTGCAGCTCATCACCGTGAGACGGTGCAGAGGTCCTGGCAGAGATGCGAGCAGAGCGACTTTCAATCTTTTCGAGCGTCGAGGAGTTGCAAGCCGAGGCATAGCCAGGGCCAAGGTAATGTACTGGAGCTCAGGATAAAATAGGGTTGTGGGGAAAAGTTGCGTATGTTATATATACATATATATATATATATATATGTATATATATATATATATGTATATATATATATATATATATATATATATATACATATGTATATATGAAGAGAAGACACTTTGATTTCATTACACTATGATAATATACACATAATAAAGAGCCCAAACTAATATTTTGAGTAGTAGGTTTCCCCAAAATGAGTTGGCTTGACGCTAGGTTGAGGATGCCACTGCCGAGCTCAAAGAGGCCTGGGCTTAGGGTTCAGGGTTTCGAACACGAAACACCGTGATTCCAGGATCTGGCTAGTCCCCAAGCCCAGTGACAAAAAAAGGGTTTGACTTGCAGGTCGTAGACTGGCTAGACTTGAGTCCAGCAACCAGGCGTCCTTGCATGCAAGCCTGCAGCAAAAGGGTTTAGGGACGACAGAAAAACAAATGCGACAAAGTTTGGACGTTCACAGCAGTGTCCGAAACCTGCGAGGCAGAATTGTCGCATCGCTTTTAGTTTGAGGCAACATGCCCATACGTCATGTACGTGCGCACATACGAACGAAAGTAGGTAGGTACGTACAACGCAGGGAAGGATGGATGGATGGATGGATGGAGGGTATATCAATATCTAGATCTGTATCCACATCGAAATCTATATCTATACTAATCTATACATCATGTTGATTGCTTGGCTGAGTTAACGATACTTTGGCTGGCATCTTTGGATTGGTTCGTGGAGACTGATTGGCTGGCTGGCTGACAGACTGAGTGGGTGATAGCTAGATTGATCTATGAAATGACTCACCGTGCTTATCGGGTTGCTTTGACCTGTGGTTCTGGGTTTATCATGGTTTGATCGTTTGGTTGGTCGGTTGATTTCTTGACTGATCGATGGATTGAATGATTGATTGATTGATTGATTTGATTTTTCCGTTTGATTTGATTTTGATTTGATTGATATGATTGATTCGATTTGCTTGAACTGATTGATTTGGTTGGTTGATGTGATTTCATTGGTTTGATTTGCTGAATGAGTTGAATGACTTGATTTGTTTTGGCTTGATTGGTTTAATTGACTTGATTGATTTGATTGACTTGATTGATTGACTGATTTCATTGGCTTGATTGGTTTGATTGATTTGGTTTGATAGGAATTTCAGTCATTTGATTGTGACTGATTGGCTGTTTGATTGACTGATTGATTGATCGATTGATTGAGTGACTGACTCACTGACTGATTGACTGATTGATTGATTGTTTGTTTGATTGACTGATTCATCGATCGATTGGATTGGTAGACAGTTTACTTGTTTAATTGCTTGGTAGATTGATTCATGGTTGGTTGGCTGGCTGGTTCGTCGAGTGTTGGGTTGACTGACGGCCTGGCTGCTTTATTGACTGACGGAGTGGGTGAGTGACTGAGTGAGTGAGTGAGTGACTGGCTGACTTACCGACTTACTGGCTGATGACTACCGACCACCGACTGACTGACTGACTGAGTTATTGATTAATTGACTGGTTGACTGATGATCGAATAGGATTGACTGGACGGATTGAATTGGATAGATTGATGTGGCTGATTGTTGGGCATGACTGATTGGATTCATTGGTTTGATTGATTGCTTGCTTGGTCGATTGATTGATAGATGCTAGTAGATTGGTGGATGCACGGATTGGATTGGTTGGTTTAACTGAGGGATTGATTGATAGGTTGGTCGGTGGGTCCGTTCGTCGTGACCATTCGCAGCAGAGCTTTTGCAGCAGGGTGATCTTCACACAAGGTCGAGAAACGTCCTCGCCTTTTCCACGTGCTTCGGAGTCGTATATGTGGAGCACGACGGCTCCAGGACATGAAACTGATGCATGTGCTGAGTGGGGCCGCAGCACCAGTTAATGTCAGAAGCGCCTCAACAGGCAAGTTTCAATCATTTTGGACGAGTCGTCATGTTCGCTTCGCTGACCGCCGAAACCACCCGATCAGAAGCATCTAGAGGAAGTCGTGGCTAGATGCGCTGATCAGCACCAGCAAAGCCCAGATCAGAGAGTGGCTTCTTGCAGGCACAGGCAGTATCCTCCAGTCGCTTGGCAGTGCGCCGTCAACTACAGGCAGAGCTGAACGCATGCGGCAGTCTCGGAGTGATCACTAATGCAGATTTCACAGATTTCAAGTACTTTCACCATGCCTAGTGAAGTGTTCCCTCCGACAGTCGGATCGGCAATGTGGTGCCACGGTTTTTCCTGGCGACTGGGGTTCCCTCGACACGGACTGAATGCTGCATGTGATGATATTGTGGCCGGCAAGTAATCGAGCCCACACCACACTGAATGTTTCAAGCCCATGCTAAGGTGCCGAAAACTTCAGCAAGGAAGCTGCGTGCCAGCGTGGGCTACCAAGCTCTTGTTTAGTCGGGGCTAGCTAGGCTTTGGCCCAGTTCTGCCAGCTTCGCACGAAGGCCGCTCGACAGAGGCGCTGCGTGTGCAGCGTGCCTCCCTCCGCTGCGAGGCCGTCGAGCTTGGGCGAGAGCCAGGAACACAGCCGCAGCAAATCGCAGCACCTGCAACCGTGTTGTCGTGTCTTGTTCTATCTATAAGGCTGCAGGGCTGCGTGGGCCGTGGAGACGAGCTGGTCTCCGAGAATCTGCGGCTGCGCACGGAGGCAGCTTCGCTTGAGGAGGCCGAGGAGCGCGTTGCCAGGGGCGGGTGCGGGTGCGGGGACGGGAGCACGAACTGCCGCGGCACCGTCTTTTTGGCGGGCCTGCGCATGGGTGCGTGAGTGTGGCTGGCTCACTGGGTGGGCAAACACGGGGATTGCAACCGTATTCTAAACATGAAACTGTAATCTAAGCATGCAATCAGACCTGACCTGTTGCTGGCCGGTTGCGCGTGAATCCGACTCAGTAGCAAGCGAGGCGATCAATAGAACCGTGCAGTGGAAGTGCCCGGACAGTGCTCTGCAGCATTTTTGGCTCTGTGGTACGTGCAGTACCAGCCGCAGCATCAGAGCATGACGGGGGCAGGTTTCAGGCGAACTTCGGTAGACACGTATGGAAGAAACGTTGAGTCCAGTCACTGCTTTTGTTTGAAGAGCCTGCATTCGAACCTCCCCAGCTGTTCTCCAGGCGCTCCTCGCGATCCCGCTCACCTCGGGCTTCTCAGGCCTTCGAGACTCGGGTCATCTTCCGCTGCCATGATTTTCCGGAGAGAAGTTGGCCCAGGGCAACCGATATGCCTACGACAATCAGCGCTCTGAGGAGGAAGGCCCGAAGCGACAATGCCGCTTCGTGGCTGCACTCCTGAAGTCAAGGATGAGTCAAGGACAGGCTTTTGGCAGAGTGATTCACCAAGGTTTCTGTGGAAAATGGGACACCTGCGAATTTGGTCGAGATGAGGAGTTCTGCAGCAGTTTGGGCCTCGAAGCCGCCAAGCAATGTGTTCTTTCAAGCAGATGCTCTGCATGCTTTGTTGTGCCCCTGTGATTCCTCGTGCTTAGAGGTAGCTGCTACATTGACGCTAGCATCCTGGCGGCACCCCGGGACGACGGGTTATAGACTGGAGCAGAGCTCTTTCGAGCGGTCATTGTCCAGGCATAGGCATCTTAAAAGGCACTGGTAAGCAGGAAAGCATACGATTACTGCCAGATATCAAGACTGCTTGGCAGCAAGAAAACTTAACAATCCGACATTGGTACTGGTTACTGGTACTACGACTACTACTACGATAACGATGGCGGCGCCATGAACCCAAGCAAAGCCCAGCCGAGCCAAGCAAAGCCATGTATGAATTAGATATGTTTACAATATATAGATTGTATTTTTCAGATGGCGTACATGCAAAGAGTACCTGTATGATAATATATGTATACATATAGATACTTGTGTCTGTACATACACACACACACCTTTTTAACATGAATATAAATATAAACATTTCCACATAAATATTAATATGAATATATATATATATAGATATGATCACATACATGCATACGTACATACATACATACATATCTAGTCTGAATCTGTATATACATATATACATACATATACACTTATGTACACAGTTTACGTGCAACGATACAAGAAAAAGGTAGAGGTGTGTGTGTGTATGTATATACATAATATGCAGATTATACATGCGCACATGCCGCGTGACAAAAATCACATGGTTTTAATATCTTTTGCATTCTGGTATGTATGTCTGTCTGTCTGTCTGTCTGTCTGTCTGTATGTATGTATGTATGTATGTATGTATAAATGGTCAGGCGCCTGGCGTTCCCAGCCCCCCCCCCCCCCCCCAATGGTATGGTCTGCTAGGGTGGGGGGGGGGGGGGGGCTGGCGTGTGCGGACAGGGGTCGGAGCCGTTGGAGCTGTCACTGGATGGTGCTGGCGGCCAGGGCTCACACGCAAGCCCTTCGCAAGCAAGCCGTAAACCCTATAACGCAGCGCGTGCCCTTGTTTTGAGTAACCTTAAGTTGTACTTCCAACCCTACACCCAACCCTAAACCCAACCTAACTGCAGGCTCTAAGCCTAAAGCAGAACATACACCGCAAGTCCTCCCTAAGCCCTTGTCGACTCGAAGCGTTATACCTTGTAACCGTAAACCCAACACTCAAAAGCTTAAGCTAAACCCTAAACCCCAAAACCCCACAACCACCCCACAGGGGGAAGAGGGACCCCACACCCCACACCACAGGGGAGGGGGGGTCCCACCCTATATCCGGACCATTGACCTTTGGGGGGGGAGGGGGGGGGGGCCGCGGAGCGCGTGACCATATATTAATATTAATATATATATATATATATATATATATATATATATATATGGCGTACAGTATTCATACGTGTGTAGTGAGTGTTTGCACATACGGTAGCTTCACCCACTTGTCAAAGCCTCCAAGCATCGTCAGGCAAAGGCGTTGAGGCCTTGGACTGGGATCGATCCGAAGCTGCATCGTGGCTACACGTCGAGGCGTGTAAGCTCGGATGCCGTTTTTTATGCCAGAGGTGAGGTCCTGGTGATTGTAATTAGCTGGAGCTGGTGTTTTACTCATCTTGCAATTTTCGTTGGGTCGTAGCTTTAGACCAGAACTCTCCCTGATGACATTGTCCTTTCTCGCAACTTCTATTCTTCCTGCCATCACGCGATTCCTTGGCCCAGCAGTTGTGGATTGAAGATCTCAGTTATCGACCTTTCCAACTCGTTCTGTTTCAGGGGCTCGACAGATGGAAGCGCCAGCTCGTCTCTGTTCTTCGGGATGGCCATTGCCTCTTGACAACACTGAACGAAGGCGTGGGTCTTCTGGTGTTCTGGCTTGGCTGCATCCTGATCCCGGGAGTGGTTTTGGCACAGGTGTGCTCCGCAGAGTTGGTGTTCCGAAGAGGAAGGCCAAAGAAGTGATGTATCTCGGACTGCAAAGTCAGGAAAGAAAAGCATTTCCGTCGTTTTGATGGGGCTCTGATGGCACGCTTGCGGGTCGGCCCCGGTCCGGAGTCTAGCGTTGCTGGCAAGTCTTCGGAGCGACTGCTCTTAGAACATCCTCCCCTCACCCATCCTGCTGCCCACTCGCCACCCGGGAAAACTGTAAACTATCACGCTCTCCAGTGGCTACATCTTTCTTGCACGTCTTTCTCCAGCGCGGGAGGGTTTCCGGCTGATGCTGATGCCAATTTGCTGCGCCCCGAAAAGTAAAATTGAGGATGCTATCAGGGTCTCTTCAGGACTGACAAGACGTGTCCACATGATGACGCTGATGAACCTCTCCTCCCAAGCTGTGCATGCTAAGCTCGGCAAGTACGGATGCAATAACAGAGTTCGGTCGAGGCATGATGTGGAAGACCTTCGCCGTGGTGCCTGGGCACAGCCAGAGCCACCAAGAGAGGTGCTAGCTGTAGTGACTCTGCTACAGCAGATTGCGCTGCGTGGCTGACAGCTCTGCCCGTCGCCCTTGCAGGAGGTTCCGCTGCCCACCGTCACCGAGCTGGGCAGCAAAGTGCGCCCAGGCCAGCCAGGGAGCAAGTGGGATTCCCGGGAGCTGGAACGGATCGAGAGAGCCGCGGGGCATCGATGCGGCATGGAGAGGTTGGCAGTACATGCTAAAAGATGATGCGCTTCGACCCCTGGCGGCAAGAGAGCCTCAGCCTTGCGATCTCGAAGATGTCGGACTGCCACGAGCTGCAAGGCTCCTACTCGTCGATGTGCCGCAATGCTGTGCCGCAGGCCTGAATGGCTGCTTTTGCAAAGGTTGCAGGTTGAGGCATGTCATGTGGGCTAGCAGTCGCGGTTTGACACAAACCGCCTGCAGAACCTTACCATTCTCAAGACCACGCAGGGAGTACAAGCACGAACTGACCCAAGGATTGGTGTTGATATGTACTCATGCTCGGTCATGCAGCCCTCCCCGCAGGACCTTGCATGGCGCTGGTATGAGCAGCTCCGCACACAGCTCCAGTGGCAGGACAGGCAATCGCCGTACATCAGAGCAAACGTGGTTTGCTGAAATCTATGGAGAGGTTTGAGACACGGTCAGCCATTCATGCCCATATCTTGAATCATGCTTGGGATGCCTAACATGGGTGGAGATGTAGGAAGGTGGGCGGCTTCGTGTCCGCCCACAACAGCCTCCAGAAACCGTGCGGTTTGTAGTAGACGAATGTAGCCACCACTCGAACAACCGTGCACAACAGTGTGGATTTGTGTTGCGCGGGAAACTCCAGTTCTGAATTTTTGACCAGCGAGCGTTGGAACCCTGGCTGTCAGGACAACTGCTTGGAGGGGTTGTGTGTGTCTTTCTGTGTGTCATCCATCCGAAGTACTGTTTGCAGAACAATGGCGGCCCTGTGCAGGACCTATGCGATGAGCGCTACCAGGGGGAGGGCAAGCACATCCCTCGTCGAACCATCTTCACCGTGTTCAACGGATGTAGTTGTGTCTACAAGTATTCAGGCTGGCCGGGGAGTTTGGGGTTCGGGGGGGGCGGGGGGGGGGGGGGGGTTTGCCATGCAGGTATCGTTTGGTAGGTGCACTTTTGTCAGAAAGCCGACCTTTGTTTGCTCTTGATCGAGGAGTATCCGTGAAGCCCACCATCGAGCCAGACTTTGTCGCCGAAATCCGCGACTGCATCTGATTTCATGCTATGTGACCCAATGAAACCGACGTTTCTTCGAGTCAGCTTTCTTGTAGGCGATCTGCTCTGTGAAACACCGCCATGTCGTCCGGTTGAAAGCAAACCTTATCAATCGCACGAGGCAAGTATTGCGTCGGCGTATCTGGACTCGCGACGCAGCCAAACTGCTGCAATATCAATCTGTACCGTGACCTGGTCGCAAGGAGAACGACCGGTTCTTGAAGCACAGTCAGTGACACTGCGAGACCAATGCAGGAGATGGAAGGGACTCGGTGGGTTGGCACACCGACGACGAGGAGACCTGCGATGTCCGCACGCACAGTGTCCCTGCAGCTTAATGCTGAAAACTTGGGGCTAGCAGATGCCGGATAAAAGCGGCTATGCTACACTCGAGACTCCTAGAGTCCTAGAGAGTCTGTGAAGCAGCAGCAATTAGCCGCAGCTACATACATCTTATGCTGGAGCACTTTAGTCCACGCCTGAATCTACAGCGACCGGCAATGTGCTGTCGCATTCCTTCACAGGAGCTCTTCGAGGGTGGATACAAAGACATTACTATACTGAGTCTGTCGCTGGGTGCGACTCGCACTTTCGAGGCGACGTCTCGCTTCCTTGCTTTGGACTTGTGGACTTTGGGAGTCTTGTATATCAGTATTTCATTATTGAGGCGTGCGTCGCGAGAGCATTTTGAGATGTGGGTGGTTGTCAAAATTAGGGTCCCTTTCTGGGTCCCTATTGTAATACGGCACCTATTATTTAAGGTGCCCAAAAAGGGACCCTAATTTTGACAACCACCCATGTACGTGACTCAGTTTGCTCAAGCCTGCGCAGGTGAAAAAGCAACCAGGCCCGGGCGCTAAAGGCAGTGGTAAAAGCCACAAAGGACCCGCTGAAGCCTCGTTTGAAGTGCGGTGGCTTGCCTCACTACCAGAAGGGGCAAGCTTTCCAGGCATATACCTTGCATCCGCCCAGACTCCTCACGTTTTGTAGGTTTCGGGAGAGTGCCCGCTCGTACACAGCCTGTGCGTGATGAACTGAGTTGAGGCATGGCGACATCTGTACCATGGAGGGTATGTTCCAACGATGCTTGGCAGGGAGCTGCTGTGGTCCAAAAAGCTATCGTAGCAAAACAACTCGCGTGATTAACGCCTTCCGAGGCCACTACCTCCACGCAGTGCCCAAGGAGCTGGGCTTCCCTGCGAGGGCTTACGCCACGGCAGCAGATTCACAGTTAAAAGTTGGAAAGCCTGACTTGTTTTCTGACTTTGACGACCCAGCCCGGGCGTAGGAGTGCCGTGCAGGAGCCAAAAATCAGGGAGCCAAGAATCAACCTGACGTGGCGTTTCTTGACAGTCTTGTGTCTTGTGTGACTCTTGAAGTCTCATGCCATGAGTGCCTTTCGGAGCGGCTCGAACATGATTCAAGCTGCGAGGCTGGATAACGAAGCACAACCAGGCGGACGGCTGCCCCTTGTGCGGGCCTGGTAACCAGCAAGGTCCTTTCAGGCCAACAGTTTGCTGAGCTTCCGCCTTCCGCCTTGCCGAGCACTCCTGCGGTGCGTAAGGCAGGTGCATGAGGCCAAAGAGGGAGCAAAATGCTAGCAGAACCCTTCTACTTCTACGATGCCCGAATTCGTTCAGGACCGAAGTTTATGGTTTCAGATTGCACGTTTCTTCGCACAGAGGCCGAGCCGGCCTAGAGCGGTGCTTTCAAAGAAATTCCACCTGACTCTGGACAAGCTTGTTGTATTGCGCACCTATGCTGCGCTCAACAAAGCTGCCAAAGAGTCTTGCCTCAAGAGGAGCCCATGACTTCTTGAGACATCGAAGCCCCGTCCGGAGTCCTGCACCACCCGGTTTCCACGACGTCAGAATCCATGTGTCGGTTTGACTTGTGCTGGACTCCGGAGCCTGACCGCTGACGGTACCTAGTGAGCGCAGCCTGCCAGTGGGGCCACAAACGAGCGTGCGCGCCAGTCACGGCCCGGAATAGCAGACACACAGAGACACTAACATAGAACATCTACGAGCAGCATTCCAGAAGTAGGGTAACTACGGCTTCGTCTCAGGTACCTGAGAAGCAATTTGCAGAATGGCACAAACCGTTCGGTTTGGAACGAATCCGTCTGCCCGAAATCCGCTTTTGTTTTGGGAAATCCGGTTGAGTTCATCTACTGATCTGGAGCCACTGATGGTCGAGAATCGAGAACCGAGCTTTGCTGATACGCCCTAGCCCCTGATCGTCACATGCAGAACGATTGCAGTTTAACATAAGCTGCGGTTCACACCACGCATCGCTCTGGGACTGTCTTCTCCAGGAGCGCACGCGGTCGGAGCTGCAACGTTTCCTTGCCTCCGACAGCATGCAGCTGCAAGCAGCGGCACTGCGGTGCAGGCTGGCAGTGTGTCACTTGCAGTTGAAGAGTTAGCTGAAGTAGAGCCATGCTATTCTGCTCTGTACCCTAACCCAACCCCCCCGAGTGTGAACGCCGAAGTCACCGCCATTTAGGTTTCCTTCGTCGATGGGTAAGTCGTTCAGTGGCAACTTGCCGTCCCGGAGTAGTTTATATCGTCTCACTCAACAGACCTCGAGCCACATGCCTCGCTTGGATTGAGCGCCGAAACCACTGTGTCAGGCAGCTCTGGATCGGCATGCAGTCGCACGCTCAGCACATTATGGTTGACCTGTCGCGAAGAAGTTCGCAAAGCTGTAAGAGAGCAAACTGGCAGGATGACACATACAATTGAAATGCACATACATACACATCTACATATATACACATAATATCACACATAATAGACCTTATAAAAAACAACATGCGATACAACACCTAATATATATATATATATATATATATATATATATACCAAACTATGAGAACCAAAACCAAAACCCTGGCCCTTTCTGGTCGATTCAGCGACTCTTCGAGGCACGGAGCGGCTCGAAACGTCAGCTCCCCAGCCATGGCGACCGAAGAAGGGCTCTTCAGAGAAAACGTCAGGGAATGCTATGCTATGGTCGAATTATAGGATAGTTATTGAGAGTGTTTTTTTAGCAGAATATGGTAGAAGTATGCAGTATCGTGATTGATAGTAGTATAGTAGAATCATCGTATAAATGTAGTATAGGTGTAGCAAACTATAGCAGTGATTATGCTGCGCCATGGTAGGGTCGTGCGTGTTCTCTGTGACTCTGGCTCGTGCCAGCTAGCTCAGGACAGCCTCGCGGAAGGCATGTTTGCAACACTTGTGAACTGTCGCCGCCGTGTGCAAGAGATGCTGTGCAGCTGAAGAGGCCTCGATTATGAGGCGCGCTTGCAGACCTTGCGCGAGGCAAGTACTAGATAGTCCCATGAACCTGTCTTTCAAGCTGTGAGCGATTCGCCCTAACCAGCCCGTGTTTGGGGTTCTGCTGGAGGCTGCAGATCGCATCTCGTGCTCGAACGGTGTGAGCACTCGCCTCCACCAAAAGCCCAGGAGTTCGAACTAATTGGAGTTGAGCACGTGGCCAATGCATTGCCGCCAAAATGAAGTGCATGCTCAGCTCGGCCGAGCTCACTGCTTCCTTGTCATAACGCAAGTGAGGAGTAGCCAGTAGCGCACCTCTGGGTTGTTTGCATGTAGATGCCCGCGGACACCTTTTTCGGTCGGCTTCCAGCTTCACTTAGGCAAACGATGAGGCCGTGTACTTTTGAGAGTCGCAGCTCGCTTCTCCACATAAGCCCCGCTTGCTCTTCAGACGAAGACCCCTCACACGTGCTAGTCTGGTGGGAGGTGGCGACTCATGTAATTAGGCTTTGGGGGCCCGGAGTCCGAAGACTTATACATCACAGTGTACACACACATTAATTCGAAGGGCGATCCAGCCTGAGTCTCATGCGCCTCCGAGCGGATGGGCTATCTGCAGAGTGCGGAGGACTCTCGAAGTGCCGAACAGGCAAGTTTGTAGACGGAGCGATTTGGCAGATGCTGCGGCTGGAGCTGCAATTAACGTCGTGAGTCGAGAATCGCGGAAATTTTTTGACAGTCTGGAGGAGGCCCTGGCCGCCGAGAATTGGCGCAATGCGGCCGAGCTGCTCGACGGAAGATGAAAGAAATGTCAGCTTCAAAAGTCGCAAGAAAACGCAGCTCCCGTGTTTGTTTTATCAGACTTGGTGTGATTGGCCGTGATACCTCCCGACAAGGCTGTTCAGCAAGGCCATCAACGAGCTCCGGGAGAATCTGGCAGCAGGCTGCCGTCTTGGAAAGTTACGCTTTCGCTCTTGAGGGTGTGCGGCATAGGGCCTCGTTGCAAGAGTTGTGTCCTGGTCTCTTCCGTAGTGGTACCCAGCAGCTGCGCTCTGTCGGCAGTACTGTACGGACATGACCCTGGTCAGGCCCCGATGTGAACGGTTTGGTGGAAGCCTACAGTGGCCGCGGCCATGCTCTGGCCGAGATGGGGCGCCAACGTGGCACGTGCGCCGCCCGAGTTTTGTTTTCAGTTTCGTGGAGGAGCCGGGTGCAGACATGCGAAGGCTCCCAAGACAAGCGGCGACGCTGAAGGCAGCCTTAGCAGATGCCCGCGCGGCCGCCGATGGCCCGGATTGTTCGGATTTGTTTGGCTTTGAGCTTTGCCGAGTTCCAGAGATCTCCACGATCTCCGACATCTTCCGAGGCTGCCTTAGCTGCACGTGGTGCCGGCGGTATCGGCCCTGCCCAGACCTCACGGATCCTGAAGAGCGCGCGAGAGACTGTGGTGCAGAGGTGCGAGCGGTGAAGGCACTGCAAAGCATTTTGCAGGAGACAGGCCAGAGCACTCATTGATATGCTGGTGTAGCTTCGTATACCTGTGTAGAAACTCCGTACAGATTGCAAGCAAGTCAGGGGGAGCTGTGTGGTTTATGCGCCCATATCGAACCCGCAGGTCAGAACCTGGAAGAGGCACAAGCCGCAGCCAGAGCACTTTTAGGCCTGTCAGAGCTGCATGTTGGGTGAGAAAAATAAAATACGTCAGGATGGGTGCAAAGACTGAATGAGCTTTTTGAGCTGTGAAGATGGCCCTGCTGCTCGTGCTTCACGCCAAGTACATCAGGAACTTCAGCCTTCCTCTTGGTCTTAGCTCGCGAATGCCAAGATTCCGCCCCCATCCGACATGTCAAATCAAGCGGGTTCGGCTAAGGCAGCTTGCGCAAGGCACGGACACCAGCCGGCACACATCTCAGGACTTTTGCTTTTAACTTCGGACCATGATCCGCATCATGGGTTCGCGGCTGATAACCGACACTGCGGCACAGAGACCCAGAAATGCGAGAATTGATGGCCTAGGCTTTGTGCAGAAATGGATGCCGCCGCAGATGACGGCTGGTCTCCAGGTGACACTGGAACTATAAGTGGAAGTGTCGAAGCCGCCGCTGACAGCACAGGCACATTTCGGTGGCCGAGTCGTATGGCACTGCTCGGTTCTCAGACGAGGGAGAGGCCCGTCCACCAGGCTGACTTGGGGTGTGAGAGTCTTTCCGTCTGAGGACTGCCAACGAGGTCTTCGTACTTAACTCATGCAGTGCGTGTCTCGAAAGCGAAATCGATGGTGAGGCCCGAACTGCCTGCCGGAAAGCCTGCTGCGGCCGGGCTGTCTGACAAAGGCTGGCATAGAATATGTTGGATGGTCTTCCACAAGCTGCCGCAAGCTCAGGTTGGGGACCATACTTGCCTCTGCCTCAGCTGAAGGATTCTGCAGTTCCAGCGTTGCAGCAGGTGGGTACTGAGCTTCTGTAACGAGCCGCACCAAGCGGTCAGGAAGCTCTTTCAAACACACCGCAAAAGCATGCGTATGCATGCTGATCGTCGAGCAGTAAGATTGGCTGGTATGTGCATGCGCTCTGGGTGGATGTCTGTGTGCCGGCGTGTCTGCTCTATCTGTAGCATGTCGTCCGTGAGTGCGTGCGAACATGCAGCGGCATCCTTGTTGGCTTTTCTCACCTGTTCGTCTGGCTTCTGGTCTACACCTGTGTGATCCTGTGTGCAAACAGATTCTATGCTAGTTGCCACCGAGTCCCTGCAAAGAACCAATCAGACCTCTCGAAGGTCCAGTGCGGCCCGAATGACGACTAGCAGCCCGCAATCCGACTGCCCAACATCCAATTATTTCTGTTCATGCCCCGGGACTTCGTGCGACGATGTGCGACGCAGATCACTATAAACCTGATCCTCTTCTGACCGAGTGACCTAGTAGTCGTCATTAGCAGCCTTGCCACGCCTCGCTCTCGCTTCTGAGTCTTGGGCAGCACATATCTCTGCGTAGCTCAGGCGCAGCCGGGGGGGCGAGGAGATGGTCCGAGCGGCACGGGCCAACGCCAGTGCCCCAGGCAGAGCTCAGGACGAAGACTTGTGGTTGAGTCGGGCTGAGGCCATCATGTTGGATGCCCTCTCTTTCCCCCTGTCCCTGGCTCACATCTCAGCGGTCCGACTAGAAAACATGTGCAGTGGCACCTGAGACCTAAGACGTAGAGCCGTAGAGCATTGACGTCTCGAAATTCGAGCGAGGCATGGATGCTCAGCCAGGAGTCCGTTGCTGTGGCCTCAGATTGCACAAAGCGCGGACGGTGCGAGACAGATGCGTGCGTGCGGACACGGTTCATTGCCTTTCGCACACAGGTCCAGTGGCCAAAGGAGCCACAGACAGATTGGGAGCTGCTCGTCTCGTGTTTGATTAAAAGTTGCAAGACTGAGTGAAAAGCTCTGAACTCTGAGGCTTCACGTGGTGGTGCTCGGAGCAACCTCCAAAGCCGAGGTCTTCCTGCTCTCGCGCCTGCTTTGGGTGCCTTTTGGAGCATGTGGAATCTGCCAGGTGCGCGTTTGGCGAGTCTGCTGCCCGATTTAGTCACAGGGCGGCTGCATGTGCAGCAAGGGTTGTTCACCTGCTGCAAAGCATGAGGTTCCCACAGTCTAGATTCTCAAGTGCCGCTGATACCGAGGACTCCAAATACTGGGACGAGACCCAGCATGCAAGAGCATCTCTCAATTATGTTAGCCACTTCGGCCTGGATTTTAGCATGCTTTTACCCAAGGAGCTAACAGAACTTCTCAAGCACCGATGTAACGTTCGGCTTCACTTCGTTGGTCCGGTGGCTCAGCTAAGCCAAGACCAGCACCGCTTAGCAGGGGCCACCGAACCTCGAACCTGTGGACAAATTCGCGAGGGGCAGTGGAGCATCGCCGATCTTTGTTCCGAGGAGATATCGCGCAGTTCCGGATTCAGCGACCTTTCAGTGGCCTCGCTTGCAAGGGAGTGTTTGGGGGCACGGGCGATGCTTTCGGCTCCAACCGAGGAAGTGCACCAGGTAGAGCGGGGACCTTAGCCTCTTAGCCTTAGGAGATGGGCGGAGACCATGGCAGCCGGCTCAGAAAGGTCTTGAAGCAACTAGACGAAGCTTCTACACAAAGGATGACAATGGCATGCATCAGTTGCCCACGCCAAAACGGATTCTTTCGTTCTGCGGTTAGACACAAACTTTTGTGCGACCTGAAGCTCATTGACTTCACCCGTAGTACTTGTGACTACAACTCTTAGAGGGATTCCGCATGCTGTGAGATGCCCAGGGCGCCCTGTGCCAAGCACTTCTTTCAGCAGCGGCCTGACCTTCGTCCGGAGCCGCTTCCGTTGCACGAGTTCGCAAACGTCATGATTTGGAGAGAGCTGGGGCCGGGGTCATGTGTCTGCGGTTCCCATTTTCCCGATCCAAGGAACACTGTGTGTGCTGTCTCTTGTCTCAAACTGGGGAAACGCTTGTCACGTAGAGTGGCGGCGCAGATGTCGAAAGGTTTTCAATGGAGGCTACGGAAATTTCGTGGCTTCCGGCCGCGACGAGCTGTTTTGGAGCTGGCTGCCGGACCTGTCCTGGGAGCATCTGAGGGCGTGTCTTGTATTACAGTCTGCATTCCTAGGACCCTTAGGAACTCTAAGAATATGAGCGGGTGCAAGGATTTGCTGTTCTTGGCTGAATCGTCTGCAGCTCAGCATGTGCTGCGCAAGTCGCATGAATGTCTTCCCAGGGCGGTTGCAACTTTTTGATGAGGCACTACTTGTGTGCCTTCTTCTGCGCCAACGACTATGCAGATCTACGTGGTGAGGTGGGCAGGCAAGCTGCCTTTTCCTCTTCCATGCGACTTTCTCCTGCAGATTGCGGTGCATACGACGATCGTTGGATCCCGCTTCGCGCTTGCGCCTCGTTCTGGTCTCAGAGCCTAGCCGCCCTGGCAATTCCTGGCCTAGCCCACCTGCCCCGACGTAGGACACGGCAGCCTGAGGCGAGAATCCCTTCGCCATGGCCACCGTGTATTCTGGCGAGGACGCAAAAGATCACTTCTTGCGAAGGGAAGGGGACCACGGACGAGTGCGCGGAACAGCTTACGTTGTGACTCGTGGACAGGACAATTCTGGAGAGTGGTTTTCGGGAAATGCTTTCACCTTTGCCACGTGTGGCTACCAGAGACTTGAATTGAAGTTTGGACATCAGGGCGACAGTACAGCACCCGACAGAGACAGCACAGCTCCACTGCGTTTTTTCTTCAACATTCAACTTGTAGGACCTTGTGCCGTGCTTGACGCAACATCGCATCAGCGGCTGCGTTCATGCAACCACCGTAGCATCGAATCGTATTCATGTCGCAACCTCCCAAGGAAGGCATGCCGCCACTCCGCTGCAGTACCCTGGCTTGAATCATGGTTTTCCAGCTTACAAGACTTGTAATGCCGAGTCGACATGGATGATGGATGAGCATTAAAAGGTCGAGGTCGAGGGTATTTGTCCTCACACCGAGGAGTCGACGCTTTCGGATTCCGTCCGGAAGGTGCTTGGAGCTGCTGTCGCAGCCCAAGAAAGGCTCAAGGCATCCTTCATGCCCGGCAGTGTCAACAGCTCACTTTGCATCAGTCTACGTGTTGCTTGAGGTTCTGAAGCATGCCCAGGCCTGCCAAGGGCAGCTGCCTTCAGTGGAGGTTGGTGGTGCAGTTCTGGCATTGTGACCTGGTTGTCGTCAGCGGTTCATCTCATTCGATAGGCTTCGCGGAAGTGTCCTCCTGTACAACTGGGAACAACCTTGGAAGGCCAACTTCGGGAGCGTGATTCTCCGAACTCAATGACCTGTTGCATGTTGCGACTTCAGCGGCCACAGATCCGCAAAATAACATGTTTCTGCCTGCCTTTGGCCCAAGCTTCTTCGATGCCAGTTCCGAAATACTTCACTGAAGTCACGAGGCAAAGATGTAGTACTAAGAAACGTTCAAGACGTTGCTAGTCCGTGCATGGCTAGGCTTTACCTGTCAACAGTCCCAGCACCGTCATGTTCTAGTATTCTAGTAGTAGTGGGTTCACTTCAGAGGAGCATGGCCATGGAAGCCGAAGGCTCAGAGTCAGACGACTTGGTGTACTCTGGACCAGACTTTCCCGAAGAACTAGACGAATTCCTCGCCTACGGAGTGAGGGAGCATGACGGTGACTTTGAGGCAGGATGCCTGTGAAAGGTGGTTTCGGGAGCTGCTTACTTTGTGGCGGCGGTGTGATGGTGCGGTTAATGGTGGTTCAACAGGGCCATCATGTTTGCATTGCTGGTTTGTTCTTTGATTGGTGGACGTGTGATTCCTGCGGTATGTGGTCGTCGTCGTCGTCGTCGTCTGTTCTTTGCTGCTGTTGTTGTTTGATTTTTGCACGCGCGCTAAGTCACCCAACCTCGCTTTTATGTCCAACTTGACATAAGCAAGGAGGAGCAGCAGAATTAGTTCCATCATCGGAGAGTTCATTCTGGCCCTTCTCAGTTCATTCGAGAGAACGATGCTGCCTTACTTGGGTCTTGTGATTCGATCATCGCCTCCCAACCAAGACCCCTCGAAGAAGCGCGCCCACTCCACTCCGGACCCTCGACACAGTTGTTCGTGCCGAGACGTGTTCGCAGCACCGGTACGACGGCACGCGGGGTGGTCTGTCTCTGCGGCAGATAGCCAGCACAAGCATGAGCAACAGCCGGAAGTAAGGCTTGAGATAAAATTGAGAACTCATCCTTGGGAACAGACTAGCAGAGCGCATCTTAAAGCGTGCCTCTTGTGGTGGTCAGATCCGACAGGCCGCCAAGGCTGCTTTAGCACCTCCCCCATGAAACAAAGCGCGACCATGAAACAAAGGAAAGAATCAGAAGACACACCACGGGGGCCTTCATAATCAGAATAGGGTTTTGGGGTATAGTATACTCTAATTATAGGGTTTTGGGGTATAGTATACTCCCTATTCTAACGAAGAGCTGCCGTGCCCGGAGGCGATCTCTGAAGACTTTCTGGAGATTGCCCAGGGCCTGGACGAGGAGCTTGTAGAGCGTGCCTACGAGTTCCTGGGTTCTTGTTAAGGAACTTGGTTTGGGCTACCATCATACGGATCTATAGTAAATACTATATGGTTCCTCATTATTATGGCACCTGAAATTAAATCCACAAAGCCCAGGTTTTACTCGCCGGAGGCCTTGCGTAGGCGCTGGCGCTTCCTGACCGCGCTAGAAAGTGAGCCGGTCACAGGTGCCAGCGCTTCATCTAGCGCATCCAGTGCAGACATGCCTGGGCCAAGACTGGGTGATGTGAGGGATCAGACAGATCCCATGGAAATGCCACATTTGTCGTTCTTTTCTGAAGACGTGAGAGACCAGATCAAGGCAATCTATGACGATGTGCAGGCGAAATTGCCTTCTTCATACCTAGACCAGGCTGAAGATGACGAAGATGTGCTTTGCGAACATTCAGATTCGATCGCACCAGAAATGTCTGTCAGCGGAAAGAGTGGGAGTGGAGCTGTCGACGGCGAGGGCGTAGCTGACGCTGACGATCAGGATGCTGGCACCGATGATGGGGACGTGTCTGACAGCGATTCAGAGCTATCTGACAGCATGGAGGATACGGCAGTGTCTCTTTTCGGCACAGCAGACCTCAACGAGATTCTCGCGAACCTCTCGCGGCCGGAAGTTGATGCCCTTCAGATAGCAGTGGAGGCGCTCACTCCAGTAAGAAAGCCCACCACTCGGGCTCATGACACTGTGCCGTCCGATGGAGAGTCCGAGCAGGCGTATCAGGCAAGACGCCGAGCCCTCAAGGACTCCAGTAAACGCTTGGTTAGAAATAGCTTTGGAGCTGAACAAGATCAGAAAAGACAAATGCGCTCACCACCGGAACCCAGGTGTGAGGTGAAATCAGTCAGTGCATCGCAAATCTCTGGAACAGCAAGGGTCTTGCAGCAGCTGGTTGACCCCAACGACAGCGAGGCAGAAACCGATGCTGCAGAGACAGAATCGAATGCGAGTGAGGATGCGGACTACGAGGAAGACCAGGATGTTCGCATCCGCACAATGTTGCAGCTCCTTCGCCAGGCGCCAAATGGCGATTGCCCCTGGGATGTGTGGCTGGAGGCAACACGTGCATGGCCTCAGCTCAAGATTCGCTTGGATGACCCCGGCATCTGCCGACGTGGACAAGGCTTGCGGGTTGAGTTTAGTGTGGACAAGCTGAAGTCAGCATTGGAGGAGGAGCGGGCTGAAAGGTTTGTCAGAAACGAAAAACGCAAGGAGAGGCGCTCGAAGAATGGGGTTGTCGAGTTGGTACGTGAAGCTGAGCGACGTCGAGACATGATGAGCGGGCGTTGGGACTTCAAGGACCTTATGTTGGTCTCAACATAGGCCACAGGTCTGCGTTTTCCATGGCCCCTCGAGTGCGCTCTTTGGGGCTGCAGAGGCAGCTCACTGGGCGGCTGTTACATGAATGATGCAATCTCACCAATTGACACAACCAGTTGAGAACTTAACCGGGGCACTTTCAACCGGAAAAAGACTTTGAGCGCCTGATGTAGCCCTGCAGTGTTATAGGCAGTGAAGTGATTGCTTGGATCAAGATCTCACCGCAGTCCTTCAAGCCGTCTTCGTGGCTTGAGTATATCGCACGTGTTGCCTCGAGAGGAAGGACGAGTTCGGTGTCGTCAAAGCCAGGAGCCGAACAATGCTTTCTTACAAGCGAGAACTGATGCAGTACGCTTGAGAGGTGAGAGTTTGTCATGTTGTAATCGGTTGCCATTTGAACGTCGCGTGCCTGGTTTAAAGCCCAATCGCAACTGAACCCCGCTTCGTGACGACCGATGCTGCGCGCCATCCTCTTCCTACGCGTCTGCAGTCTGGCAGCATCCATCCCACAAAGCGTGTCCGAGAGCTGTCCAGACGATGTCACAGCACTTCTACAGCGAGAGGGCGACGCTGTGCTGCAACATCCAGGCTTCAACATCCTTCAGGTGCGCCGCACGATGGTGAAGAAAGCCAGCCAGTGTGCAAAGAAGTACTACAAGAAGCTCGAGCTTCTGAACTTGCCGCCAGTGTATCGCACGGCGTGGCAGCCACGGAAGCTGCCCATGACTTCGCGAAACTTGGTGATTGGTGCTGGCATGGGGACCACTGGCACGCATGGTCTGGTAGTTGCCTTGGAAGAGCTGGGCTTGCACGGATACCACTACAAGGACGCAAGGGCTTCTGCAAACGAGCATGCCAGGGAACACAAGCTCCCGGAGTTTTTGACCGAAATTGTCGAGGGCATGCTCGCCAACACCTCACAATGCCACGAGACCATCGAGAGTTTTGACTTTAGCCAATTGCCGGAGAACGTCGACTACGTGAGCGACACCCCATTCACGGAGTCCTTCCTGGACGTGTACTTTCAGTTCCCCGAAGCGAAAGTTGTCCTGACCACCAGGCCTTCGCTGGAGTGGGCGAAAAGCCGGCGCAAACATGGCAACAGCCCACCTCCGGTCATGAGGCCTTGTGGCCTCCAAGGCTTGAAAGAGTATTCCGATGAGGACTTGGCCGCCATGCTCGAAGCCTATCACGACCTCGTCCGCTGTGTGGTCCCCCGGAAGAACTTGCTGGAGCTCAACTTGTTCGAAGAGGGCCTCAACCTGACCAGTAGCCTGACGACGTTCTTGGAAGACAGGCCGGGCCCTTCTCCGACCCGACACTACTACAAGGGCCTCAAAAAGTTACCTATACTATTCAAGCATAGTGGAACGGGCCCCAAAACTCTGATTGTTAAGGCCCCTCCATTAGTCCCTGCGACAAGCCAGACTCATGCTTGATTCGATTGCAGAGGCTGCCTCTCGTCCAAGCAGGCCAGTTCAGGGGAGGGAAGGGGGGGAGGGAAAGCGATGTAATAGGCCCCTTTGCTTTCGTCGCATTCTTAAGTAGACTCAAGCATGTCGCGGCAGTTGAGGAGGTGCAGAGCTGAAGGCGAAGCACAAAGCAGCAGCTTGAGACGCCGGCAGTATGATTTACAAGCTTATGTAGAGACTTAGAGTCTTGTCAGCGGACCTCCAAAGGAGGCCCACGGCCTTGAAACCTTGGGCAACACTTTAATTCCAAAGTCTCCCAGATTTTTCTCCAAAATGGAGGCTCGGGAATGGAGGCAGAATGAGGAGAGACTAAACTGACTGGTCCGGCCGTCGCACATCGTCGCAGCATTGCCAGTCGCAGCGTCTTGCAAGATTCTGCGCCGTACCAGCCGCACCCTGCGATGCTTTGAGCGTTTGTTTGCAGCTTCTGCCCAGGCTGAACCAGGCGGAAGCAGCTCGGCCGAAGGCCGAAGTGAAGGCCACGGAAGGCGGATGGCGGCTGGAGGCATCGACCTTAGAGTTTCTGCGTCTCACGTTCACCTTTACGCTCAAGCCTTCAGCCTTGTAGCGACAAACTCCCAGACGAATGAGGAGCTTGTGCATCAGTTGAAAGTCGTCGGAAGTTCGTGGAGACACCAACCATGCTGAGCCTGCAAGGGGTTCTTTTTGATGTGGTTGCGGCCCGTCAATTCTGTTGGCGATGGCGTAAGGGGGCTACCGGAGGGCACTGAGGGCAAACGACGATTGCTGCTTCGAAGGTACCGTGGCCGCAAGACCTCGACCTCGCCAACGTCGCCGCTGGGACTTCGATTCGCTGCCGGGCTTCACTGAGATTGTTGTGTCTGCACTGACTGAGGACTTGCAGATCTCGGATACAGAGGTTTCGCTGACGATGCCAGCAGGCTAGACTAATGTCACGTCGACTCCCTTTTGCGGCTTTGGTTCCCGTCCAGGAGAAGCTATGAGCACCCAAGCCTGCGAGAGAAAGATCGAGGATGATAGAGGGAGAGAGAGATGGAGAGACTGACCGCCAGACCGGGGCGCGTTCGCACGCGGGGGCTACTGCAGTAGCTCCTTGACCGAGTGCAAGCAAGACTGAGGGAGCAGCTCTCTACCACAGCCCTGGCGAAATATCCCCTACGGAAGAAGACACACGGCTGCTGATGCTAGGCCACTTGCTCCTCGCCTGGCCTCAACCCGTGGATTCTTCAAGCGCTTCGGCAGCCGTCTCAACGAGGCGCCACCTTGTCTTATCTTGTCTTATCTTGTCTTGGTGTGACGTCTTTGTTGCACGGCCATAGCACAGGCACCAACGTTGGTTCAAATCTTTCGGTGCCTATCATCAGAATGTCAACTAGACTGCACACTCCCTCTGCCTGTTGTCCAACCCATCGTGCTTGCCCAAGGTCTTCTTAGACTCTACGACACGATGAAAGCCCTAATGAGACAATTGCCTCCTCTACTTCACGGCAGTATCGCCTCTATCTTAGCCGGGTCAGCCACCGGCCAGTCGAATGACGGTTATGATGTCACCAGACTGCCGCTGGTACTCGATTCTGACTTTCGCAGAGCCTTAGAGCGGGCTTGTTGACACATCGACCTACCAATGAACCGCTCGGCACCTGCCGTGAATGTTTCATCTTACATCCAAGTCAGCCGCATCGGGGCATTTCGGGTCCGTTTCGCATCATGTCCTGAGCTGGTTTCCTGGAACTTGTGCGTGCTGCAGGGCATGAACAAGTCGCAGTGGCACGGGCGATGCCCCATGAGGGCTGCGAGTTATCTGGACGCATGTGGGCGGGGGGATTCTGAAAGGCTCGAAACACGCAAGCCTTGGGCGTTCGCTGCTAGGATCACGGCCTGACATGTTGCGATCGAAATTTCCTGTAGTTCAGTGGCGTATCGGTCATCCTGGTAGACGGTGGTGCTCGGTTTAGCTCGCCTTTGCATGTATGCTCGCAACTTTCAACTTCCGTGTTCCGCGACAATGACGAACGATCCCAATGGGCTGGAGACGAGGCGGCCTCACAGCGAAGAGAGCAGAGAGTCACCCAAGACCCGCTCCTCAGTTCGCATCAACTCGCAGACGGGACCTGGGGTGCAATGAGCGGCTTCACGCGAAGGGAAGTTCCTGTGGTGAAGGAGATGGAGAAGAGAGACACAGAAAGAATGTGCTAGCTCGGTTTTGGCCCTGTTTGATGCCGTGGTGCATCTGCTGTATGGTCTCGTGGAGAGGACGAGTGCTGGGCGGTGAGATATGGACTGGCATGCTTGCTTGTGCAGGAAAGGGCTGCTCATTCTGAAGGCCACCAACCGTTGAGCGAAAAGCTGCACGACACTACCGAGCGTATTGTGTAGTACTTTGGGTTGCGTTCGCGACTTCGCAGCTACGAGTTGGGTCTTGGTTCAGCCAAGCCAGCTGGTTTTCTCAACTAGCTTGCCAACAGTACATGAGTGTTCTTTCGGGAGGGTGGAAGAGGAATGAAGCGATCTGCGATTTTTACAGATGTAGCTTTCGTTGCAGCATCCGACGCGCTCCAGGAGCCTACCCGGGTCGTTTCGGTTTGGCTCAGGGCTGAAGCCAGGGTATGGTACGGCTACGTTCCACTTCCTTCTGTTCATGTTGCCGGGCGCTTACAGTGTGCAATCTCAAAGGAGTCGTACTATGACTGATGGCGGGCCAGGCCAGGTGAAAGCCACCGAGGGCAGATCACATCTCGGCTTTTTGACGTTCCAGCGAATCTAGACGCTTGCTGAGGTTCTCAAGAAAAAGCGCTCCATGGCTGACTCAGACTTTACTCTGCTGCCAGCCGGCAATGAGATGCTGCCGTGGGTCAGGTTCCAGCTTCTTAGCCTCAGCGCACAAGAGCGACAAGGTTTGAAACGTGTGAAGGAATGGCATGAGTTTGCTGCGAGTTCTCATCCGCACGCCGCCCAAACCCCAATGTACCATGCACCCTTCCCCCTCCCTCTGCACACAGTCCTCGTCTCGATGTGACTTCTCGGAACGGCCGGGGGCCGGGGCGAACGTGCATGCGAGAGAGGTGTCAACCGACGTCAATCAACATAACATCTGTAACCCTAACACGAACCGCTTGCGCTCAGAAGACGAACCGCATGTTTGGGTGGCCCTTTATTCGCGAAGTATCGAGTTGCTCGGGGTTCAACAGCTGGTTGTGGCAGACAGCTGGTAGGTTTTGATGCTTGATGAGTTTCTTACAGTCTTATGAGTCTTGCCCAGAGAGATGGCAGATGAGGCATTTCCCTGTTTTCCTGCTCATGGTCATCTGGTGAGGACATCCTTAGGGCGACTCATCAGTTGCAGTCCGCCAGACGCGAAGATAGACCTACTCTAGACCAGACACATATTCGCTCAGGTCCACGGTGAGCAGATTGCGCATGATTAAATGTGACTCAGCCGTCATGAGTCAGGACCAGTGGTTGGCCTATGCTTTGGACAGCGACGACAGCTGCGAGAGCGAACAGGCAGCCAGCCTCATGTTGCTGCAAACTTCTCGATGCTCGGCAAGACAGCGTCGGCCGCGTCCCCTTCACAGCCAGAATATCTAGAAGGTATCATGGGTTTCCGAAGCCCAGACTTGCACGACTCACTTTGTAAGGACACAGCATCGAGACGTCCAGCCAGAATATCTAGAAGGTATCATGGGTTTCCGAAGCCCAGACTTGCACGACTCACTTTGTAAGGACACAGCATCGAGACGTCCTCGGTGAGGTCCAAGGAGTTCCCCAAGCAAGCGCCTACGGTTGTCCATAGCCGTGGCTACGACGAGGCGGTAGTCAGCTTTGCTCTGAGCACTGAATCGCAGCGAAGACAGGAAGGAGAGACAAGTCCTGCTTACAGTAGTTTCGGTATGAACATAGGCCCCAATTCAGAAATGTGTCTGCGCCACGTGACTTTGGGACAGAACTTGGGGCTTCACATTGTATCAGGTCTCAAAGCAGCAGTGGAGAGATGCGAGCGTCGCACCCGTGGGCAGAAACAACTACAGCACATGCACTGCCGACCGTGCCAACGAGGCGAACAATACCGACGCAGCCTGATGCAGCAGTACCTGGTTGGCATGTCACAGTGCTGGGTTACAGTAATTCATCAGGATTCGTCAGGCATGTGACCACACCCTTCTTGGAGTGCTTCATCGGCATGCCGTCTTCGTGATAATGATGATGATGATGCTGTGATAGTCAACAATTGATGATTCTGTCACTCAGCCGTTGCAGTGCGATGCGCAGTGCAATGCCACAAGGGCTCCGGAGCAAAGTCCTTGTGCTTGCCAGGAGACAGCAAAGCTGCACATGCTTCGGAGAGGTATGGGATGCCACGTCAAACTCAGAATGGGCTGTACCGTGGCCACGCGGGGTCGAGACTCACTCTCCAGCATGCCAGTGTGGCATGATGAGTGGATACCACAGGAAGACGATTCGCAGGGCGCGCAAGCCAAGCCAGCATAGTTTCGTACGGACAGTCTCTGGCTGAAAAATCAAACCAAAGCCAAGAACCCAGCTCGCGGCATGTTTCGGCCTTTCGTAAAGTGTGGAATTGTTGAATACTCTTTGCTCTTGCTGTTTTTGTCGCCAGGCTGCGCTTCAAGAAATGTCAACGATCATGTCAAGCTGTGCATCAATCGACTTCAACACGTGGACGAATCTTGGTGAAGATCGCATTTGCACTTTCTTGTCTGTTTCTGCAGCTGCCGCAGCCTGTGACCATTCACCCGTGAGCGGCAACAAATCGGAAGTTAAGGCATTGTATTGCCAGCAAATGCCAATCAAAATGGAGCGGCAATTATCATGCTCGAGCCCTAGTCCTGACTTGCATCAGTGTCGTACCCAGACTCGACAGACATGCTGCGAAGGTCCGGTGTAGGTACCTGGATCAGGTTTTGCGGCTAGTGGGATCATGTTGTTGCTGACGGACTGGCTGATGAGCGATCGGATGGGTCACAGTTCTGTCTGCAATGGTTGACATGGACAAGGCGAACACCAGTGACCACGGATCGTTCAAAGGCCGGTCAGTAAGACGACAGCAATAGCCGACGACACCACCCGCGCAGCCTTTAGATAATTATGCGAAACTGATCTTGACTCAACTCATGTCTGGTCTCCGTCCTGTAGAGAGGACAGCGCGGCTGAGCCAAGTAACTGGAGTCTCAGCAGCCACGGTGGAGCAGCTCGATGCACGGTCGGACGTCGTTTAACGGAGTCTGGCCTCTGCGAGGCAGTTTCAGTGCCCATGATCGGGCAGCATATGATGATCTCAGCATTCGAGAAATTCCATAGATCCAGGGCCTTCGAGTCGTGCCAAGTGGGAGCCAAAAAGCGGATCCAAGATAAAACCCCGAAATCAAGAGCTTCAGGGCAGTTTTCACGGTCGAACAAGTTCGCTTCACAAAAAGCGCATTTTCACGGCCAGCCAGGAGCCCTTAAATGGCTTGGAACTACAGGCCTCTCGCAGGGGTCTTTCTGAGTCTTTCTGCCGTTCGGAAACAGAAAGGCAGCGCTAGAGAAAGAAAGGCCGCTGCAAAGAGAGAAAGGCAATGAAAGGCAGCATCGACAGCGCACGAGCCCGCGCATGCAAGTAGGTGCGCACTTGCCGCCAAATCAGCACTGCTGTGCAAGGCGGCGCTATCGTTTTGTATTGGGTGATAACAGGAATGTCATTTTGCATCGGATTACAACCATGCCGTGCTGTGCTGCTCCTTTGAAGTGCTTCAGTTAGAGCACTTAAGTGCCTCACTTGCACACACGGCTGAGGTTGTGGTGGGTCTTCCATCAGGATGGGGAGCAACAATCCGAGACCTGGACAGCCTCCTGTTTGCAATATTTTTGGTCCCTTGTTTCAATCATTGTGTGCCCCTCGTTGAGGTGTCTTTCTGAGTTGGGGCGGGTACGATGCCTGGATCTGGTCTACATAATTCACGAAGATGGAAAATGGAGCAGTGCAGCTGGCTAAGTTTCATGGCTGGCGAAATTTTTGAGTCTGTTGGTTGGTTTGCTGATGTTTGTGACGTACGCCTTCAACGTGATTTGCAGCCATTTTGCAAGGACAGCTCAACAAGCAGGATGCTCGTCACATGCGCATGCCTTGCTTCAGCCCACCTTTTCCCAACCCCAACTGGTACAGATCAGTGGCCAGGACACATCGAAGCGTCAGCTTTTAAGCACTAGGAACTTCCTGGCCAGAAGTTACGAAAGTGCGAATTCACATCGCCTTGGGCCACCATGGCGGACGACAAGAGAGCCGCTCGGTTTCGAAAGCCTCAAGGAAAGGAGTCTCCTCTTGGAGGTTCATGGGTAATCATAAGTGGGGTAACTATATAATCCATTATAGCGACTTATGACCCCACTTATAACTACCCACGAACCTCCAAGCTTTCCTGCTCACTGCTTCAAAGCTAGCTAAGGATCCGACTAGGGTACTATACCAGGGTCCCCTATTTTCGAAAACAAGGGACCCTAATATAGCAGCCTAAATAGTAGGATCCTTATTATAAGGAGCCCCCAAAATGAGGTCCCCCTTTTCGGAGCTCTCCCGAGTCTCCGAAGCGCCTGCTTCTCAATGCATCCCCGGGCCTTCGAGGAATGCGTGAAGGTCGTCATCCGCTGCCGGCCTTTGAGCGGCCAGGAGAAAATCGACAACAGAGAAAAGATCGTGGATATGGAGACCCGTCGAAATAACAAGAAGAATAAGAATAATAAGTAGAAGAACAAGAATCACCATAATACGAATACTAACATGCAGTTGTAGTATTGATAAAGCGCAAGCTGCGTGAGGAGTCTTGCACCCCTGCGGAGCCGCTAAGGTGGTCAAGGATGGAGCCGTGAGTGTTCGAAGACCTGGCACGCAAGACTGCAAGAACTTCACGTTCGACGCTGTCTATGACGAGCACACCATACAGGGCGATTTTTATGAGCACACCGGCTATCCCATTGTCGGCACCTCAAGCGCTCCAGATTACCACGGCTTTCATGGAGACAGATCGCCCCTGCTTTGTGTGAGTGCGAGAGCATAGGGCCCATCGGAGGAAGACGACCAGAGGGGAGAGAGCAGAGGAAGGGAACCCTCGAACCAGCTGTGCGGACTCCTGAGGTGGAAAGCCCCCTGGCGGCAAGCACCAGGGCATCCTTAAATTGTTGTGTCCGGGCGCGATCTTGTTGAGCTGCCGTTGATCGCCAAGGCGTCATGGATGGTTACAATGGTACCGTCTTTGCCTATGGGCAAACTGGCACTGGCAAGACCCACACGATGGTCGGGCCGGCCCAACCGGAAGAGCTGCATGGGGTCATTCCTAGGACTTTTGCGCACATCTTTCGGAACCTTGGCTGGTGAGATGAACCAGCAATCTCAGCTTCAGAATGTTATTGGCCGAATCTACTGTAGACCCTGTGCTCCGGGCTTCAAGTGTGTTGCCTTGACGGACGTGCAACACAGGAATGTGGATTGCGGCCAAAACAAGAAGTTCCTGGTCCGTGCATCCTACTTGGAAATCTACAATGAAGAGTTGCTCAGCATGCACAGGGGACAGCAAGATTTGGGGATTCTTCTCGATGTCTGAACCCGACTTTTCTGCCGATTGCTGCCAGGATCCGAGATTTGCTCTCGAAAAATCCGAAGCAAAAGCTCGAGCTAAAAGACCATCCAGAAGGAGGTGTGTTCGTGAAAGACTTGACGAACATGATCGTGAAGGGCGCCCCCGACCTCCAGCAAGTTATGGAGGCATCGAAGGAGTTGAGGGACACATTGCCCTTCGCTTGATTTTTCCTTTCACCCTCGTCGTTTCCAGCTCTGGCAAGGTTGGGCAAAAAAACCGCAGTGTTGCCAGCACTCTCATGAACAACGAGTCCAGCCGATCGCACTCGATTTTTACGATCACTGTCGAGATTCTGGAACAAGGCGGGTTGCTGTGCATGTGAGCTTGGTAGAGGTGCACATGTTCTGCCGCGGGCTCAGGAAAACAAGGCTGCTGTCGTAGTCGGGGCATCGCAGTGTCCAGAGCAGCCCACGCTGAGACCTGTATCCACTGTGCAGGAATCGACGGTCAAGATCATATCCGAGTTGGTAAAATGAACATGGTGGACCTGGCGGGCTCTGAGCGGCAAAGCAAGACCGGGGCTACTGGGGACACACTGAAGGCCTTCTGGTCTTGAAAGTAACTCCAGGTTCCCCACGATCGGAATAAGGAATAAGTGGCTATAGATTCGCCCTACTAAGGACGAGTCCAGGTCTTCTGGTTTGTGACTAGATAGTCATTTGCTGGCTTTGGTCGTGCAGGAAGCAACCAAGATCAACATGTCGCTGAGTGCATTGGGGAATGTGATCTCTGCCTTGATCGACTCAAAGACATCTTTCGTTCCTTATCGAGACTCCAAGCTCACTCGGTTGCTTCAGGACCACCCCGGTGTAACATGGAGTCATGCCCCCTTTTTTTGAAGCTCTGCCAATATATTTCAATACCTACAGTACTCGTACCGGTGGAGTTTTTCCCGCCCTTGGACCTGGCCAGGACTCTCTAGGTGGCAACACCAAGACGGTGATGTGTGCCTGTATCGGTCCGGTGGACTACAACTTTGACGAGACGCTGAGCACGCTCCGCTATGCTTCCAGAGCCAAGAGCATCAAAAACAAGCCCAGGATCAACGAGGATCCCAAGGATGCCATGCTTCCTGGCGGAAAGTGCAACTTGCAGAAAGCTCTTTCAGAATTCCTGCTTCAGCCGAAGTTCTCGGGGCCAGACCCCTCCAAGGATTCGCGAATTCCAAGATGAGATCACCAGGCTGAAGATGAAATTGCAGGAGCGTGCGAATGCAGGTCCTGGGAGCCCGATTCGACCGGGTGACGCGCCTGGAGAACCGGAGGTGATTGTGGAAAAAGAAGTGGTGGAGGTGGAAAAGAAGCTTGGTTTTCTGTAGAGGTCTGGTCTTACTTGGCTTCAGTCGCTGCCGGTTCGGGCATTATGCTGAGGATCGTCGAGAAGGAGGTGGTCGTTCAAAAGGTTGTCCAGTCCGGCATCACGGAGGAGGAGGTTCAACGGATCCAGTGGCAGGCCAGCCAAAGCGGAGCTGCTGGTGTTTTTGTTGCTGCTTTTGCTTGCCGGGCGCTGGTTTCAGAATTCTGTTAACTTCGCTCACGCATGGAATCAGAGACTGCCTCACCTCGGGTTGCGCGGGTTTTGCCATTAAACGTTCTCGCAGGTTGAGCAAGAACGAGCACAGATCGAGATGGCCGTGGAAGCAGAAAGGCAGGCCATTGAGGCGCAGAAGGATCTCGGCTGCGAGGTCTTGATCTTGAGAGAATCAATATACATCCGTTACATTCATTTCATGGGTGGGAAAAAATTTCATGTCCTCTTCTGTCCTGCTTCTCCTAAGTTACTACTCTCTTGCTTGCTACGATAAAGTTATGACTACGGCGCTGAGGAGATGGCAGATCAGGAGAAGCATCAGCTGTTGGAGGCCCTCGAGGAGAAGCAGCGCAGCAGAGAGGAGAAGGCCCAGCAGCAGGAGAAGATGCTACAGCAGCTCAAGGCCGGGAGTATGAAAAACGGGGGTTTAACAGTTTAGGGGTTTAGGGTCTACTCGCACACTGTTGAAGGCCATGGAGGAGAAGATGCTGGTTGGAAGCCAGGTTATGGAGAAAGCCATGCAGTCACTCGGCAGCATACGCGGGCATGCGCAGGCATGCGACAGAGCTTGCCATGGCCGGATAAGGCAAGAAGCCGACCTTCGGAAAGCCGCCGTGGAAGTGGAAGAGAAGAAGCGCTTGGAGCAGCGCATGCGGCTTTGTTCGGATTTATCTTGCGATGCCCGGATGATGCCTCACTTCAGCCCATGCACTTCCCCCCTCTCAAGTGCTGGAACTCTGCAACATGAAAGCGCCGAGTTTTCGGCCGCGCTCGGGCAAGGGGTTCTCTGGGGGCTTGCTTTTCATTGCTCCAGGGGCTGTAGCCGAAGAATCAATCATCGGCTCTTTGATGAGCGCGGGAAGGGTCGGCCGGGCGTGGGGGGCGGGTTGGTACCTCAAGCCTGATGAGTGCATTTGGCCATCATTTGGCAGCGTCGGAGGGTGGCTGTAGGGTGTGGCTGGTGCTGTTGGTGGTCGTGGTGATGCTAGTGAGACAAGTTGCAATTCAAGCGTCGGGCTTGACGCTTGTCGGCCATGAACAGCTGCCGCATTCTGCGTCGCTGCTTGCTACGTGATCTGTTCTTTTCCAAACAGAGCACCTGTGCAAGTGAAGTCATGTTGACGGCCCAGGCAGGAAGAGCTCGAGCAACAGCAAGAGGACAAGCTCAACCTCGAAGAGAAGTACGCCTCGACGGAGGAACAGGCGAGGGGTTCGTAAATCGTCAACGATGCCGTTGAGGTGCACAGCAAACTAGCCTGGTCATCCTTGAACGAAAGAGTTCGTAGTTTGTATTTGCAGGTGCAAAAGATGACTGCCAAGCTGGAAAAGCTGTGGAATCGTCACAAGCAGACGCAGCAAGAGGTGCAGGATCTACAGCACGAGTTCCAGACTGAGCGCGAAGACATGCTGGAAACCATCCGAGAACTGCGGAAGGAGGTCAAGTTGGTATGTCTCACAATCGAGAACTTCATTCCACTTGAGCACTATCAGCAGATCGTGGAGCGTGCGCAGTATGACGAGTCCTCTGACGAGTGGATCATCAATAACATCGATCTTGCTGGAAATCGCGTCCGAAGGCGGGGGCGCATTCTGGACGACGATGGGGATGGCCGGCATGGAATGAGACGTACAGGACAAGCAGACGGCAGCCCGGATCCAGTGGCAATGATGAACGAGAGACCTAACGTCTATTTCGCATACACCGAAGATGGGGGGGCGCAACGGGCGGAGACCCGCCCGGCGCCGGCCAAAAACGGCAAGTCTCAGCGCATGAAGTCCGCCGGCCGTCCGGGCACAGCTTCTCGGAAAGGTCGCGCTGTGAAAGGCGCCGTGGGCACCAACTTCCTCCATTCGCCGGACCCCGAGGAAGCTGAGGCTGAGGCTGCCTTCCCAAAGGCGCGTGGCCTCGTCAGAGCTGGCTACCAGGGTTAGATTTTCCTACCATGTTCATGCCCAGATGCGCAGCTCACTCGTAAACAGGGCAAAACTTGCAGGCATCCCAGATATACCAGATATACCTGTCTCACGTTCGTGTACCGGTAGTGGAAGGGCCAGATGTAGTCATGGTACGATGAAGAGGTGTAGTTCTGTTGCAGTGCCAATTCCACGAATCTGCAGCGGCGCAAGCCCTGTTGTACAGAGAGCAGTGCCGGTACTTGCACGCCAGCTGCGGCAAGCTTCAGAGAATAGAGTGCCCACGTCATGTGGCCACACTCCTTGCATAGCAGCTCAGCCGATGTTTCACATCTCACGGGATGGGCGCGTAATGGCTGATACTGATGATCGGCCTTCGAAACATATATTCATGAGCCATGCCAGAACTTGCTCCAGGCAACCATCAGGTCAACCAGACACCTACCTGGCCCATCTAAGAAGTCTTCAGTTCTAGACTCCGCAGCAAAGAATCATCGCGTCGGACTGCCTCTCCAGGGCAGTTGCGGGAAGAGAGGGGGAGGGAGGGGGTTCTGGGCAGGGTTCTGGGGTGTGATCCACCTTGGTGCACCCGTGCAGCCTGTTCGGCTCCCTCCCGTGTCTCAGAATCTCGAGACATGCAGACGCCCAGCACAGGTTGGGATTTGCTGATTTGCTGTGCTGGATGCGTAAGCGATGCAGCATGCTGGGCAGGTGGAGATGCCAAAGCTGCGGCCGACAATGGCCCCATTGCCATACCAGAGGACTTTACCATAGACAAGGCCAGGCTTTTTGTGTTGCACCCTGGGGATCTGAAGATGCTGTTCGGACAGGATGCCCGCTTTGCCGGCACCGCAGCTTGGCTAGAATCCGGATGTCCGATGCGGCAAACTCGTCAAAGGAGCACAAGCATGGGCCCGATTCCAGCATGTTGCCAATCAGGTCGTTGAGTTCAACAAGTGGAGAGGGTTTGGGCACATCGCGCTGGACCAGAAGGACAGACCTCCCTAGATAATTATGACATGCATTTGCACTGTTGTTTCTCTTGCATACGCCATTTGCACAAGTCCTCTGCGAGGGGGTCGTGCCCGGGGCAGCTTGGAGCGCAGCAATGCTTTCTTTTGTCAGACGTCCCTGAAGCGATGTTGTATCCATGCCAACTGTGGGTTAAGGCTTTTGGCAGTGTTTCGGCCGCGCGCACTTGGAACTGAGGTTTATTTTGGGTGAACAGGGGGGGGGGCAGGGAGGAGTCTTGAAAACCTCGCTGGAATCGTGAACTTGAAAGCATCTGTCAGTATGTAGAGGGCTTCACCGTGACGGTCGGAGGGAGGGGACCGGCTGAGCCCAAGCACCAATACGGGGAAGAAGGCCAGTTGGCCAGGGGTTCTCACCCCTAGCAAGCAAGTTTGCACGTTCGATCTCTTCCGGCAACTGTAGAAATCTACAGATCTCATTTTCATTGGCGGGTACTTCCGGGGTCGCTGCCTTTGCTTGGTCACGAGGTATTGTGTTTCATCTTCTACTTTATGTTGGAGTACACATATTCTATTATTTGTGCGATACGGTAATATTTATATTTTATTCAATATTCTAGAGTGATAACACTACAATGATCTACATGGCATTACATGTAATTATACAAAATGCTCGTTTACATGATACTATGTACTGGATCATGTGTTATAGTTCCTTCCTTGCGTGCTGGCCAGCCCCCCGGGGCATGTCCTGATTTTGCGCTGGTAGCACTCTTGTGTGGCTGGACTTGGAGTGCCAAACGCAGCATCACTTCTGTTCTTGTCCTGGGAAATTTGAGAAGCCCTGGCTGTAATACCATACCCCCGAAGCAGATCTTCAAAGTCTTTTCAACTCAGAATCTGATCCGCACTGAGGACAAAGTTTTTGTCCATTGGAACAACATCCAGACAGAGGACCGATTTCCACGCTTGCAGCAAGGACTGCAGCTCTTCGGCTGCAGTGAAAAGAGGATGTGCTGCTCCCTTTGCGCTCTCCTGGTCACTAGCTTGTGACTGGTACTAAGGGTGGAGTTTGGCCTGGTGATATCGCAGGGATGGATGCTTGACTGGAACCGCTGCAGCTGCGCCTCCCTGTGCTACTGATTCCATGTTTTTGCCCCCTTCCAAGGCGGGGGTGGAACAAGGTGCGGTCACTGAAGGCCAAGACCGTGACACTTCCAGGTGGAGGCCCACGATAGCAACGGAGTGTTAATGAAAGTAAGTATTGTACCAACCGCGCAATCAAACAATAACAAGAATAGAGTATGGTAGTATCCTTTACGAGATAGTCGGAAGGTTCATTGCTCAGCTTCTTAGAGCTCAAGAGAATCTTTCCTTGTTCTCTGCTCGCAGGCATGATCAACATCCAGGCCTCCGGGATTCCATGGCTTTTTGTTCGAGGTGTAATCAACCCATGACATCCGGAGTTGTGAAACGAAGATGTACATGGCAGTCCTCGGAGGACGGTGTCATGGGTTCGTTCCACAGCTGTTCTTTGCAGTCAGCATTTTATGAAGAGAGGTATGTACGCAGAGGAAGACCCGGCAGCGCAAATCCCCGCACTGACAGGCAGCAATGGATGCTGAGAACATGACGAAGCTTGGATTCACTATCATGCTTGTCGGACTCCTTTGTGTTTGCAGTCGTTTTTCTTGGTTGGCCATCGCCGTCGTCGTTGTGGTTGTCGCGTTTGTAGTTGTGTTGTCCTCCTCCTCCTCCTCCTCCTCCTCCTCCTCCTCCTCGTTGTCGTCGTGGGCGTGATGTTCGCGATCAGCATCGTCAGCGTCGTCGTCGTGGTCGTCGCCGTCTTCGTCATCATCTTCGTCGTCATCGCCGCCAGGGGTTTGTTTACTTGTTGTTGGCGATGCTGTAGCAGCGGTCACATGTCTTTTTGCGTGGTTGCTCCTTGAGATCTGCAAGCTTGTGGCCTGCTGGCGCTGGTCGTGGTCGTTGTCGTCGTCATGATAGTGGAGAGCAGCAGCAGAAGCAGCGGCAGGGGATCACCGCGTGTGATACACATCAGCCGTGCCCTTCCTAGGTTTGTTGGTGCACAGAACTTCCGCTACACTGGCACCGTCAAGAGCCTTGCTTGAATCTTCTGCGGTACTGTATCAAGTCCGCAAATTGTATTTGTAAGTTGTATTCATCAAGCCGGAGAGCAACTTGAAGCGTCATGCGGCGAGGTTTTTCGATCCATTCCGTGGTTTTGGGTGGGCCAGGTGCTTGACAAGCGCAGTTCATGTGCCGTCATGTGCGTCTACAATACAGCTAGGAGACTTGCTGCCGATGCAGTGAGGTCATTATGAACGACGGATATGCCCTGGACGAGCCCGTCCCCAACGAGATCAAGGCAAGCCCGTGTTCATGGCACCTGCGAAGTGAAGGGAGTGATTCCCTGAATCCTGCAAGTCTAATCGGCGGGATGAGTGGCAGTCAGGTGGAAGCGTGGGAGCTCAACACAGGTGGAAAACGCTTGCGGATGAGAATCGACAAGCAGCTTGATCGTGTTCACTACTGAAGCAGCCTGGGTTTTGAAGAATCGAGCCGAGGCTTGAGATTGAGTTCGGCATCGTGAAGAGCAAGACGGGTGATTGCAAGTGTTGGGCATTGGTGACAAGATTGGGTCTGAAACCAGCTGCTGTCGAACTCTTTAAATGCTTTCGAATAAATGCACCTGAAGGAAAGGGGATTCCTACATGGCCTACAACGTCACGCTGCCAGGTCGGCTCGTCAGTTGCTTTTGCCGAGGTTTTGACTTCGAGAGTAAAGGGAATTGGTGCGAAAACTCGCTTGCAAAGCGGCGCAAACAAGGCCACAGGGCAAAGTAAGTCACAGTCTAACCGTATTAGGAAGAGGCTTCCCTGACACCATTTGTGATGAATCTTGCCCGCTACCGTCACATCCTTGGAGTTGATACGGGATATGGGAGTTTCCGAAAACATTTTGGGATCCTTATAATAGGGATCCTACTATTTACGGTGCTATATTAGGGTCCCCCATTTTCGGAAACCCCCACAGGAAGTACTATTCCACAGAGGGCCCTCATCATGAGCATCATCGGGTCTCCTCGTCGCCTTGGTGCACGTTTTCGCTTCTGAGTTGGCCCACTTGAAGACTGAAGACTCAAAACATTGTTCAAAAGGCAACTGGGCCGCTGGCTCTCTGGCAGCCGACGTCGCCAGATTTCGAGACACACATTGTCACAACTGTGGGCATGTACATGATTCGAACTCCCAAGCAGAGTTGAAACAATCCTATCAACGTTTCTCCTCTTCCTTGGCCTGCTTTTAATCTATATCCCGATCGGGAAGTGTAATGTGTAATGTCCACGCTGAGGATTTAGAAGGCGGTGTGAAAGCGAACATGCAAGTTGGCAGAATGCATACTTGCTGTACTGAATGCATGTCCGCAGCCTGCAACGCAGCATATGAATATGATATGTGTTTCAGGGCAGGTCTACCTAAGCACCACTGACTTGGCCTTAAATCACACCAGCGCGCATGCCTGGCAATGGAATCTTTTTAAATCTCTACAATCTCTACACCTCTCGTGCTCTCTTTGCTCTGCTCTGTCACTCTTGCATGTCTGCTTGTTCTCTTTCTGTCTCCCTCCCTCCCCTTCCGACCTCCTGCCCTCATGAGTTTGCCTTTCTTCCACGTGTCCGTGTGCGAGAGTGCATTGGTGAAACTCCAGGAGCACGAGCAGGGATGCCTGTAGCAAATGATGTCTCATGCACAGCCACTTCGAGTTCTTCCCGACAGAGTCAGGCGGCGCACCCATCACGCAGGAGGCCATGGAACACCGCAAGGATGAAGGCGGCTCCTGCGCTCAGTGAAGGGGGCAGCAGCATGAAGCCATGGATGACCTCAAACACCTCAGCCTGGTGACTCTCAGCTCAGGTCAGAGGTATACTGGAACAGTGCAGTGGTGGCAGCGGCAGCTTGTCTGAATGTGGGGAAGCGCTATGAAATTGTGTGAACATCCAACGCAAACTAATTAGTGATATCTGCAGACCCAGGTGGCAAAACTGGGGGCACATCGTTCCAGACCCTGGCCAAGCCTTGCCGCCTGTGGCACCTAGGCTACAGAGCATCAGTTGCAGGTTTGCCGCTTATGCAAGTACACTGCTTCATGGACGAGTGGACCTTGGTTTTCCGAAGTTTGAGGTGAAAGCGAAGATGGAGGAATCACTAGCGCAGGCAGCCGCGAAGGCCGTAACGGTTTGCATCCGCTGCCAGTGAATATCTGGACGCATTCTGACGAGTTTCATGCAAGCATCTACCGCCTACATGCTTATAGCCGTGGTGGTAGCAGTGGACTTTGGCATGTTGACTTCAAGCCCGGACTTGACACTCTTAACCTGGCCTCTGCGCTCTAAGCAGAGCAGGCCAAGCCTGATGGAAAGCCTCCAGAGATGCTGCTCTATTTCCGCAAGGTTGGGCCTGCGAACGTGAGCAACCTTGATAATTCGTTGTAGAGAGAGAACATCTCCCCTTTGAGGAAACACCAGTTTCACACACGTGTTGAAACCCATTGCTGCCATGCTTCACCTGGTGCATGGTGCTGCAGGTCGATTGCGAATGGAGCCTGCGACCAGACATTGGCAAGAAAGTTTCTTTCACAGTTCCCTGGCCTGCCGCATGGAACCTACGCAGCTGGGGAGTGCTGCGCAGTGCGTACCGAGGTATACCTAGATGACAAAGGCGCCGGGGCCAAGGATGTCGTGCCCGTGGAGCCTCGGAAGTATTCGGAAGTTGTGTGTGCTGTTGTCCTGCGCACTTCTCTGTGTCACATGAGTGCCTCTGAGTGAAGTAAGGAATGAGCGCCGGAGACAGCAATTGCAAAGTGTCGAGCAGTTTTGACATTTCGTGTTGTGAGAATCCGTGACCATCACACCTACGATAGACGAAGTTGTTTCTAGTCTCAGCATGTCCATTGAAGTTGTCTTGTTTAACGAAGGCTATAACATCGATCAAGTCGCTTGTCCGTTTCGAAGAGCGTTCCGTGCGAGGAGCAAAATCGCACAGCACAAGGGCATACGAGCGAAGGTAGAAGGTGCCTGTGATCATCGCGGAAGTGATGATTGTGATCTGCGCCAGTTGAAGATCTTCAGCATGTTTCTTCCAATTGAACTGCGCACGCTTAGAGACTTACGGGGTGCACTGACGACTTGCGCGCTTGTGGCTTCACCGCGTGGCTGCGACCCGATTGGAACTGCCAGCAGATTGCCACTCCCCCATCGATCGTAGTTTGTTGCGTCTTCTTGAGAGACTGAGAGCGGGTTACCGCCGTCTATTGCCGTGCTTCAGATGCTGTTGGCCGCAGAGACTTCGGCTCGGTGGCGGGTCTCGGACAGCCCCGCTGCAAGACATGACCTTGGGTGTTCAAAAGACCATCCAGAAAACCAGCGCAGGCAAGCCCTCTGTCAGCCGAAGTTGTCCAAACACTTAGACGGGCAGGCTGGTTGTTGCCCTGTTGCAGGTGGAGATGCCAAAGCTGCAACTAACACTGGCCCAACTGTGATTCCGGAGGATTTCACTGTAGACAAGGCGAGGACTGGGGTAATTTATGGGCCGAAAAAAATGCCAATACTATTTTGGGGGTTCCTTACTATGATATAGTATAGTGGACCCTCAAACCCTATTCTAATTATTAAGGCCCCTACATTATGTCTCCAGCTTCCGCAAAAAACTACAGCCGTCAGCTGTCCAGGATGCCCGCTACACTGGCTCTGCAGCTTGGCAAGGGTCGTGATATCCACATGGGAGTTTCCGAAACTTAGGGTTACCTTAGGGTTCCTTTAAAGGGGTACTATAAGAGTTCTTTAAGGGTTCAGGGTTTAGAGTTTCCGAAAAGTAGGGGTAACTTATTTCGGGGTACTTATTTATAATAGGATCCTACTATTTAGGGCAGCATATTAGGGTCCCCCGTGCTCGGAAACTCCCACATGCTGTCAGAAGCCATGGGCTTGCACTTACTGCACCTTTTAGCAGATCAGGTTATTGAGTTCAACAAGTGGCGAGGGTTTGGGCACATCGCGATGGACCAGAAGGACTGGTGCAGTGACTTGTGAAGTCTGGTGAGAGAGTATGCATGTTGACATGCAGCGAGGGGGTCGTGCCCGGGGCAGCTTGGAATGCAGCTTTTGAAGTTGTGTGCTGCGCATGTGTGTGCATGCAGAGTTTGGGGTGACGGAAGTGAGTTGGAAACTGCACGGAGTGTCTGTGTAATTCTGCATATGTGCATGTGGACAAGTGCGTCTTTCCGCAATGAGTCCAGCATTCACCCGGCCGACCGAGGACAAGGTGTTTGTCCATTGGAAAAACATTCAGACGGATGACAGGTTCCCACGGCTACAGCAAGGTTTATCGCTGCTTTCCTACATTAGCCCCGTTCGATGGAAGCGCACCGTGCCAAAGTGGCCTGATCGCCGAGGGTGGAGTTCGGTCTTATAGTTTCTCAAGAGTGGCTGCTTGATCGCATTCCGCGTGCTGACCAGCATCTCGAACTCCCGCACAAACCCAGCCGTACTCTGTCGTGCCCAAGGCGGGGGTGGAACAAGGTGCGGTCACTGAAGGCCAAGACCGTCACACTCCCAGGAGGAGGCCATCGTGACCAGAGGGTTCGTTCGCATGACAGCCATGCCACGGCCTGTGCAGGCATGGTGAACATTCAGGCCGGGCAGCCATGAAACTGAAGCCCCTGCCGCCCAATCGGGCAGATCCGGACACTGCATGAAGTAGAGTTCTGCCGGTGGAACACAACGCCCATAGTTTGCAAGAGTCATACTACCGCTGAACCTTAAATGCGAGCTAGCCAGCACATCCAAGCGAACAGGATGCCATGGATGCAGAGAGCATGACGAGCCTTGCCGAAATTGAGGTGCACTTGTTCTTCTTATGTCAGCATCTGGCATTGTGCCAGCAGGAAGCACTTTTCTGGCAATCCTAGGTTTGTTGGTGCGCAGAACTTCCGATATACCGGCACCGTCAAGCTTCTTGGCAGCATCGGTTAAAGAGTGCTCGCACTTCGCTGGAGTGTGACGCATCATGCCTCTCCAGGAACACTAAGAGAGCTTAGGGCGCAAACGCTGCGCGAGTAATAGAGAACTACACAATGCGGCCGCATGAGGGTTACATGAGCTGTACCTGAGGGCTTGCCTGACAAGCAAAAACTCGCACGTATCTATGCACAATCCACTGTCCTGCTGCCATGAACGGTCGATCCAACGGCACAGATGGAAAGTAGAGCACGGTCGAATGGGGTGTTGAATCGGCACTAAGGTTTTTTGATCAGTTTCGGAACTTCGGTTGGGCCGCGAGCTTACTTCACTGCAGCAGTTGCGCAGCTTGCAGTTGCAGAAGGATCAATGTGGCTTCCCCGGCATTGTGCCGAAAGACTGTGGCGAGGTCGCAATAGATGATGGCTTTGCCATGGATGAGCCCGTGCCGAAGGAGATCAAGGCTCAAATTTCCATCCGGCTCGGAGGATGCAATAATTAATGTAATGTTATTAGCGTACAGTATAGTAGAAAATGGCAGAATATCATGTATCTAGTATCGCCGAACCTACGACTGCAGACCTTGCCAGGCTTTGTCCGAGCGGGAGTGCCAAAAAATACCGTAGATAACTTGCTGTAACCATCGGGTTCACACAGCGCGTTGTCTAGGAGGATGGTCACGCGAACGCGAACGCACTTGTAGTTATTTGCCGTGAACGTGGTCGTGGAAACTTGATTCCTGCCCGAGGTTGACCAAAGCTTTCGTTCGATTGAAGGTGTGTTTCCTCAAAGCTCCATGCAGATAATGTAAAATCACATGGTGTACTATGCTTCGTTGTAGTAGTTGTACTATACTAGAAAGTACCACTCTGCAAAAGAACTGGCATCTTGATTCTCGGTTGCTTGCTGCCTACGACGTGTTTCGGACGGTCACGCAGGCACGCACTTGCACATGCTTGGACTGGATTCGCAATCTCCCTCGAGGAAGGACTTCCTTCTGCGATCGCTCCAAAGACATGTTTTGGAAACGGTGGAAGGAATGCGCAACTGGCAACAGTTGGAACGGTCGGAACGGAATGGAGGAAGACGGAATGGAGGAAGGTGATTCAAGAATAGCAGAAATCATCAGGCATGGCTGACCAGAGTGGGCTATCATGATTGGTTGGCGAGGGTTGAAGCCTGCCTGCAGTATCCAGTCTTGACGGAATCAGTCCGTACATTGGCAATCAGGTGGAGGAAGACAGTTTTCATTTGGTACAGTCAGCATGTTGTGAGTAGGAAATCAACTGTCCCTGTTGAGCGATAGCGCGTTCCTGAATCCACCGAGATAAGTTTTTGAGGTCGCGCATAATTCCGTAAGGAATGACCCAGCACTGGCTGGTCTGGAAGATAAGAGCTACGTGTGCCATGAAGCATGAGCAGCTAATCTGCGTGCAGCATGTGCATGCGATCGTCTCGGTTGTTTGTGGTGCTAGCATCGGGTACTTCCCGTTTCCCGAGCCAGGTGGAAGGAGAGGAGCTAAACACCGGCGGAAAGCCTTTGCGGATGAGGATCGACAAGTCGCTGGCCATCACAAGATATGCTGCATACAATGGTAACTACCCTAACAAGAGCGCAGGCCCCCTCTTTCAGGATGTAATCGGCAAACTCCCATTGTGCCAAGGCTTGCGGTCGAGTTCGGCATCGTCAAAAGCAAGACGGCTGGCTGCACTCAGGGTTATGCGGTTCTGCGCTGTGCAGAGAGCCCGCCAGACGGTAGAAAAGCGAACTGCGAAGGAAGGGACAGGGAGATTCCTACATGGCGTACAATGTCACGCTGCCAGGCCATAGCTTCGCTCAGGAGTAGCCGCTGCAAAATGTCTGTTTATGGGCAGGTGGAACGCCCATCACCCAGGAAGCCCTAGAACATCGCCAAGAGGAAGGCAGCCAAGACACCCAGTACTGCGGATGGGTAGTGCAGGGCATTGTGGCCTCAAGAGGAAGTTAGGCAGCGTACTGCGAACGCTCGGAACCTGCTCCTTAGGTCAAAGGTTTACTGGGACTGTGCAGTGGTGGCAACGGTGGCTCGGTTTTTTACATCCAAATCGGCCATGAGTGTGTCTACCCGCCATGTGCAAATCCGGACGCGCTGCGAGGTGGCAAAGCTGGGGTCACATAATCCCCGATGCCGACCAGGCTTTCCCTGCCACTGCCGCTGGGCACCGCCAGAAATTGCTGGAAGCCTCGCAGCATCTGCCTTACTGCCAGAGACGTTCTGAGGTGCAGGAAAAGCTGGAAGCGGCTGCGAAGGCAGCAGACGGTATGACGTCTTGATGTTGTTGTTGAAGATCTAAACACCCAGCCCTGGCACGCGATGCTGACTCGAGTCTTCCTGCCTCTGACTGACGCAGGCAAAGCCAGATGGAAAGCCTGCAGAGCACTTACTTTACTTCCGCAAGGAGTTGGTCAGAAGACATGCAGACCGAGTTTCCGTGTCAGCGGTTGCTAGTGGTAAGAAGGGACTCACTCTGTGGGGCTCCCAGGCGTCGCTGTGCGAGCAGCACAAAAACGCACTTATGCGTGCACATGTGCGCGGACATACCATGCCTGCTCATCACATGTGATGGAAGCGACCCTGCACGTTGTGCAAGCCAGATGCTCAAAGTCTAAGCACGTGTACGTTGGCATAGGTTTTAAGCTGGATTCGACCGTCTTGCTCGACCGGGGAAGAAAGGAAAAAACATCAGAGGGGTGGCCGACTTGTGTGCATGGGCAGGACGACTGTGAGTGGAGCTTGCAGCCTCAAGTTGGAAAGAAGGTGTCTTTCACTGCTGCTTGTTTGCACCTCAGACCGACAAGTCATGTTCTGGCCTGAAGATTCTACATCGCAGAAGCTCGCGCCCATTGTATATGTGCATGTATATATGATACATAGCGCATATAAAAATACATACACGCATGCACACACACAGAGAGATATGTATGTATATATATATATATACAGATACATACACACATGTACATACACATCTACAGACATCGTGACATATACACATACATACACACGTCCACATACTACTGCAATCCATGCACACATACATGTTCATGTACATATGCTTATGCAAGGTTGTAATATTGAAGTACATGTATGTATGTACATATAGTTGTATACATAGAGATACCCATACACACACATATATATATATATAGAGAGATACAGCATATGCACAACATTGTGCAAAGTAGAAAGAAATAACCATATAGATACATGAGCCAGAACACATATACATACATAGCAATACCATGTACATGAGCTTCGCGCAGGTCTATGTAGACGACAAAGGTGCAGGGGCCAAGGACGTGTTGCCAGTTGAGTCTCGGCCAGGAAGCGAAACTTGCGGCTTTTGGCTTTTGAAGACGTGCCAGTCATATGAGGTTCTAGTTCAGGTTCCAGGAGACCAGGAGAAGCTGAAAAGCTGCCCCTGGCTGCGATCCTGCCCTTACCTGCTGCAAGGACCGTACGGATGAGTGGGATCTAGCAGGAGGTCATACCACTTGATAGAGAAATGCGTCGGGGTGTTCAGTTCAATGCGGCTGCTCCTAGGCGAGAAGGTACGAACCCCAATATCACCCCAGGCATGACGACAACAAAGAGCTACATGTAGCATTGACATGGCAACCCTATTTTAAGCTTTCCTCACTAACCTCTCGCATGTGTTGCCTGGGCTGAGGAGTGACTCGCAGCATGAGATCAAGAGCTTAGAATGACTAGAACACTGAGAAGGCAGAGTGGGAAAGCAGAAGCAAGTGTCGCCTTCTTGTCCGTACTCGCTTGAGAAGTTGGATCTTACAACTTACCCTTTGCTCCTAGAAGAACTTCAAAGTCTTGCGCAACACGCGGTAGCTTCATACTCTCAACATCGCGGCTAATGCCTTCCTGGTGGCCTAATTCATTCTCACGAGTTCACGATTGTGCCCGGCTGCTTCAACGCCATCACCTACCCAGTTTAATCATCCTGGCATGAAGACTGTGATTGAGCTGAGATGGGAAGTCTCATATTCAAGCTGCCTGGCACAAGTCCTGTGAGTGAGAAGCTTGAGCAGCCCCGCTCTAGATCCATGACGAGGCTCCTTCGGATTTCGCTCGGCGGCCATGCGGTTTGATCTTCGGGAAGTTGACAGATGATGGTAGGATTGACAGGGCGAGCACGTAACGCTTGTATGCCGGATTGCCCGCAAACCTCGGCGTGACATGCTGGCGAAGCCTATAAGGTGACCTGAAAGCGTACTACGTTGCAGTACATGGTTGATCCTCACACAGATATGTTGCAATTTCTTCAGTTTCCTGTGGCTCCGCATGATGCGAAGATGCATCTCAGCAGGGATGCGCTGTGCTTACCTTACCGCCCTGGTTTCGCGAAGCCAGCAGGTGCAGCAGTGTACGGTCCCAGCCGAACTTTTTCATTTGCGAGCTGAGGGTGAAGCACTGCTCCTAGGCAGGCGTGGGGGAATACAGTCGAAGGAAACTCCACACAAGGCCCCATGCCCATCTGCCCCACACTATTCTTGCCAAGCTTCGACTTAAGTTTAGTGTTTGAGGACCGAGGATGTCCTCCACATGGCTTCCAGTAGCTACAAAAGCTCTTTGGCATGGCCTTTGTCGTTCGCATTAGGGGCAGGAGAATCAAAAAGATTGGGCGTGCTGGTGCTGCTTCGATCTTCATCGGCGGTTCTGTAGTACACCTGCTCGCCGCAGGATTCCCTCGAATGCTTTCTTTTTGCATGTCTTCGGCTCCTGTCAAGTTTCCTTTTCGATGTTTCGAAGCCGTATTTGATCCGCCAGTGGTCAGATACCCCCAAGACTGGGGCGACAGCAACTCCACTATCCATCTCAAGGTAGGCATCACATTCCACGTAAGTTTGAAAGCAACGTCAAACAGTGGGCAGCTTATTCGGGCTGTAGTAGGGGTCGAACACCTGCAGCTTCACGAAATCCCGAGCCAGAGCAGCCTTGAAAGACCGGAAACGATCGGCGCAGTCTGCAGTCACTGCAGTCTTTGGTTTCGAGCAAACTGGTCACTAGTCCTGGTCTTCGACGCGGCGAGACAGTATTCGAGCGGCATGGAAAGCTAGTCTTGGGAGCGATGCGGCCTGAAGGTTGGACTGCGTTCCCAGTTTCTTGCCAGCAAGACTAGTAAAATAAACTGTCGGGATGCACGGTTCACGATTCAGCCGAAGGCAAAATAGTTGCGTCCTCCAGCGAGAACTTTCAAGTAGACACCTACGTTAAGAACAACGGACGCCTTTTCTTCAAGGCTGCGTGTGTGATGAACTGGAACCACTTAAGAGTCAAGCCGTAATCTACATCCTTCCCTGTTCCCGTGCCAGCCGTTTGCTGCAAACAACACCTTCGAGATTGTTTGAGGGCTCGCAGCCTTGCTATGCCATGCTATGCCGTGCTCTCAGCTTGGGCGGCCTCACTTGTCCCGTGATTCAAAGGTTTGGCTGGCGGTGCTGTTTGCTCTGGGGCTCCGGCCCGGCTGTGTCGGACTTCGGCCTCTCGACTGCTGCTCGGAAGGAGTATAACAAGTGGTAGTGTCAACAGCAAAGAAGGAGGGAGGTCACCGCTTAGTTTGCTGTGTAGTGTTTCTGAGGTGCGGGCGTGGAGGAGGATGGCGTGCGGTGGGATGTCGTCAGGCTAGATTTATCACACGCGCTGCGGGAAGTGCTTCACAACGGAGCACTGTCTCGAGATCTCCATGCTGCCAAGGACACCGGCTACATCATGTGAAGTATGTTGACAAGTGTTGACAAGAAGACAAGTGTTGACAAGAAATCAAGCCAAAGAGACGTCACCAGAGAGAGTGAGGAAGAACAGAAGGAAGGAAGGAAGGAGAGAAGAAATGAACCGACGAAGAAACAGACCCTGCGTAAGAACCAAAGGGGAGCCTCCCCACCCTTCACTTTGTCAAGCATTCAAGCAGCACAAGCTTGCTTTCTGTAGATCCATGACTTGGGATGGGTCCACATCCGTTCAAAGCCATTCAGACGAACATTGTGTGCTGCGAATGCCTCCAAGCCGCGTGAGTGCCCGATCACCCACACGCCTCAAGTCCGTTTCGTGCTACCAGGATTCGAAAGGCCGGGATCCTGCAGTGTCCTACGGGGACGTTCAGCTGCAGCGCCACTTGGAGCGCTTGCAGCGGCTTGTTCTGGTGCCGGGGAGTGCAATGATCAGCGCGACTTGCTTTTGGCGGCCCGGCCTGCCGCCTGCTAGGTGCTACCAGAGAAGAGCCGATGTCCTCTGGGCCGGTATAGTCTTCGCGTGCTGGTTTCTGCACGGAGCTGAGATGAAAGCGTCCATCAGAACAACCCGGCTGAGCAGAGCAGGGTCCTCCGACGTAGGTGCTCTATTCTGGCTTGAGCTGGGAAGCTTGGTTTCGACGCTACGAGGAGCCCTGTGGACCTGAACCGCAACATCGCACTTTTTTCGCACCCCAGCCCTTGTGAAGACTCGGCCTGCTAGGAAGACTTATGGGGTCTTGTCCATGGCAGCAATTGGACCGAGGCTCCGTCCGCCATGGCAGTGATAGTGACTTAGTGCTTTGCGGATTGTCTCGATGTGGAGCGGAGGCCATAGCTGCAGAGTGGCCGATCTTTCAAATCCTTGCGCTCGTGGGCGACTTGTACGAAGGACAGCATCAAACAAACTGTGGTTGGGCTGTTGCTTGTGCGAGGAGATATATGCAGTTACAGTGCAGTTAAACGAGTTTCTGTAGCATCTTCACGCCACGGCAGCATCATCTTCGCGATGTCAGAGCAATCGCATCGGTTAACCAGAAGACCGAAGACTTTTCGCAGGACAGCCGTTCCCCGCAGACTGCCAATCCGCCGAAGCTGACATCGGGCGCTTGGCAGTCTTGCTGAAAGGCACTGCGCAGGCAGGGTGCCATCGTGCGGTCGGTCTGCTCTGCCATGTTGTGGTGCCCGGCATCATCTGATGCCGCGTGAGGATGCCACAGCGATCAGGAAGGGATAGGGATGCCAATCCATTGTCACATGCTCGAAGCTTGAGCCATGATTCCCTGCATCCGCGAGGACGCATGCTGTACCTATGCTGCGCCACTCCTGCGCCCTCGCCCGTGCTGGTGCTGCAGCTGCCCTGGCTTCTGCCGGGATGAGAGTTTCTGGAGAGGTGGCACCTTCGATGCCAGGCCTCTGCCAGTTGCAGCAATCCTGGTTTCTTGATTTTTACAGAACTCCCCGATCTTTGGAGGTGTCGATCCCTCGCTTCTGGCACAGAGTCAAGCCGCTCTGAGAGTTGCCAGCAATCGGCATCCCGAGGGGCCGAAGGCAAGGATCCGAGACTCAGAAACTCCCCCAAGCTGTTTTAAGCAAGTTCGAAGTCCAATTGCCTCTTGAACTGTCAGGCAATATTCACCCGGCCTTTGCCCACATTGCTCCTGCACTTGGATGCGGCGCAGACACGCTTGCGACGGCAGTGGCAGAAGCTGCGCGAACGGCTCGCAGCTTGCTGCATATCATGGCAGAAATTCTCAACTGGGCTTTCCATGTGAAGCTTTGTGGATCGCTTGGTTTCAGGACATCTTATATTGTGGGCCTTTGGAAATCGAGGAGGAGTTGCAAGAGCTGTGTGGCAACATGCAAGGCGACCATGTGCAGTTGACCCATGCCGCATGTCAGGGTGGCGACGTCATTTGCCATTTGTAACCGTATTGACAGATCCTGCCTGGCCGGTGCAAGGTGATTGCAAGGTTCACTATCACCAGGAGTTGGAAACAACTCCCTCGGGCACATGCTTCCGGCACTATCGGCGGCTTGGATCTCTGTGACGAACCGGCCAAGCAGGGAAATTACTGGTGTGATCTTTGAGGGATGAGTACTGAAGTGAGTGCCTCGACCTTTTGTGTGGATTCTTCAACGCTCCTAGCCCTCATCCGAGGCAGGCATCACAAGACATCTCGAGCATGGACCATGAAGCTGCAACATCGTCGGCCGTGCTCGTGGCCGCTCGCTTTGCACATGTACAGATTCCACGTAACTAGCAGCGCTATCAGCACTAACGAACTTGCGCTGGCCATCGGCTAGCAGCACGGCTAGCACATGACAAGTCGGAAGACTCTTAGTCAAATGCGTTGCTTGTGTATTGGAGTATTCGTGCGGCTGCATATCGTTTCCCTGGGATTGAATAAGGAGCAGTGAGACGCAAAAATGATCGTGCTCATGTGTTTGACACGTAAGTTTTGCGGCGAGCTCTCTGCGCGGAAACCAGGTCAGTCCTTCTACTTGGATGTGGAACGAGGAGCTATCCCAAGATGTCAGACAGCTTCTGCGAGAGCGCTGCTCGACTTCACTTCTCTCCTCACCTTGCGTCGTGCACGAGACTGTGACACTAATATCGGGGCCTAAATATATCCGTATTATAAAACTCTAGTAAAATGGACCCCAAAACCATATTCTAATTGTAAAGGCCCCGATATTACTTTCCTCTGCACGCTGGCAAGGCCAGCGCTGGGCTCGGGACATTGTCGTCGCGGGACTGCCAACCATGAATCGATCGCGCATATTCAACTGGCCAGTGCAGAGAATTTTGCACAAATATTGGAAGTTGTCATACGAAGAGACTCCAAGCTGATGTTGGGCATGCTTGTCATCGATATGACTCAATCTCCATGCAGTTCATGTTGGCATTCGGGTATTGGCCAGGTATGCCACTGGTCACGAAACATCGCCGTTCCTACCGATGGCGCAGTTCTGGGCAGTAGGAGACACGACTTCTGGCACGCGGATATACAGCACCGCTGTCTTCAAGAGACCCTTGACTGTATCGTGCTTCTTGATACTGCTGTCGCAATTTTGCCAAGACACAGTAGAGTCAGTAGAGACAGAATCGGGAACAAGCAGGAAACAGTGGCAGTTCCACGATCTTCTGCCTTAGGTTTACTGGCAAGTCTGACCAGACGCGAGTCTGAGTACATTGATGCTTTACCGCGGCCGGAAGGTTGGGGCCAAGTTTGGTCACTGTGCCATGATGTATAGGGCTGAGTGATGGTAAGACTACGGCTGTACTCGACGTACTGGTTGGGTACGGAGTGCATCAAGCTTCACACCAGTGGACAAAGCTCCTATGACAACTCCAGAAGTTTCAAGCGTCAGATTAGACATGCTTAGACTGGCAATATTTCTGTGAACCCTATCCACAATGCGGTCCCGGAGCCAATGAGCAGAAGTTCGTGCTTCTTTATATACATATACATGTACATATATATATATATATATTTATATATATATATACATACAAAAATCATGAATCTTGTATCTGTGTACACATATATATATATATTTATACTACTATACTAAAAATATATATATATATATATATATATATACGTATTTATTTGTTCATATATATATATATATATGTTGGCCGGGCCAGGTGCTGGTGGACTTTCTGGCGGCGGCCAGGCTTCTGCATTTTTGGCATCGCAGCAGACCCAACAAGCTCCACTCAGCCAGAATACCAGACTATATACAGGTCTAAGGAGCAGCATGAGGGAAGAAGCTCGGGGCATGGACGGGAGGCGGGGTTGAGCATGTATGACAACATGAACACGACTTTTCCTGAACACTCCCAATGTTATGCACACAAGAACGGGTCATGTGCAGTGAAGCACAGACGCGAACAATCCACACAAGCCGGGGCTGCCAAGGCTGGGTGAGTCGACACACTCGGACCATCGAGATCTGAGAATGGCAGCGACAATGCCCAACCGAAGCAAGAGCAAGACCAAGTCAGCACCGTGGCGAAACTATGCGAAACTGCGAAGCCGGGATTGAAAAAGAAAGGCCTCGGAACAAGCAGATGTCCACAGTCCACACCAAGAGAAATGACGCAGAGCAACGGGAACCGACCAGCTGCGCACATTGATAGGGCAACTTCTTGTAAGTTCCGCACGCAGGCCGCCGAAAACTGGCTTGTGATGCTGGATCTTCTTTCCAAAGAAGCTGGCCTCCGTGCTTACACATTCTTGCGCCTCAGTGATGTTGGAGGGCCGCAACTGGTTTGTTTCTGTTCTCCATAGCATTGTGTAAGCTGCGGTGGGCGAGGAATGGGGCATCTTTGGAGAACGTGTACCAAGCGGCGACTTGGCGCAAGGCATGCTAGCTGCTAGCAAATGCTCACAATCAGGAAAAGGGCTGCTCTGAGACTTTGGCCTGAGGCAGCTTCTCTTTCACCAGGACTGTCGAGAACCTTTCACATTGAGGCGGCTCGGTTTCTCGCTCGGGCGAGTGGTGGTCGAGGCCGGTCCAGTGATGCTGGGAGACACCAGCTTATTGGAATGTCACGGCATTCACGAGACTCGACTTCAGGTCCACTGCAAGAGCACTGTCTTTTTCCGACTTCCGGCCTCGCGAGCAGCTTCACTCAGAATCACGGTGTCGTCGTCAGTTGGTGCACCAGGAACACGCGGACATCTGAACATGACGGGTTCGGTGCACCCACCCGATACCCATCACGGCGGCATCTAACTCGATAATAGCCCTAGAACCCGAACCCCAAGCCTTAAGTTTGTAGTGTTGGCATTGCATCTTGAAGACGTATGCCGTTTTTTACGCTGGAAGGTTCTCAGTTTGAGATGCTGCACCGTACGTCGCACGGTAGGCCACAGGGCTCAAAAATTGGGTTGTGAACGTAGTGTGGCCTACCGATACCCCAACAGATACCCCGCCTGCACATTTTGAATCCCCAGGCCCTTTAGCACTAGATCCGCGCACTTGGATCGGCAATATCGCTGCAGTGGTGAAACATGGTGGAGCCCGCATGGTGGCCATCCTTTACTTTACGCATGAGCTCGACAATTTTGTGGGGGAGGGCGGTGCCCTCTAGCAGATAGTGGTGCCATGTGTATGTGTATGTGTATATGTATCATGTATTAATATGTGTACTTGTACTTCTATGTACACCTGTCCGTTTCTGCGGCTCATGATTCAGTGGGCGGCTGCAAGTACACACATCGATTGAGTTATAGGACAATAGCGCCAGAACGCGGTTTTGAGCGCGCCTCACATGTCGTGCAGGAAGGCTTTGAAGGAGATGTTCCGTGATGCCTTTTGGCTGCATTGTTACCGCGAAGCATCAGAATTGGAGAATCACGGTTGAGAACGCCTTGCGCCATCCAGTCCATGGAGTTCCTTCTCTTCATTGGCAGGTGGGTGGTTGGTGGCTATCACTGGATCCGCTCCGTCACATCATAGTGCCGGTTTCGGCCAGCCTGCGCCCCAAGGACGAGTGTTGCTGCGATGCTTGAACACCTCTATTCACACAAAAGGGAGTCTCAAATCGAGTGTCTTCGTGCTCCAAGGTGTGCTCAACCTCTACAGGAGCGGAGAGACGGAGTTGTCGCAACCTTAGACCCCGACAGTTCCCGGAGGCCAGAAGCTGAACCTGGGAGTGAGACCCAGGTTTCCATGGGATGCAGACATCGACGCGAACTTCATCGCATCGCACGGAATCGTAATCGGCGAGTTTCTGGAGAATCACAAGGACACCTTGAGGACAATGGGCAGCTCGGTCTTATGGACTTCGCTGTCGGCCCACCATTAAGAATATGTAGACATTATATGTATATGTATATATAATACAACTATAAGATTACATTATATAAATTGTATTAGCTATTGTATTATATGTTATATTTTCTTTTATAAGCTATCTATATATATATATATATATATATATATATATATGGTACACCCCCAGGACCTACCTCCAAACCTGTCTGTCTACATATATGATACCACACTTCATTACCCATGCACACACATGCACACACACGCGCGCACATGCAACATGGACCAGGGTGTACGAAGATTAGTGTATGCGAACATGACTATACCAGAGGCCCGGCTGCATTAAAGCCCGCATTTAAAAAATTAAGAGTTAATGCAGCCCGGCCCGTGGAACCAAGAACCAAGATGCCCAGGGGTCTTGAATCTTGGATCTTGGTTCCATGGGCACCGGCCAGGCTGCATTAAAATCCGCATTAAAAAAATAGAATTTAATGCAGCCCGGCCCGTGGAACCAAGAACCAAGATGCCCAGGAGTCTTGAATCTTGGATCTTGGTTCCATGGGCACCGGCCCGGCTGCCTTAAAATCTGCATTAGAAAATTAAATTTTAGTGCAGCCCGGCCCGTGGAACCAAGAACCAAGATGCCCAGCAGTCTTGAATCTTGGATCTTGGTTCCGCGGGCACCGGCCGGGCTGCATTAAATTCTGCATTAAAAATTAAATTTCAATGCAGCCAGGCCCGTGAAACCAAGATTCAGACTCCCTGGCATCTCGGTTCTTGGTTCCACGGGCCGGGCTGCATTAAAGTTTAATTTTCTAATGCAAATTTTAATGCAGCCCGGCCGGTGCCCGCGGAACCAAGATTCAGGATTCAAGACTCCTGGGCACCTTGGTTCTTGGTTCCACGGGCCGGGCTGCATTAAAATTTAATTTTTTGATGCGGGTTTAAATGCAGCCAGGCCGCTGGAAACCATGTAAATATTTACGAAACATATCGGTTTGCCATTTTATGTGCCACATGGCCACTCCTGCAGTGAAGATTGGCGAATGGATTGCTGTGCTTGACAGTTTGATCGCAGCACAACAAATAATGTGTGATGACCCAAGCTGCAGCTAATCAAAATCAAGTGATTTTGTACTTCCAGCTCCAGTCCTGTCCTTGTGAGCATAAACAAAATAATTACCATACAGATAGGTTTAAACATGGAACATCAGTCGGAGCCGAAGATTTGCGAATGTCCAGCTGAGATATAGCTTATTGAGTAACGGGTTCCCATGGTGGACATCAGGAACCTACTTGTAAACAAACATCCTTCAAAGCCCTATAGAATACCCCCTTATCCTTTCCAGGATTTCATAGAAAATACTTAGGTCGTACCATATAGATATAGAGTTTATGAAGTATATACTTCGTATAATATACCTTACGGAATACCCTGTATCTCATGAAACACCTTATAGAAATCTGTCCTACACCCTATAGAATGTTTTTTATACGTTACAGTGTGGGATACCCTATAGATACCGTATAGACTGCGCCATAAAATACCTTGTTTATCTCCTATATACCCTATATGAGCCTTTTAGAACACCATCTGGAATACTTTACAGAATGTTTTATAAACGCCCTATGCATGATACTTCCCTTATACCTTATACACGCCCTTGAGAACCCCATTGGGATACCCGACAAAATCCGTATTGATCAGGATTTACGTACGTAAAGTAAATCAGAAGGAGCCCAAGCTTCTTGCAGCTTATTGAGCAACGGACATTTATGCCTGTAGAATACCTTATACAGAATACCCTTTTTACAAACCGTAAAGAAATTCATGTAGAATACGGTAATACCTTATATAATGTTCCTATATTCCTGATACACCTTGTACACCCAAGATCTGAGAGTTCCCCAGTTGAATGTGGTTTATTTAGCAATGGATTCATACCAAGGAATTGCGGAATATAGGATCTAGAAATTCCTTAAAAATCGATGCTTATCTAGCAAAGGATACATACAGAGAACCGAGCTCTTCTGAAACCCATGCTGCACATACCCTGTAGAATGCCTTTTAAACTACCTTTTCCACCGATTTACCCTGCATACACCTTATAGAATACCATCTGTAACACCCCGTTGAATACTTTGAAGAAGAACGCCTCTATTTGATACATCCTGTGTACCTTATGTATGCCATGTAGAATACGTGTACAGTTTGTACAGTACCATTTAGATTACCTTTTAGAATCCATTATAGGACACCCTAACAGTACCTGATAGATACGGGTTTTAAACATGGAAAGCCAGCCGGAGCCCAAGATCTGAGAATTTCTAGTTGAATTGCACCTTTTGGGTAAGGGGTCCCATGAAGAAATCAGGAACCAGGAAACTATCCTTGCAACTACCTTATAAAATACACTCTCTATGCACCTTAATGAATTTCATAAAACATACACTATAGAATACCTAATACCTACATATAGACCGCAGAATGCCTTTTGTACAATACCTTATGGAGTACCCTCTAGAATACCTTGTGGAATGCCCTATAGAATACCATCCTTACAGAAGACCGTCTATGGAATATATCTTTTGTAGACCCCGAATATACCTCATAGAGTATCCTCCAGAATAGCTTTTAAGATACCGTTTAAAATAGCTTGTAATATACCCTATAGATCACGGTTCAAAAAAGGAACATCAGGAGGAGCGTGGGGTTAAATAGCGTAGCATACAGAGGACAGTGGACAATACTTCATGGTATTGTTTTGGTTCGAACGGTGTGGTGTCGTCGTAGACAGTGAAGACTACGCAGTATATTACAGTTTAGTTCGGAGTGGAGTCGTAACGTCGTCCAGACAGTACAAGACGAGGCTTCGAGGTAGGTCCTGGGGGGGGGGTAGCATATATATATATATATATATATATATATATGTTAGAAATTCTACATTGTATATTATACATGCCTCGGTGCGAGCAGTCAGGCTACGACTACATTCTGAGGGGCGACCGCGTCGTCTTCAAGACGTTAGCTGACACTGCTCGAATGGACATTTGGCTTTCGGGCCCGCGCTGGCCTCAGGTCCCAGAGGTTCGTTGCCAGTTTTGACTTGGACCTTTTTAGCCTGCCCCCTAAGCCTCGTAAAGGGGGAGGGAGCGATTTGGCTGGCACTTCGCAGTCGCAAAAAAGCAGAGATTGCAGAAAATGTTCGAGGCAAGAGGTCCGCGCCTACGACATCCGAGCCAGGCCACCGCAGTTGAGTGATGCTGCCATGCACGTTGCAGCGCAGATATCCCATGCCCACATGTAGCGAGCAAAGACTGGATCCAGGCTTTGTGGGCTTCGCGTGAACTTCTTTCGAGATCAACTTGCAGGTTCTGTGTGGTGGCTTCGTCTGCAGGGTGCGGGCAAATTCAGGCGCACTCACTGAAACTACAGAGTTGCAGGCAGTCTTCAACAAAGAACCAGAACGGCTTCTTTGGAGCACCTATCTACAGACACTCTGCAGAAGTCGGGGACGCGTTTAGGATTCAATCCCTGCACTGCAGAAAGCAACAGCCCTCAAATCAAGGGAATTGCGGAGTGTGGCCCCTCAGAATGCCGCACCGGAAGAATGCTGTCGGATAAAAGATGCAAGATTGGGTTTTGTTGTAAGCCACGGGTTCCACAGACGTTCATTTCACATGCTAGAACATGTGGATTTGCAACGATCCACACATGAATGATAGCCAGACGACACAATGACGCTGGTATAGCTGCTACATCCAAGGTACTACCGGCCTGGTGAGAAGATTTACGGCAACACCCGGGGCCAGCTGCTGCACTGCCGGTGGAAGGGTCACAACGCTTGCCTGCCAGACTGCGTCCGGAATGGCTTGGGCGTGGGAAGGGAGGCTTGGCATGCAACACGGACCAGGGAATCCCGGTCCTTCTTACAAACCCCTAAGCCACCTTTTGTGTGAACCTTTTCTTGGACATGCCGATACACCTTCCGATGCCACATGACCTGGAAAAGATTGAGAACTTCAGCTTGGGCATGTCGTCACGATGTCGTGCCATTCTTTTTGCACTTGCTTGTGTTCTTGGCGCTCGTGTTTCGTCACCCTGCCTCGCAGTCCTACCTGCATGAAGATCTGCGTCGATGAGCTCCGTGAGAGACTTTCTCATTCTCTCTAGTGCTGTTAAACTTGAGGTTTAAGTCCACAAGAAGTCCTGCAGCTTTGATTTCGTAAAGACAGATGTTGCGTGCCCTCAGCATCACACCATATCCGAGCATTTGCGTAGGTACGCCCTTGTTCTGTTGCGAAGTTGTTTGTGCAATCGCTTTCTGAGGACGGCTGCGAATTTCCCGACAGATTTGTGCACTTGTCCGAGTGATGTCAGAAAAGAACACTATCGCCCAGATGACGGCGGCGAGGAGGCCACGATGGCGAGATCATGCCCCTGGCAATGCTCTTGCAGCAGCACCGGCCGAGCGCAAAGACAAGTGACCAACGCCGCACGCGGTCAAGACCCATTGGGTTGGCATTGCCAACTTGCCTGACCTGCCGATGATGGTCGTGGAGGCAAAAAGCCAGCGAGCTGGAGATGCAGTGTCGGGCACCACCATCCGGTTCTTCTGGGAGACGGACCCAACAGCAAAGCTGGACGTGGAGCTTCAAGTGCCTTGGTGAAGTCGCGAACGAACCTGCAGCCGACATAGAGCTGAAAAGGTCGAATCAAGGTCCCACCGCTTCCCTGCGGGGTCTCGTGGAGCAGGTGTTTGCAACCTATCTTGAATTCGCTGCCATCTACTCAGCAGTGCCTATATTCAAACGGTTGCGAGGAAGGCTGTAATTGACAGCGGCATCGGCTGCACCAGTTTTCACAGGCAGATGGAAAGAATAGACTCGACCCTAGGCCGAAACCATGGAACCCTGAAAGAAGGGCTCTTAACATGGCCTGTGCGCCGCCTTCTCCTCGGGTTGAGCAAGATGCTCAAGACCGCGTGGACTGGAAGGAGGTGCGGCGTCTCCTCACCGTTGAGACACCTGCACGGTTGGCATCCTGCCTGTTGCGAAGGTCAAGCTGGATCTTTCTACAGGCATCTCCCTTCCAACTTACTGGCACCTTTCCTCATGAGTTCCCACCATCGCCATCAACCCAAAGACCATTGTGTCCCGAGGTGGCATCCAGCGGGATGTAGTGCGGCATCAAGAAGCGCCGCCCCTCTCCAGCAGCGCGGATACTGGTTTTCGTGTGGCACACGGTGCAGATGCGGGATTCTGAATAGGAGTCGTTCTAGGCAAGGGGAAGAGCAGAGGTGAAAAGTACCGTCTAGGCTGTGCAGGGGAGATGTCTTCAAGTCTGATGGCACAGCTGATCCTTTTTCTATACTGAAGTGTAAGAGACGGGACAGTCATTAGCAGTGCCAAACATGTGTGAGCGGCTGCGAGGTGCTCTGCTTGCATGGTGCCGGAGATGTTGCGCTGGTGTGGGCGCAGGTGGCAAGGAGACTGCGCGAAAGAATTGGAGGCTATCCGAAGCAAATTCGTAAAGGTCGCCAGAACGTCGCTGATTGCATTCTTGTCATGCTATCGCGTTTCATGCCTTCGGCAGTTACGATAATTGCTGCGGACCTTCGGGGCCACGGCGGAGCAATGGTTGAGGAGCGCCTCGATGAAAGCCTTGGATTCTTGACACCGCAAGAATCGTGCACCAGCGTGTCCAGTGCTTGGCAACGAATCCGCGAAAACACGATATATTATGATAGTATGATATTGTTTTATTATTATGTATTATGTACTATATATTTTCTTCTATATTAGGTTGGCATGGATCCAGGCTTAGGACTGTGTGGAAGCGCCACAGCTCCCGGAAACCAAGGACTGCAACGACTGTTGCCCGACGTTTTGGCACTGCTCCGATGCACGGGGGCCGCTCGGAGCATCAGAGAGTCAGAAATTGAAGCTGCAGTACTCCGAGCTATTTCAGTACGGATTGAAAAACAAGCACTCCGAGATGACAAACACAGGGCGCATATCGTAGCTGCAAAATTCGAGATTCTGCTCGATGAGACCAAGGAGCGACTGTCCCAGGGCGAGGGCGATGAACATGTTTCGCTAATCCTTTGTGGTCACTCCCTGGGCGGCGCTTTAGCTGCGCGTGCAGCTTCAGAGGCGGCAGTACTATATAATATATAGTATATAATATATCATATATAATTTATAGTATATAATATATAGTATATAGTATGTAATATATTATATATAATATATAGTACATAATATATAATCTCGGAGAAAGCCCTGGCATGTACACACGAGCATGACGATGCACAACATGTCGTGGACGAGCCTTCCCACACTCATGCGGTTAACATATCGCGGCACAGGCTCTGAAAAAGCAGCTTCCTCTTCGGGTGCGCCTAGGTCGCGATTTTGGTCAGGCTTGTTGCTTGTGCTTTGAATAGGTTGAGAGTTCCGCTAAACCGACCTTCGACTTAATTTCACTGGTAACTGGAATGGCAAAACGCAACGACTTCTCAACACGGAGAAACGTGTGCAACTTCCACGTGCCCAGCAAAAACCAACTCAGCAACACCGGACATTGACTTCAGGGAGTGGCACCAGGGATCTTCAACTGGACCCGACTGGACGCCTATACCGTCTTATTTTGAGGCGGGCCGCCATTCTGCTGGAGTCTGTGGAAGGCACGGCTGCGGAGACGCTTCCGCGCAGCGTTGCGTGGATGCAGGCGTCGAGCTGGCAATCAACGATTTGTCTTAGATTGTCATCGCGGTTTGCGCACGGGGTTTCTATGTTGAGTGCAGGCCCGACCTCGCAGCTTTACGAGCTTGGAGGAGAGCAGCTCCTCCCTTTGCGGCTTCGTGAGCCGATGAGCCAGCGATTGCCAGGACGCCATTGCTTGGTCCCTATCTTCGGGGATGCTAGCAAATCCAGAAGCAGCAAGGGAGAACATCCCGCCTCGACTGCATCGCGAGGTCCATCTACAGTTTTACAGGAAGCCCCACTAGCACTTGACAGCGCTTGTGCTCTCCAGGCTGGCCAGAGGTGGACTTGGATAACCAATGTTTCTGAGGCCTCCGGACCGAACCACAGTGTAATCAGTGTCCAGCGAAGTGTGCCTGGCGGTCTCTTCGCCAGGCCGTGACTTGCTGGCCCCAATGGTTTGATGGGGTCAGCTCCCTTTTCGTCAGCTTGCCAATCCCCAAGCTCCTGATTGTGGGATCGGTGGACCGGATGGACGCAGCTTTGGAGGCTGCACACATGCAAGGTCCCTGCCTCACGGACCGTACAAACATGACACGACTGCAACCGCCGCACTTTTCAGATGCGCATTGCAAGTGTTCAGGTCGGTTTCGCATGGATCTCCGGCTGCAGTCTTCATGCTTGTTTGCAAACTGTCGGGCGTTCCCAACCAACGACCTGGTGTCACAAAGGAAGTGGTGCCTCACTCGGGACACTATATTCACGAAGACTGTCCGGACGATGTGGCGGAGGCACCCCAATGAAGTGTCATCAGGTTGACACACGCGGCCCAGTGCGATCATGCCTGCGCAATTGCTTGGATGCATTCCCTGTACTGTTAACTTGGATCCATACTGAAGTGTGTTCGCTTGTGACACATCCCTCACTCAGCAGCTGCTCTTTGGAGCAGTCTAAACTAACTATGAACCGAGGCCATTACCAAATTTCTCCTGCAGCTTCAGCAGCAGGAGAAAGCCTTTGCGAAGCTGATGGCGCACCGAGCGTTTGCCACAGCGCTTCTTGCTGTGTGTGTGTGTGTGTATGTGTGGCAACATATATATGTTGATTCCAATCTTGACGGATCCGGTGACCCCCGGAATGAAGGCCACCTCGCGGCCGCCTGCACCCGGCCCTGCAGATGTTAAGCGGCACCGTGCAGATCAAAATCGATGCCGGTGCATTCGTCAGCACTCAGCCTTTACAGAGCAGGCAAGACTTTGTCGAAGCGACAATGCGAACAGCTCGCAATTTCTGAGTTGAACAGATCTGCCGAGTTCGCGGGCATGCGCAGCCGTTCTCACCATTGGAGGTAACATCCAGTGTCAGCGGTAGGTGCCAAGACCCCTCGGTCTCTCGTCTTACTCAAGTGCAAGAAATCCTCTCGATGCGAGACCATGCAGACATGTTTGCATCCACCTAGCTGTCTCGCTTGTTTTACGAGCCGCCGTTTCCGACCTGCGCCGCAGATATGATGGATGTTTGTACGCTGCTGGGAGATGCCCGAAGTCTGGAAGCCGAGTACAGCAGATTGCAGACAGCTGGCGAAGAGCAAGAGGCTGCTGACGAAATACGCATTCATGACGCGCAGCTTGAGCGTTTGCGCCTGCGCACGCTGCTCGAGCGTTACCGCGAGCGTCAGCCGAAAGCGGAAGAGCTGGCCGAGAGATACGAAGCAGAAATTGACCAGTTGTCAGAGGAGCAACGACAGTTACAAGATGAAAACGCCTTACTCGCGCACAGAGATACGCTTGCCATGGAGCTACTGGACTGCGGAACTCCCAGCAGCCGGACCAGTCGTGGAAGCCGGGCATCTCCAAGCAGCATCGGGGCTTTCGCTCGTTCACCGTCCAGGGCGGCCGTTCGTCGCACCTACAACCAGGCAAAGGAAATGCGAGAGTGCCAAGCGAGGCTAACGGCTCTCCAACGAAGAACACAAGTGAATGAGTGGTACCTGTCGCAGCTGAAGGTCGGCTTGCAGGAGGGTTCCCGCAGCCTCCAAAGCCGGGAAACCCACCTGCGAGAGCTGCGGGAACGTTTCGATGCGGCCGAGGAGCAGCGCCATCGCCTCGCGGAGGAGCGAAATCGAACTGAGCGACAGTTGACCTCAGAGCGCGAGGAACTCGTGCAACTGCACAAGGAGGCCCTTGCTCTTAGGGAGGCTTGCTACTTGCCAGCTCAGCTTAAGAAGAAAAGCAGCACACTCATGAAGTTCCTGGAGGAGGAGGGGGGGCGAGCTAAGATGGAGAAGCATCTGCGAGGACGAGAAGCAGTCGTAAAGTTGTACCACAGCGTGGCCCAGCAAGCCCCGGACCTGCAGGCTGCAGCAGGTCGGGTCAAGTCAGAGATGGATCTCGTGCTGAGAAGGTACCAAGAACTTCAGCAGGAGCACAGCCGCCTGCTTCAGTTGTTTCACCTTACGCTTGCGCGTGGAGCTATGTCATCTAGCCCCAGAGCACGAAAATCCGTGGCTTGACAAAATGACGCTTCAAGACCCGGGATTCCATCCATCCTGGGCAAGCGAAAGCAGCTACGGCTTGAACCTGGCTGTCGGCTTGAACCTGGCTGTCGCTAAGGCTGGGACTAGTGAGGATCACAGCCTTGAATGCGGTGGACTTAGCTGGCAGCTGCTCACCGCAGAACCTTTTCGGGTCAAGAGAGGTTTTCAGAAGCAGGAAGATGACATCAGCTCTCCGAGCAGCTCCCGGTAGCAAGTGCACAAGACAGCATTTCCCAGTTTCAGCAACAGCGGCCGCACAGCACAGGTAACACTCACCAGCCGAAAGCTGTAAAGACAGCTGTACTCTTTAATTCTCCGGACCTCTTTGCTCTTGCCGGCCTGGAGGTTCTGCAAAAGCAGAGCTTATCGCAGATATGGTGGGGCTGTTGTGTCCAGCAGTCACCGCTGAGCTGACAGGCCACTACACATGGGCAACGCTGTGGCAACTTGCGGCCAGGCGACCACGATTGGGCCAAGAGGTATCAGCTAACACGACAACGGAGGGATTGTTGCCACTTGTGGGCGTGAGCATTGTTGATGAAACTGCACGTATCCGACCTGACCGAGTTGCTGCCCTGCGAGCCTGGCGCTCAGTCGGAGAACAAGCAGCAAGGAGATGGCGTTAGGTATAGGGTGAAGCAAGCACACAAGACTTGGCATAATCTATGTGTACAGTGGATGCCATGTTGGGCACGTGTGTACTTGCCGGCTGCTTTACAGTACAAGGAGAAGCCAAGCGGAAAGGGGCGGGGGGGCGGGGATGAGGCAAATGGGAGAGAAGGGGGTGAAGGTGCCGTCGGGTCGGTTGGGGGAGGACGAGGGGTGAAGGAACCAGCGGGTTTCCATGGCCCACTAAACACCGCCCCCAGGAGGTTCGGCGGATCTACAGATTTATCCGTTTTTCTATGTATCTACCTACCTACCGACCTACGTATGTAAGTATGCTCGTAGGTACGTGCGCGCATGTTACGTATGCTGGCATGAGACTCCTTCTGATTTGATTGATGCACACATTCAAGAGCATTCAAACATTCAAAAGAGCACCAGTCAGAAAGAAAGAAGTTTCCGTCTAAGTCCTTTCTCCAGGTGCTCGATTATGAAGTACATTGGCTTATCCCAGATCTATCAAATACTACTGAGTTTTTCCATGTCTGAACTGAAGTGTGCGTGTGCGTGTGTGTGTGTGTGTGTGTTGCAAAGCAATGCAGTGCAATGTAATGCCATGTACTGTACTGTGATGAAACGTAATGTACAGTAATGTGGGATAATGCAATGTAATGTGACGTATTGTGCCGGAACGTGTTGTAATACAATGCACTTCAAGGTAATTTACTGTAATGTAATGTGATGTCATGTAAGGTATGTCACGTTTATGTATGTAAGTATGTTGGTATGTACGTCGGCATGTCTGGTATGTACATGATTAGTTAATTCTGTGTATATATCTATCTATATATATACATGTATATGTATGTATGTATGTATGTATGGACGTGTATGTCCCATACAAATTTATGTATAGATGTCTTTATGTAAGCTTACATGTATCTGCGTGTGTGTGTGTGTGTGTGTGTGGTGTGCCTAATGTGTACAGCTTACATAAATGTATACATACATACTTACCTACATGTGCCTACACTTACTCAGACGGTACCTGGCACGACCATACCAGCGCCGTTGAGCTTCAAGAATGTTCTCCACATCCCTGTGCTGATTCTGAGTCTTCTGCGGCCAGACCAGCGCAATGCAAGAGTGGAAGGCACGCGTTCGTGCTTGATGCGGTCATGCATACAACTGATACCTTTTGCCCCACGGAAAAGGGGCCTTTCCAATTTCAATCCTGCAGAAGGCTGCGGAGGTGGTGTCGGCAATGAGGCAGGGCCACTCCCTTGCATATGTAGACCGGTTGGGGTGCCAGGTTCGCTTGCACGGATCGAAGCCCTCTTCTTGACAGTTACATGCACGATCAAGAGACTTCGCTGGAAACCACACTTTTCAATCACAAGCATCACGATCACTGCCGGACAGAGCGCACCTTGAGGAGCAGCTGCAGGTGGCGTTGAAGGTTGCTTTTGCCTTCCCCCAGGACTGCCTAAGACTCTATGCCCTGAGCGGAAGGTCATTTTCCTGCGATGTGCCTGACTCTTCTGATTCTCAGGACGAGATGGCCTCGACAAAGTTTCCATTCAAAACAGGCCTGAGCCTCCTGTCATCGTGTTGGCAGAGCTGCATGACCATCCGGTGTCTTGATCTCTATGGGAAGGTCAGGAACTGGCCCTGTCTTGCATCGAGAAGGCGGGTGGGCTGACGAACATGATCTGCTCCATAGTTGATGCAGCTGCAACTTCCTCTATTGCGTAAATCCTTGCATGGTGCTGGAAGTTGAAGACCTGGTTGCGAAGAGATGTCGTGAGTTCCACATTCGCGATTTCATCTGCGAACCAAATTTGGCCGCCGGGCAATGCCCCGAACTGAAAACCTTCAACCGGAGCAGCCAGGAACCGTAGCTGTAGCTGCAGGTCCAATGCAACTTCGCAAGACAAGGACTTTCCTTTTACATCTGATTACATCTAATATAGGAGGTGGCAGCACCATTTTTCGGCCCTGTGCAAGAAAGCCCTGGGCCTCTTTACGAATACCCCATTTTGCAAAAGGAGATTGAAAGGAAAGGCCTGTTTCGAAACAGTCGTCCGCACCCTTAAACCCTTACCTCCTCAGTAGATGAGCTCGCTTCAGCAACCACTAATACCTCCAGCGTTCCATTGTCGAAGCACCAGTCGATTACGCCAGCTGAGGTCGTGTGAAAGGGCTTGTTGTGATTGTCGTGGTGTGTCTCTGACTTGTCTGCACATTGGCGCCCGGTAGTTCTGCTTGCGGTCATATGAGTAGTATAATGTTATGATAGTGATATCAGTAATATAGCAATATTAGTAATATAGTGATCTCTTCACATTGCTTGTCGCCAGGTCAAGGCTTGGAGTCCCTTGACTCTGCGACAGGACTGGGTGAGCGTGCAGCTCTTTGGATCTGGGATACCACCGATAAGACGGTAAGAACATCTGGGTTGAGGATCGTGCTGCCCACCGGACTGCGCAGACTTCGAAGTCCAGCAGCTTGTGGCCGACAGCCTCCGAATCCCGCTTCGCAAGGCCCAGCAGGGGGCCATTGAGTCATGCCTGGCTCGTGACTCGCGCCGTGAGCCCGCTGGTAAGAGAAGGAAGGGAGAAGGAGCCCTAAACCAGTGCCATCCAGCACCATATGGGTCAAGTGAAGGAGCTTAGGAGCTGGGAGACGATCCGGGTCCGAAGTCAGGGAGCTCAGCTTGAGCCGGAGAGCTCCTAGGTCTGGCGAAGCTTGCGACATGGCCCACTCACCGGTCTGGCATGGGGGGATGGGTATAGCAATCGGGGCTGCGCGAACTGAGGAGGCATGGGCTCAAGACATGCTCGTGGCGCATGCCGGGACGGACATTTTTGGCCTTCGAGCTATTCATCGCGAGCAATGATAGCGTCCGGTGCATTCATGCCGCAAAGCATCCATGCCCGAATGGTGACAGTGTCCATGCTGCCAGTACATCAACTCGCATCGAGCCATCCAGATGTGGACGCGGTACACATCGCACGACATTTGTGCCCGAATCATGCGCAGGCAGTGTTCGGGAACAGACTGCGCGATGGACACGTCCAGGAAACAAGCGCATCCATGCGGAAAAGCATTCTTGCACCAACCATGACAACGCCTTTTTGCTACCTACCACTGCATCCAGCTGGCAAAGCATGCATGCCCAGATCGATGAAGCGATGAGAAGAACCGTGCTAGAAGCGAACCCATTTCGCAAAACTTACAGTTTCTACGGACAAACGGTGGTGATTCCCTTGCTACCAGCGCATCGATGCCGACACACTGAAAGCATCCATGCCTGACCTATGGTAACGTCAATGCGTCACAAAGCGTCCATCCACAAAGGATTATGACGTCCGTGCTACCCGTGTACCCATGCCAGAAAAAGATGCGTGCCCCAAACGATGAGCCCATGCTTGCAGGGCATAATCCCTTGCACTCAACAGGCAATCCGACCACTCCTGCAGGCAAGAGCCACTGATGCAACAAGCAGCTCGAACAGTTGCAGAGGGAAAGATGCAAAGATCAATGGTTTCTAGCAGTGAGAACCCAATGCGGCTACGTAATTACAAGGTCACTCTGAACACGAAAAAAAGTTTCCATGATGCAGCTGAAGGGGCCGAGGACGTGACAGTTGGCAGGGGCATTACAGGTGCTGCGGACGGGACGTGGAGGTTCAGTCCAAGAAGGCCATACGAGGCCCAAACGCAATCTTCTGAAGCCCGGTTAAAAGTGACGGGCGGGCGTGAGTGATTCAGTGAGTGAGTGAGTGAGTGAGTGAGTGAGTGAGTGTGTTTGTGTCTGTGTCTGTGTGCGCGCCGTTCTGACGTGCGTCTGTCATATCCAGGCCCTGGCGAGCCTGGTCGGTCAAGATTTGGGCTCCGACTGGCGACGGGGACGTCGAGGAGTTCTGGGGTTTGCTGCAGGCCTTCTCTTTTTGATGAAGTGTCAGTGGATGCGACACCTTTCGGTTCTTTGCGGATGCAGGTGCCATTGGCCAAGGAACATCGTGACATTGAAAAGGCCGCGGTGGACGGTTGGAACGTTTTGGCTTTTGTTGACAGCTGTCGACTCTGCAGGTGAAGGAGGTGATCAAAGAAGTCCAGTGTGTGGCAGATTACGCGCACAAGTTCAACCAGCATATCGTGCCTCGCAGTGAAGCAGACTTTGTGGTCACGGCGAGTGAAGCAACTCTGAGTTGAGGTCATGTGAATCATGTGCTGAAGTGTACCTTGAAGGCTCGTGCTGCCGGCGATGAACTTGATTCTGCGCCAGCTATCCGCGTGGCTGTGCCGGTTGGCTGCTTTGTGGCGTTGCTGCAACATGGGAGCGAGCAGAGGGGTTTGAAATGTCGTTACAGCTTCGGCGTACAGAAGCCAGCAAGCCACATGGAAGGATCGTTTCTGCATGGAATTTTGCAAAGCAACTTGGGGATAACCTGTTCCGAGCAGCTACAAGAATCGATCGGGATAGTGGATGTATACTTGCCTGCTTTCGTGGCTTCCCTCTCACCGCGAAGCAAGACCGAACCAAGCAGCGCTCTAAACGGTGCCACATGACCTGGCCGCAGGAAGGGAAGTGAACCATGCCAAAAAGTCTAAACCCCGACCCTCGGCATCGACGCGGCTGGGGATGTCGGAAGAGCTTTGCACCTCACAAAACCCTACAGTACTCCTGCAGAACCCCGAGAGCCGTCAAATGCGGAGTTGCTGAGCTAAAGGCTTGCGTTGTGCGTAGTATCACAGCAAACCGGGTCAAGCCGTGCGCACGGAACCTGCGAACTAATGTGTCATTTGTTCTGCCCCCAACCTTCCATCCTCTTGTCCCAATCGTGAGTGCCGGATCATTTTGGCTAAGAGATCCAAGTAGACACCTGTGAGCTTGCGGGACCCCCTCGATTTGCTTCCTGATCTAATGCATCTGGGACCTATCTCCAAGTCTAAAGCCAAGGGTGCAAGCAAAGGCAGGGCACCCGCTCCCTCGGAGCGTCCTCCTGTGGCGCCGGTGTCTAAGAAGGCAGCTGCTCCAGCGGCCTTGCAGTCTGCTACCGCAAAGGCAGCAGACGCTCCGCGAAGATTCGGTGCAGATGACTCCGAGCGTGCAGCGGAGGCTGGTGCCGCAGCCAGCATTGCCGTTGTCGAAGCAGAACCGGAGGATACACGGAGCCTTGACATTCCGCCGCTGGCCTTGGGAAAGACGGGGATGAGCACTTCCCGCCTCGTGTCCAACCATTTCTACCTGTCAGTGAGATCCAGTGGTGATGCCGCTGTCTGGTGCTGTTGGCGGGTGGAATTTAGCAAGATGGAGAAAGACAAGGACCCCAATGCCAAGAAGATGCCAAAGAAGAAAGGCGACGATGAGCATGCAGTGCCGAAGGGGCTGCGGAAGAAGGCGGTGGAAGGGTTGCTCAAAGGCATTCCGCATACCGATTGGCTTTATGACGGCAACAATTTGCTGTACACACGCGAGACCTTGACTGCGCTTCAAGATCTGCGGCAAGAGGTGGCGGTTCCTCCGACGAGACCTGGTGGAAAGCCTTTCCAGCTGGCTTTGGAGGTGAAGTCCGAGGGCCGTGAAATTAATCTTGGATCGCTTCACCAGCCGCAGGTAGACGAGGACCCCGCGAAGGCCATGGAGTCCATGTCAGAACACAAACGCTTTGTGCAGGTGGCCATCCGAACTCTCGCACAGGAGAGAGAGGAACTTATTGCTCACGGCAGAAGAGTACTTTGCGCTGACAGCCGGCTAATCTCTGATGCGGTGTCCTTGAAATACGGTCGCGAGATCTGGTTCGGCTACCAGGCCCAGGTGGAGATCGGGAATGCCGGGACTGGCGTCGCACGCTCGACCTTGAGCTTGAACCTCGTGGCCTCTGTAGGTCTTCCCGAGATGTCGGTCATTGATCTGCTGGGGAAGCTCGCAAGGTACAGTGCGGACGATGTTGTCCAGTGGTATTGGCAAGACCAAAACCTGCACAACTCGCTACGCACAGAGCTTGGCCTGCGAGGGTTGAGGGTCAGTGCAGAATATGGCAAGGTGAAGTACAAGGGCAAGCAGGTGCACGGTGTGACCGACAGGCCCGCGAATCGATATCAGTTCGATTGTGAAGAGATGGGTGGCAGGGTCGATGTTGCCGCCTACTTCAAGCATAAGCACAACATAGACCTGAAGTATCCGGAGCTGCCCTGCATCCAGCTGGCCAACGCACGTAGCTGCATTCCCATGGAGTTCGTCTTCGTCATGGGTGGTGAACACAACTTGGCAGGTCGAAAGCTGCTGCCGGAACTCCAACAGGAGCTGACAAGGAGCACTGCCATGACCCCCTCCAGGCGACGAGACCTGATAATGCAAGCCGTGAGAAACGCACAGCTAGGCCCTTCGGCCGCCCTGAAGCCAAGTGGAATCGACATAGACTTCCAGATGCTTGCCCTTACCGGCCGGCAGTTGGACACGCCAAAGCTCCAGGATGGCAAAGCAGTCATGCGGAGCTCCACGAATTACTCCAACACTTTCAAGACCCTTTCCCCGCCGAAGTTCAAGGTCTCCGGGGGCCTCTGGTGCTTCACAACAAAGTCCAAGCCCAGCCAGAGAGATGTCAGCTGGTTTGCAAGTGAGTTCAAGAACCGTTGCAACATGAGGGGCATGAACTTCGATGACGCCAAGTTTGTGGAGTGGCCCAAGGAAGGCTTCGACGCATATTGGCATTGCTACAAGAACAGGGAGACCTTCTCTAAGGACATGGGCAATTCGATCCGAAATGATCTTTCAAGAGTTGCACGTGCTCACAAAGACCTCCAGCTGCTGGTTATCCTGCTGGACAACCGTGAGGCCATTACAGAGCACCTGTACAGGCTTGTAAAGCTCATCACAGAGACCGAGCTTGGCGCCTTCACTACGCAGTTCATCCACTGCAAGAATGGCATTGAAGACGCGGAGAAGAAGCTGAACAACCTCATGCTGAAAATCGCTCCAAAAGTTCATGAAGAGATGAATGGGACTAGAGCAGCAGCTTTCAATGTGGCCCTGTCGGAGCCACACCCGCTTCTTGGGAAGGACGAGGCTACCATGATCATGGGTGCTGATGTGACCCACAAGGTTGCCGGCATCAGTGTGGCCGGAGTTGTGGGTTCTGGGCTTCGGTCCTCTCCTGTTCCCGGGCCCTTGTGCCCTTGTGCCCTTGTGCCCTTGTGCCCTTGCGCCCTTGTGCCCTTGTGCCCTTGTGCCCTTGTGCCCTTGTGCCCTTGTGCCCTGTGCCCTTGTGCCCTTGTGCCCTTGTGCCCTTGTGCCCTTGTGCCCTTGTGCCCTGGTGTCCTTGTGCCCTTGTGCCCTAGTGTCCTTGTGCACTGGCATCGGGCTTGTCAAGCTGGTATGAAGTTTCGAACGCCTCGCTTTCGTTCCTGTTCTTTTGCTGATGATGCCATGATGCCAGGATGCTTAGCGCATGTGTATTTATGTTTATATGTGTACATGCATATATTTACCTTTATATGTATGTGTATATAAGTATGTTTGTATGTATGTTTATATATTTATATGTTTACATGTGTACATGTATGTACATGTATATGTGTACACGTAAATATATATATATATATATATATATGTATATATGGAGCGTGGGGGCAATGGGTGCAGCACCTCACAGTTGCGCGGTGCGTCGGTGCACCGCATGCAACTCGGTTGCGCCGATGCGCCAGCCAGTGCGCCGTTGCGCCGCTGGAACACGGATGCGCCGATGTACCGGTGCGCCGGTGCGCCGACCCCCATGGATGCGCCGGTGCGCCGACGCCGGCTGCGCCGCTTGCGCCAACTGCGCAGCTTGTGGAGCCTTGGACTGATGGGGCGCCCCTGATTTTAAAATCAGAACTCTTACCACCCTTGAACTCCGAGGATGGAGCCTTGGACTGATACGGCGCCCCTGATTTTAAAATCAAAACTCTCACCACCCCTTGAACTCGAGGATGGAGCCTTGGACTGACGGGGCGCCCTTGATTTTGAAAAAACAGAACTCTTACCACCCTTGAACTCCGAGGATGGAGCCTCGGACTGATAGGGCGGTCCTGCCTTTAGAACCAGAAGTCTTATCACCCTTGAACACCCCTGATTTTAAAATGAGAACTCTTATCACCCTTGAACTCCGAGGATGGAGCCTGGGACTGATGGGACCCCCTGGATTGAAAATCAGAACTCTAATCACCACTGAACTCCGAGGATGGAGCCTGGGACTGATGGGGCGGCCCTGATTTTAAAATCAGAACTCTTACCGCCCTTGAACTCCGAGGATGGAGCCTTGGACTGATGGGGCGCCCCTGATTTTAAAATGAGAACTCTTACCACCTTTGAACTCCGAGGATGGAGCCTCGGACTGATGGGGCGCCCCTGATTTTAAAATCAAAACTCTCACCACCCTTTGAACTCCGAGGATGGAGCCTTGGACTGACGGGGTGCCCTTGATTTTGAAAAAACAGAACTCTGACCACCCTTGAACTCCGAGGATGGAGCCTTGGACTAATGTGGAGCCCCTGATTTCAGAATCAGAACTCTTATCACCATTGAACTCCGAGGATGGAGCCTGGGACTGATGGGGCGCCCCTGGATGAAAAATGAGAACTCTTACCACCCTTGAACTCCAAGAAATGCCTCGAACTGATGGGGCGCCCCTGAGTTTAACATCAGAACTCTTACCACCCTTGAACTCCGAGGATGGAGCCTCGGACTGATAGGGCGGTCCTGTCTTTAAAACCAGAAGTCTTATCACCCTTGAACACCCCTGATTTTAAAATCAGAACTCTTATCACCATTGACCTCCGAGGAAGGAGCCTGGGACTGATGGGACCCCCTGGATTGAAAATGAGAACTCTTATCACCCTTGAACTCCGAGGATGGAGCCTGGGACTGATGGGACCCCCTGGATTGAAAATCAGAACTCTAATCACCATTGAACTCCGAGGATGGAGCCTGGGACTGATGGGGCGGCCCTGATTTTAAAATCAGAACTCTTACCGCCCTTGAACTCCGAGGATGGAGCCTTGGACTGATGGGGCGCCCCTGATTTTAAAATGAGAACTCTTACCACCCTTGAACTCCGAGGATGGAGCCTCGGACTGATGGGGCGCCCCTGATTTTAAAATCAAAACTCTCACCACCCCTTGAACTCCGAGGATGGAGCCTTGGACTGACGGGGTGCCCTTGATTTTGAAAAAACAGAACTCTGACCACCCTTGAACTCCGAGGATGGAGCCTTGGACTAATGTGGAGCCCCTGATTTCAGAATCAGAACTCTTATCACCATTGAACTCCGAGGACGGAGCCTCGGACTGATAGGGCGGTCCTGTCTTTAAAACCAGAAGTCTTATCACCCTTGAACTCCGAGGATGGGGCCTCGGACTGATGGGGCGCCCCTGATTTTAAAATCACAACTCTATTCATGTTTATATGTATACATGTGTACATGTATATGTGTATATGTGTATGGGTAATTATGTATTCTTGTGTAGATGCATATATTTAGATGTGTATATATGTATATATGTATAAATGTATATATGTATATGTGTACACGTGTTTTGTGTATATATGTGTACGTGTACATATGTATATGTGTATGTATGTATGCACGCATGCATGTATGTATGTGTATATATATATATATATCAAAATGTGTATATGTACATAAGTAATTATGTGCATGTTTATATACGTATATGTGTATATATGTATAGATGTATATATGTACATCTGTACTTTTGTATATGTACATACATATGTATGTTTTGTACGTGTTATATGTATATGTGTACATATGTAGAAATGTATACATGTGTATATGTAGACTTGTATATTTGTATACATGTCTATGTGCATTCGCGCTCTTGTGCGCCCTTGTGCCCTTGTGCCCTTGTGCCCTTGTGCCCTTGTGCCCTTGTGCCCTTGTGCCCCTGTGCCCTTGTGCCCTTGTGCCCTTGTGCCCTTGTGCCCTTGTGCCCTTGTGCCCTTGTGCCCTTGTGCCCTTGTGCCCTTGTGCCCTTGTGCCCTTGCCGTGCCCTTGCCGTGCCCTTGCCGTGCCCTTGTGGTGCCCTTGTGGTGCCCTTGCCGTGCCCTTGCCGTGCCCTTGTGCCCTTGCGCCCTTGTGCCCGGGATCACTGGGGGACCTCTCTCGGGTTCTGTGGACTCAAGCTATGCATCTTACTTCCACGAGATCCGCGGGCAATCACCGCACACTCTGAATGCACTCAAGCAGCGAAAGCGCCAAAGCGAAGAACGCATCATTGACTTGTCCAGTATGACGCAGAGCATCCTGGAGAAGTGGAGAAACTTGAACAAGAAGCTCCCCGAGACGATCATCTACTACCGCGACGGCATCTCTGATGGACAGTTCATCAACGTTCTGACGCGAGAGCTCAACTTGCTCGACGCCGCTTTCAAGAACATCAGCACCACGTACAGCCCGAAGCTGGTGATCATTGTTGGCCAAAAACGTCACCAGACACGCCTGTGGATGCAGGATGGTGGCATCGAAGTTGACAAGGGCAAGGGGAGGGGAAGGACAAGGGGTAACACGACAAAGGCAAGGGCAAAGGAAAGGACACTGCACAGGTCCCTCCTGGTACAGTGGCCAGCGAGGGTATTGCCCAGCCATCGCATTTGAATTTCTTCCTGGTCTCGCAGCAAGGTATTCAAGGCACGTCCGTGCCTTGCCACTACCACATCCTGCACATGGACCAGAGGCTCGTGGAGCAAGGCATCACTGTGGATGACTTTGAGACCATCACGTTCCAGGTGTGCCACATGTATTCACGTGCTGATAAATCCGTGGGCTATGCCGGGCTATGCCACGCCGGCGTACATGGCCGACCATGTTTGTGAGCGCGGCAAGCACTACCTTGAGGCGTGCTACGGGTCCTCGGACGTGACGAGCACCCACGGTTCCTCAGTGAGTGAGGACCAGCAGGACGAGAACTTGCGAAAGCAGATTGACGAAAGAACTAGCTGGCTGAACAATCGTGCAGCGCAGAGTTCCCGCCTGAAGCTTAATGGGCTTCAGTTTTTCTGTTGAGGAGAGGACATGCGGATCCGAAAGCGCAAGGTTAGAGTGATCTGCAGCTGACGACTCCCAGGGTCCTGCTAGTCACTTCCTGCTTCAATGTAAGAGTAGGATCCTGGGCGGGAAGAAGTCTACGGAAGCACCGTCACCTTATGTGTTGAACATTTTGTTTGCAGAAAGGTAAGCTGTGGGGGCCCTGTTGTCCCACCTCTTTGTTTGTTGCTTATCATCATGACTCCTCCCTTTAGTTTCGTTTCACTCGTCAGACTCCGAACAGTATGCCTCGCCTGGATTGTCTGAGTGTGAGCGCCGAAAGGCTTCGATGGCGAGAGTAATTCGCTGATGGGTCGAACTGAGGTGCTCGACAGCATCAACCCACACGTCGCCGATGCCGGGGATGCTCTGATGCTGAATCCTGAACTGCACTGGAGAGCAACCCTCGACGCCCTCAATTAGCCTCGTGATGGTTTGTAGTAGCAGAGGTGCCGCAGCTCAACAGGAGGGTCTTAAATGGTACACTTAGCGTAGATCACCAGTCACCAGTCCGTCCCCCGATGTGAGAGCCTTGTTTTGCGAGTGAAGTGGATCTCGGAGCAGAGCCATAAAGTACCTTGATCAGGCTTAAAGGGCTGGAAAGCTAAGGACACTCTTCGATGCCGCATCCGTCACGAAGTTCGTCTTCGAAGGTCCGCCAAGAAGCCACTTTCGGGGACCCGACACACAAGCAGAACGGCATGTGAAAGCGAGAAACAGGTGCCGAAGACTTTCAAGAGCTCCCACAAGCTTTCTTCCACTACGTTGCCTGGAGCAGTGGTGGCCAGGACGCATGCATAAAACTCGAGCTGATGCTGACCACTTCTCGCAATTCTCAGATCACCTGGCCGCGAGGAGATGGTGGCCGACCTACAGGGGGTAGAGGATGAGCTTCTCCCTAAGAGTGTCGCAAGGATGTCAGAGGCATATATATATATATATATACACATATTATATATATATATATATGTATATGTATATACATACATAATTGATAAGCATATGCGGTGACTTTGGGACTGCAGCATCTTCATGCTGAGACATGCTACCGTAAGATCCGTAAGGCTTCACGTTTGCTTGCTCGCTACAGAGCATTCTTCCCAGGCAAGACTTCCTGCTTGTCGACCCTGCGCGGTCCCGAGTTCTCGATTTTTCTACATGCAGTTCTCGATTTTTCTACATGCCGGAGATGCGCAGTTGAGCGGCAAGCAAATGCAAGCAATCTAGGCTCATCGGGTCTGTCCGATGTTCGACTTTCTGACCTCCCTCTGCCTGCCGAGTTTTGAAGAACATCGTGTAGTCTCTTTCAACCCGCAACCACCAAACAAAGACCAGATCAAAACTCTCCCATCCCACTTTGACGCTCATCTGCCAGAGTCGCTTCAAGCCGTGTCTTTGGGTCGTGACACGTCATATCTTGGATGCGCATCTTGCAGTTGGGGAGTAAGTTTACGCGCGCGCGCGCGCGCGCGCGCGAATTTCGGGGGACTAAGTGACTAAGGTGCTGATTCGGCCTCAAGAGCTCAGTCTGACTGGCATTCTCTCCGCGGTGCTGCGGCCTCATACGTCTTGTCCGAGCGTTCTCCGAGCTCTCTCCTGTTGAGCGCAAGAAGACCGGCCTGAAAGGAGCGGCGGCGGTGTTAACAGCACCTCACTCACTTCGCGAAGGCAATGCTGTGCTCGCTGCTTCTACGTGTGAGGGCTTTGAATGGGCAGCAGCTTCTGTTCCGAAGAAAGGTTAGACGAATGGCATCCGCGGTGTGGACAGTCCAGCACCCAACGCATCGCTGCAGTTTCATGCTCGGACCTTGACCTTAAGCCGTCTGCAAGTAGATCATTCCATCTCTTTGAGATTAGGGCAGGTCGCGTCAGGCGACCTCCGACCTAGTTGGTTGACTGCCAATAGGCTGGTGCCTGGTGGTCTTGCAGCGAGTCAGCAAAACGGGGAGCCTAGGTTGTGCGGATCCTTTGATCCACAAAGAAGGGGTGGCACCACAAGGACTCCTTCGAACTTCGCACACAGTCGCTGCTAGGCGAAGGCGAAGCATAGGAATCATGAGTATCAGATTCCACTGCGGCCAGGAGAGCTTGCGGCGTTCGTCCGCCGGCCGATGTTGCATGTCGTGCTGCATGGCAATCTGTACTTCATTTTGCGTCGTTGAGCCTCGAGTTTTGGATGCATTGTACAAACGCCGCCATTGTCCTCGCCAGCTCTTCCCCATTGCGGCATCGCTGGTGGATGAGAGTGAGCCTCCTCGTCTTGTCCGCAAGCGTCGGGCCAAGCCGTGGACCGGTAGACTCAATGCCGACCGCGATAGCAACATTCAAATTCAATTATGCCAGAGTGTTTTTTCCGTCCAAAATATGCGCCAGCTGTTATTGTTACAACGAGCAGCCGAGCAGGCCTTAGGAAGCACGTAGCTCATACAGCTTGTTTAGGGCGCTGGGTGTAAGTTGGAGCTAGTCAGGGATGAAACGAAGTGAGCGCTTTAATTCGAGGCAGTGCCACGGAAGCTGCATCATCGGCAACCCCCGAATGATTTGTAGACAGCGATAACAGACTGACAGCGGCCACTGAGAAGATTGCTGATGCAGTGGAATTTGAAAGCCAGCTCTGAAGCACTGGGCTTTCAGATGCATTAAGCATCAATGCGACTGCGAGTTGCGAGAGACTGCTTGCCTGAGAATGGTGTACCATCTTATGCTGTTCGTGGCTGCATGGTGTTGGAATGCTGCCACCGCAAGCTGCAGAACACCTCGCTGCAGCTATTCTCAATAGGAGCCGTGATCGTGAGGACTGTAGACCGCGGAAGCGGATGCTGCTTCATGCCTCACGATGCCTCACGTGAACGACCTTCTTAGATGCCTTTCACTCTACCGCAGCACAAAGAAATCCTGTAAGCTTGGGCCGACCGACGAAACAGGCTCAGTCTTGACTCATGGCTTGGTCAGGCTCTGGAGGCACGTCTGGTCGCTTCCGATAGCCGGGGCTCGGTGTTCAATACGCGTTGCCTAGTGCTCAACGAGTGTAGCAAGACCGAGCAGGGCAGAAGGCGGAAGTGTTGCCGCGGTCGGAGGCACTGCGTGCTGAAGGAGCGATCAATCTTACGTGAACGGCTGAGGTGTTTTTGACGAAGGTGCAAGTCTAGTTAGCCAAGGAGTAGGATTAACCCGAGGCCATGAACAAAGCCAGAGCCATGCTCGATGCCCTCATGGGGCCAAATCGCGACGAGAAGGAAGTCGACAAAGCAAAAGCCACTCGACTTCCAAAGTACTTGCAACACTACAATCACGACAAGCAACGTGGTTGTGCGGGGCTTGGACACGCTTGGCAGGGTTGCCCTTTGTTGGAAAGACTGTTAAGTTAAGGCAAAAGAAAAATTCAAGGATCCAGGTTTCTCGGCTGCGACAGATTTCTCCACTTGCAACTTAACGTTTTGGTCCGTCCATTTCCTTTCTGCTACAAGCAATTCAGGCGTATGTAAAAGTTTTCTCATCGGGCTTTGCCCGCTTGATCGAGCTTACCTGGGCGGCTCCGCAGCTGCATGTGAGATCGCGCGGAAGCATGCCAGAACTCATGTTCAATGCCACTGCTACGTCATCCGAGGCAAACGTGGGATCCTTAGAATGATCGGATTCAATGACTGCAAGGATACCATCGTGGCCCTGTCCATTTCATGCACTCGAGCGCCAGTCCAAGCCAGTGGATGCACGGATACAGCATGGTTGAGGTCAGTTTAAGCCCTGTGACAAGATTCACTCAGAAATTATGAGAGATCAGTCATTGCCTCAGCATAATGAGTCCACACGCTTAAGCATTCGTAGATCGATTGCATCCCGCTCTTCATCCGAAGTGGTTGAAGGTTCATCACGCACCCCGATGCTGATGAGCTGAGACGTGTAGCCCCTGGTGCCGTATAAGACTGTGCACATGCGGACCGGCAACTTGTCAGATGTCTCTTTTATACAAGCTTGTGTCATTGCTCGGGAGCAAGAGTTCTGGCAGAACTACAAGCAAGGTCGGTATGAAGCAGACACGCTTCCCAGTTTGGAGTTTGTCGTGCGAGAGTGCGAAGCACGAATCGCGGACGAGAAGGGGCGGATCCGCATTCCCCGCTGGATTTTCTGTATTTCAGACCAGAGGCCATCACTGCATGCTTTTCATTGGCGGTGCCAGGAGATGACTGGGGCAGGAGAAGACCTCCGTTGCCCGTAGCAGCCCCGGCACTCCAAAGCGCATACTATCGGCCTACATGGAAGTTTCCGAAAATAGGGGTACTTACTATTTAGGGTACGATATGAGGACCCCCTATTTCCGGAAACCCCTACCTGTTTACCCCGCTCCAAGACTGCCCGGGAGGTTCCTGTCATCGACAAGCTCTCCGCAATGAAGCGGGAGAGCTCCGCCAAAGTGTCGACCCGAGGCATCTTTTTACCTTTGGTTAGTAGGGAAGGGAGGAATGGGGTACAATTATAACTACTATTACTACCATATAACTACTGTATAACTACTATTAATTACTATTACTACCATTCTTCCATTCCCTACTAACCAAAGGTGAGTCTTGAAGCCCCCCGAGTCCGAGCCAGGGCTCTCTTAGAGCCTCCCGGCACTGCACCTCCGAGGTGAAGCACGCTGAGAGCTGGGGTCTCAGAGTCTTATAGGCTATGCTGTGCTAGTAGGGGCCCTAAATAATTACATCCACTTGTTGGGGGATTCCTTATTATAGTTTATGGGCCCCAAAACCCTAGTCTAATTATTAAGGCCCCTATATTAGGATCGCCTGGGGGGGTTGGTTGCTGACTTCGCTGTATCGCTTCAGAGGCCTGGACGACGACAAGTTTCAGGAGAAGGCTCGCTTGATGGCCGAGGCCAGGCAAACTTTGCGACTGTGCAAGTAGTAGTAGTAATTAGTAGTAGTAGTAGTAGTACTAGTAGTAGTAGTAGTAGTAGTAGTAGTAGTAGTAGTAGCAGTAGTAGTAGTAGCAGCAGCAGTAGCAGTAGCAGTAGCAGTAGCAGTAGCAGTAGCAGTAGCAGTAGCAGTAGTAGTAGCAGTAGCAGTAGCAGTAGCAGTAGCAGTAGCAGTAGCAGTAGCAGCAGCAGCAGTAGCAGCAGTAGCAGTAGCAGCAGTAGCAGTAGCAGTGTAGTAGCAGTAGCAGTAGCAGTAGCAGTAGCAGTAGCAGTAGCAGTAGTAGCAGTAGTAGTAGCAGTAGCAGTAGCAGTAGCAGTAGCAGTAGCAGTAGTAGCAGTAGCAGTAGCAGTAGCAGTAGCAGTAGCAGTAGCAGTAGCAGTAGCAGTAGCAGTAGCAGTAGCAGTAGCAGTAGTAGTAGCAGTAGTTTTACTCGCGTCAGCAATGATACGAACAACAATAATAGCAATGGTAATAATTATACGTTTCTCATCCGCTCACGCTGCGATGGCATCGGGGGCGCAGGACCGTAAAAATTGGGCCGCGAGTGTGACACAAAAGCCTAGACCCGGACACAGCGAAAGGGAACCAAAGCTTCTTTCTGGCAACTGATGATTTGCTTATCTTTGCCTGTTGCTGTGTGGATGGGGTGCATTGTGTCCAAAAACTTGCCATAGATGCGCAACATGGCTCTGAATGAAGTTGGAGCTCTTTTCACCTGCTGAAGCTCTCCTCCACGTGGCTTGGCACCGCGGGACCAGAGACAAGAGCTGGCCTTCAAACTCATTGAGCTCGAATGAATGGACTAGCATATCTTGCCCGCACCGATACTGCAAACGTTTTCGTCAGCCAAAGGGCCTCTACTTTAAAGGCTGCGCTCGACTGCATAACCCAGGGACACGGCACTGCAAAGCGGGGGGGGGGAGATACCTTACCTGGCGCGCCGGGACTATTCACGGTGGAACACTGCAGATTCAATATTGGGTGGGTGGGTGATGAAACATCTGCTTCGGCACTTCCCCAGCCGAAACGCGACTACGGCGGCACTGTCATGTCGTCTGAGAAAGTTGTCTTGTTTGCAACCCGGCAAGCTGCAACAGGCTAGTTCTGATATATTCTGGGTGAACTCTCCAGGCCGAAGACCTCACAAAGGAGGCAGCCGCAGTCGAGGAGGCTCTGTCATCCGTCTCTTTGTATCTGTGTGTCTTTGCCGCTCTTCCCCTTGACCTCATATCTCTCTGCTCTTGTTGAGAGGCGTTGCCCTTGCCATGCATAGAATAAACTCTGTTCAGGAGGTTGTTTGAGACAGGTGCATGTCACGGCTGCTCACTTGGCATCTTTACTGAACAATTTGCAGGAGGAGACAAAGAAGGCGATTGCGGCTGCTGTTCCTGAAGAAGTTTGTCGTGGCCTGGGAAATTGCCAGGTTTGCTGTGTTTGGTGCTGGCATGTGCAATGTGCTCAGGTGACATCTGCGGCACCTGCTACCAGGGCGCTGCTGTGGCAGACTTGGGTCGTCCTTTGGTGAGCGTGCACGCGCAGACTCTGACTCCAAGGCTGATGCGGCCCACAAGCAGTTCAAGATACACAACTCCTACCAGGACTTTCTAAGTCGCAGCAAAGCACCTGCCACAGCTCCAGCTTGGTTTGGTGTTGATTCAGTGCATGACACTCCACAGCCGGGCCGGAAGGAGATTCGAAATAAGCTGGACGAGCTGAAGCCCCGAGTAGACGAGTGGCGTAAGGGCCGCCAAGATCAGGACACTGCAAAGCTCCTATACATAGATAAATGAATCAAGAGGTGTGTAAATATGTATTTATGTTTATGTTAACGTTCGTTCATGTAGTTATTCATATTGAATGTATGTATACATGTGTATGCATATTCAATACGTGTGTAAGTACGTGTCCAATGTACCTTTTGCACGCCTCTCGAAACGCATTGTTGGCTGCAACCTACGCCTCAATTCTCGCCTGAGTCCCTCGAGTGCGAGTGCTAAAGAAGTATGAATATACATACATACATACATACATACATATATATATATATATATATGGCTATGCATGTATTGCTGCATGCATACATGTACCATATCGGTAGACTGAAGGCCTTTTTTAAGGCGGCTGTGGGTTGCCCTGAGGATCCGAAGGCCGAGCGCTCCGAGAAGCGGAGCCGAAAGGCCGAAGACCCGGAACCGGCGCAGCGGGACCGGAGCCGTCGAGGCAGTGCTGGGCCAAACGCAGAAAGGAGACTTGGGGACTGAGGGATAGAACGTAAATCAAACAAACCAAACCTGGCGCTGGCCCTCTGGATGCAACAGAGAGAGAGACGGAGAGAAACCATGCAGGACTGTATGTCGGTGCTTGCAATGTAGAAACCGCGGCTCTTGCGGCTTGCACAAGATATCCACCGGGACAGGGTGTCCGGTGGATATCTTGCCCGTGTGTGCTTTAGGAACAGTTAGGAACCAACCCTGGGCCTCAAATTCCGCAGTCGTGTTTGCAACGACAGCTCTTCCCAATGGTCAGGGCGTTTTGCCTGAAACCAGTCGCCATGAGTTTACCAGCAACGTTCACTAGGTTGTTTTGCAGCTGTTTAACACTTTTTGTGTTGTTGTTTTGGCAAGCCGGCCAAAAGGCATGAAGTCAACGGTATCGTTTTCACTCGCATGCCAACAGCATGCACCCTGAACACGAATATAGAAATACTTGACAAGACCAGACAGAGACTACAAATATATGGCAATAGAAACTACTGTTCCTGCGGGAATTACAAACAGACCTCTGTGTAGGAAGCACAACCCGGCTTTAGAAACTGAGTCGTGCTCGTCTTCGGATTTTCCTGAGTGACTTGGTTGGCTTCGTCTTTTTGGCAGTGACAGTGTAATGTGTCACTGATTCCTGTCGCGGGGTAGTCCTCACACGATTGCTGACGCAAGTCACCACATCTTGCAAAAAAATGGACAAGCTGGTGGAAATTGTTGGTATGCCGGAAGACAAATGATTGCATAGTGTTTTGCAGATGAGGTAAAGTGCTTACTGCTTGGAAAACTTTCAACAAGGACTAAAACTGACGGTGTAAGGGAGGGTTTCTGAAGCCCACAGCTCAGTGCAAATCCCGGTATGTAATGTTTTCCATTACCGAATGGAAAAAAGGTTTTCATGAACGAAGGTACAACAGTGAAAACGCATGGGCCAGTTTTCGGCCTCAAACCGAAAAATATTACTACATACATATATATATATATATAGTTTGTATGTATATGTGGATGTGTATGCGTGTGCGTATGTATATCAGAGCATACGCAAAGATGCATATATGTTAATATAAGTCCAGCGCAGTGTCGAGATGTGTGTGTATATACGTATACATACACACAACACACATCACGTGCATCTGCTCGGAAGGCCGAGATCGCGCTGGGGCCTCAAGTTGACGTACGAAGCTGACAGTACTCGGTCACTCGGTACCTAAACCCCCTGCTGCAGGGTTCGTTTAGTATATGAAGCAGAGTATAGCCCCAAAGCCTATTCTGATTATTCAGGCCCTATTTAGGATCGACAGCTCGAGGAAGACGAGCGAGGCGCTGCGCGAGGGGGCCGTGACAGGTCCAGGCCTGTCAACACCCTGTAGTAAGGGAATTTGGGGTTTAGGGGCTGCCACACATTCATGACTGTCTGTGCACATGAGGACTCTTTGCCTTTTTTTTGCACTTTCCACCGCACCTGGCAGATGTGTCAGTCCAGTGGCTCAGGCGGCACGGACCGAGAAAATGCCGCTGCCTACACATACTGGAAAAATGCAGCACCTCAGGAAACAAAGGGGTCGCATGTCCCAACAGTGCCATTTCAAGAGCAAGCGGGTCGAGCCGGACAGACACGGAGTCAAAAGCAGGCAGCATGACAGTGAAGGAGCACGTGGCTCAGCAGGATACCGAAGGAGCAAATGGAGCAAGAGGCACGAGTGCCCAAGTCATTGAAATCATGTGGGATTTTCGCCGCGACCTCCTGTCCGTCCACCACTCACATGATGTTGGCACCTTAGTGCCCATGTTGGTGTTATTTCTTTTCGGGACCTGTTCGAAGATGTCGAGGGTCTTGGACTGGAACTGACACCGTACATATTTAGCGTTTATACTTTCGAAGAGATGGGCTTCCGAACACGGAAACTGAAGGCGGTTGCAGCTTGATAATTAGCCAGAGCCGGACGTATGGGAAACCTGTTGCTTCTCCAAGGCTGCCAGTGCCGTTGGGGTTCTGCCAGCGTCTATTCAGGGGCCTTTCGATAAACTCTGTGCCGTTGATTGTTTTCGGCAGGGATCGCAAGCGCAGTCGAAGAAGAAGCCGCGACGGCAGGTCGGATCGGCCACTTCCCAGAAGCCTGTATCACTACCGCATGACCCCGCGTGCTGCCTGCCGAGCTTGTTGGGAGGCGACGCAGAGAACGCGACTGAGCGGAGTAGATAGTAATATAGGCCGCTAGGCCGTTCATTGTTACGTGACTACACTGCTACTTCTGCTTGCCCTTGTAGAGTACACAGCACAATCTTCTCAGCAAGTAGTTCGCCAACATCTCTCCAACGTCGGCAATGTCACCTAGGGTGGTAGAAATCTCAAAGTCCTACGAACCCCAAGAGTTGATGCCAAGTGCCCATGCCGGAAGTGAAGCACAAAGTTCCCCTGCAGACGGGTAACATTTTTGGTTCAGTTCCTGGCTGGACCGAGCGAGCTTCACTGCGGAAACAGCGTGGGCCGAGAGCGGGAACATTCCACTGTGGTTCATGCACTGGGTGACAGCTTGCGTCTGATCGTTTGCATCATGCGTCCCGCTGGAGCCATTCATGTTCGAAAAAGCAGGGTTTTGACGTAGACCAAGCCATGGTGCCAGTGCTTGTTGTTTTTGCCCTGGGCTTTCGGGGAGCTGCGGAAGAGTTAACCTGCAGCTTGCAGACGAAGACATCGAGCATCTTGCAGGTGGAGGAACCTGCGCCGCAAGGCAAGCCGAGCAAAAATGGTCTCGGGGGCCCGAAAAGTCAGAGGTGTTTGGCGCCTGGTCCACGCCAGGGTTGCACTTCCAGCAGTGTGCTCACTCCAAGTCCAAGCCCAGAAAGTCCGTGCCCTTCTTATCTTTAGCGTCCGCACTCCGGAGCGCAGAGCACGGCCAAGGTGAGGCCAGGGAGCCTTTGCCTGATGTCAATTGCTCGCTGGGCGAGATGCCGATAGGCCACTTCGCAGGTGACACCTACGAGTTCAACTGCTGCAATGCTGGCCAGCAGTGCGGAGGTTGTCGAAAGGTTTAAGATTGCATTTGCCAGGAATGCGCTGCTGGCTTCGTCCACCAGCAGATCCCGGTCTTGAACATCACAAAGTGTTTTCTGTGCGACGACATTCCCGATTGGCACGACTCCCATGGCCATACTTGCTACGACTACGAGTCTATGGGCTTTTGCCATGGCTTCGTGAAGGCCGGTCGTGACCAGCCTTTCCATGGCCTCCGACCCAGCGAGGCGTGTTGTGCCTGCGGCGCAGGCAATGTGCAGCCCACACCTACTTCAATGAGCTTCGCGCAGCGGGCGGTAGTCTTTGGAGATGCGTGCGACCAAGAGCTTCCCGCTCCATCGAATGGAGCTCCCCACCTCTCCAAGAGCTGAAGAACTTCCAGCTTCAGTGTGACTGCCCTTGGCTGCGCATGTCACCGAGCCTGGAGCTGCAGGCCGGCTCGCTGCAGACGCCCCTGGAGGGGCCTTCGCTATCGAGCTTCCACGGCATGCCATCCTGCAACTGCGAGGTCTCAGCTGACCTTTGCTACTGGAGGTTCGGATTAGGATACAAAGGACTCCGTTGCTATCAGGTTTTCCAGAAACGGCCATCCACCAGCGTCGCCGTGGTGCAGATACGTCTCTGGCAGTCGGGTGCCTACCAGGTGCCGGTGCTTCGTGGCCGCATCGGTACGCCCCTGGAGATCTCGGAACTAAAGGAGCATATCCCAGGCTTCCGCTGGTACAAGGACCAGGACGACTCTGACCAGGCCCTGAAACTGCCTGTCTTGGAGAACATCTCCTCGGGTGCACGTTTCGAAGTTTCGCCTGCCATGAGCCCCGAGATCCTAGACGTGCAGTGCCGCGATGCCAGCAACGCCACCTACTCGTGGTCCCGCATCACCGGCGGCATCACCCGCAATGGGCAGGCGGCTTTCAACTTGGATCCCTTCTCGGGGCTTGCCTCTGGCACTCCTAGCTTGGACCTATCTGCTGAGGGGCGCGGGAGGCTTCAGATCAACTGTGGAGTGGCACTGGGCGGGCAGTTGCATGACAAGGTCTTACCAGTGGCGAAGCTTACGGTTGACGTGGTGGACAACATGTGCTGGGTTCCCACCAATATCTCCGGATGGTTCGGCTGGAAGGACCTGCCGTCAAAGAGCGCTTGCCTTGCCCTCTGCCGCGAGGGGGCAGACTGCGCAGCGGTCCAAATTGGGAGCGGCACATGCCGGGCTGTCGTCAGTGACGGCGAGAAGGAGCCTTTCTCTCAGCAGGTGCTGATGCGCCTGGAGAATTGCTCCGAGGAGGATACGGAGCTAAACCTCACGGTCAAGGGCGCTTGGTACGTTCAAGGGGCCTGTGCATCATCGAATGTCTTCCAGGACCGGGTATCCTATTCGCGCGCGGGGGCCACGCCCGAGTTGCAGATCCACCTCGTGCAGCAGGAATTCGTGGTAGCAAACCCAAAGGCCTGTGAGAACGCTTCCTGGCTATTGGTGCACACGAACTCTTCGGACTTCCAGAATGGGAGTGTGGACGCTCCGGAGTTCTTTGGTGCAGCGATGGCCTGTACCAGCGATGACACAAAGCCTTTAGACACGGGTATGAGAATTTTGCGATGGAGTTCCTCTCTGCAGAGCTGACAATGCGGTCCCGGAAAAGCCCCCGGCCCGGCAGCATGCAGAGCTGAAGCTGGCAGTTCCCTCCTGCGAGCAACCCCAGCTGGCAGATTTCGTCTTCGGTACCTTGGAGGACCTCGAGCACTATTCCCTGCATCCGTGTGAGTGCTTTGGCGAGTCGCATGCTAACGCAGCACCAGTGGTCGAGTCTTCTAGTGTTCAAGTTCCTCGAAGTCGCGGCTTCAACACGGGAACAGTCAAGGACCAGCTGATCTTCTCAGGGCCCTACACATGTGAAGATACGGCGGTCCTGTCCCAGGCCTTCTCTACAACACTTGCGAATTGCGCGGCCCTGTGCCGTGCTGATGCCACATGTGCCTTTTATCAGTTGGCTACAGTTGACGACACCTGCACGCTCTTGGAGCGTTGCGATTACATCCAGCAGGTTGACGTTCAGCTGACGGGCGAGCTGTATGGCATCCCGCTCAAAGGTGACTTCTGCCTCATCGCCAACCCTGAGCAGTGCTGGCAGCAGATTAATAGGCCGGAGCTACTTGAGTCTGACACCTTCGAATGTGCCCACATGTCTCTTCCAGAAGCAGTATGATGCCTGTGACGCGCTTCAGCAGATCTCTGGCTGGCAGGCTGGCAGCTGCCAACGCTGCCAGTACATCAATGCAGCGAATATGCCACAAAGGGCATTCAAAAGGTGCCTTTGCCATCGGAGTTCCCTAGCGCGTCGCAGATCGCCGTGGGCTGCAACTCCACTTCCCGCATGTTCGGCAGGCTGGAGGAGAGCCTGAAATGGGAGGGCCCCCGCCCGACGACCATTTTCACCTGCGTTAGCGGCCAGTGGGTCGGCGAGCTTGGATCATGGCAGAGCCTTGGAAACCTGAGCTGCCAGCAATGTATCCAGGTCGGGACGCCCAGCCTTGGGAACTTCTCCAACTTCGACATTCCAGAGGTCTATTTCTTGGAGCACCGGCTGGTTCAGGTCACCCAGGCAAGTTCTTCGGGCCAGGGCTGCCCGACCGCAAGCTGGCAGACGCGGTCACCGCTGGTCCTGCAGTTGGAAGGCCACGATGGCCAGCGCCTCCTCCGCGCATCTCCGCGCTTCGAAAATCTGGTCCTGAAGCCCACCTGCTCCGAGGCCGAGGAGGAGACCCTCTTCTGGCAGGATGCGAGCACTATGCAGGTTCTTTGCGCTCCGGGAGTCCACACGAGGAACGTTGCCTGCAGTTGCGCCACGATTCGCTCTCACTCGTTGACTGTGGTGCAGATACCCTGCGCCTGGAAAGGCAGAAGCTCCTGGCAGACGCCGGCTACATCCGGGTAGAGGCCGAGGCTAATGGCTCGCAAGTCAAAGCCGCCTTCGCGCGTTGCTCGGTGAGACTGAGGTCACCCCTGTTCCTCATTTTTGCAGTCTCAGTCAACCTTTGAGGCTTGTCATTGTGGCAGCTAAAGGCCCGCCCGTTTCGTTTTGACACTATAAACCTTAAACCTTGCAGGCCAGGCTTGAGAGTGCCCGCACGGCCTTGCCAGCAGCCACGCAGTCTCGCTCCCGTTGCCACAGCCCGTCGTCGTTGTCGTCGCCCCCGCCGTAGTCGGTCGGCATCTCAAGAAACGGCTTCAGTCTCCGAAGAGTAGGCATCAAGGACAGCTTTATCCTGATCATGTGCCGCCGGTTCCCCTGGTTCCCTTAGGGTGTAGTCCCTTTAGGTCCCAGCCGAGCTTTGAGCGCACTGCATGTGTTACATCTTCAGCCTTTTCGCTTGATCCGACTTTCAAGTGTTGGTGCTGTGGCGCAGCCGGCCAGCTTTGCCTGAGGTGTGGTCGGGAATCCTCGAAAGAGGGCAAGAAATCCTGCCAAGGACGGGTTAGGACCACTGCTGCCCGCACGGATTCGCATGATGACCTTTTTCTTGAAGGTGCCGAGGCCAGCCCGAGGTGCGGTCAAGATTGGTTGAAAGACCCTAGCATATCCCACCGAGGGTTGGCTGAAACTGCTTGCGCAGCCTTGCATGCACCCCACTCCGGCAATATCCAGCTTTCTCCTGCTTTGGCCCCCGATGCTGCTGCAGGTCAAGAGTGCTCGCAAGATCTGCTAACTTTCCTGAAGGGCTCTCAGAGCCTATGTGTGTGCGCCCAGCCGCTTCGGCAGGGTTTTCTTCAGAAACAGCCGGAGGCGAAATTGTCGGTTTTCCCTCCGAAAAGGACAATTCGGCCGGGAGCCGAATCATCGGCTTTTCCTCAAAACCTGACAATTCGGCTCCTCGTGTTTGGGCCGGGAGCCGAATCATGGGTTTTTCCTCAAAACCTGCCAATTCGGCCCCTCGTGTTCGGGCTGGGAACCCGGAAGGAAAGTTGGCAGCAAGAGCCCGGGATATCCACAGATGCATCCTGCCGAACTTCGTTCCGAGGCTGGCTCCTGCTGTGCCCCTCGTTTCTTGATTGCGGTAAGGCCTTCGCAAGTTGGTGCACCATTAGGTTTCCTTTTGAAGTTTGCACCCCCAGCCGGGGCGAGTGTCACGATGACAAAATTGGAGCGCGAATCGGGGAAGCCAGCCACCCAGGCCCGAGGTTCAACCCCACTCGTGGTCACATTCCGTGCACTCCTAGCCTGGAGCAGTGCCATGACGACAAGGTGGCTGGCTTCGACTTGGGAGGTGGTTTCGCTGACGCACTCAAGCAGCAAATCATGCAACTTGGGCAGTGCAAAAGATCCTTGCTGATCTTAACCTGGGCTCCCTGTTGGGGGGTCAAGCTTCAGTGCCACTGGCAAACAGCCCGTTTGCTCCTTTGCTTCCGAATGCTGCAGCGGCTGCGGTGCTCCGCCCAGACCCCGCAAAAAGCGTAAAAAGAAGGGGCAACAGCCCCCAGCAGAGCAGCCAGAGCCCAAAGGCAAGGCCAAAGGCAAAGGCAAGCACAAAGGCGGAGGTGATAAGCCCCAGCCCCCCCGGCCGAGGCCCCCGCGAACCCTTCCCGAGGTAAGGGCACTGGCATCACTCCGGAAGATGCCAAGGCTGGTTGGGTTACCGTGGGCCCCAGAGCCCGACCGAAACCCAACGACGACTTTTGCTTGCGTGCACAAGACTGGGATAAGCCCCTGCTTGACCCAACCAAGTTTGCTGAAAAGCTTGAGGCTCTCCCCTTGGGTGAGACACTGACGGGTGTAATTTGTGCACTTCCGAGCAAGCTCAGCTTATTAAGGCCATGGCGGCTGGATGTACCAAGGCCTACTCCATCGCTCTGGTAAGCCTCGATCCTGCGGGTACCGCCCGGATCCCACGTGAAGGACCAGCTGCAATTCCGCAGAGCCACCACGGGCTTTCTTCGTTCCGATCCGACGGGCACCCTCCCGGCGCCTAAGGGTGCAAAGCCCACTTTTGCTGTTGTGCGCAAGCCCTCTGTGGTCCTACATGCTAGGATCCCCAAGAGCTTCGCTACTGAAAAGCTTTGGGCCGCTGTTGCAAAGACACCCTCGCGCGTCATGATGCAATGGATGGCAGACCACCATGTCAACGTGCTGGACGCCTGGGGCTGGAAAGAGGAACGCCTTGCTAAGGACCTCCAGCTGTATGGCCTTCTCAGGGTCAGCGAGAGTGACTTGAAGCCGGTGCTTGCGTTGTCCGGCATGGACGGCATCTTTCTTGAATGCGCCAGGAACAAAGAAGCACCGAAGCTGGCCACCAAAAACACTTGGGTTGAGCCTGCCAAGGGCGAGGTCCCGAGCGAATACCTTGCTCGCATGCGGCGATCGGCAGGGGACCTTGGTCTCGCACATCGTGGCGGAAAGCTCGGCCAAATTGCGCCTCTTGCCGATGGGGAACCCATTGCAAAGATCTGGTCGTTGCCGTGGGTCGCAGCCGACTGGACTGTTGAGCAGGTCACCGACCTGCTAAAGGATTCCTTCACTGAGATTGCCATGCTCAGGCAGTTGCGCAAGAAGGCCTCCAAGGTGTTTTATTTTCGAGCTGCAGCCAAGGAGCCGGATCGGGATCTCATTCCCCTCAGGGCCAAGGACGGCGACGCTGAGCTGACTTTGTGGGCCACGGTTGCACCTCTACGCCGGTGCGACAGCAGCGGCCTTTGAAAGCCTCATCGGTTTTGCCTTTAGCCCCCCGAGCCTCCATCTTCGATCCTCAGCCCGTGCCTGTGCCTAGTGCTCCCGCATGCTCCCGCTGAGAACCAAGATGGTCAGGAGGAGCAAAAGGAGGTCAGCGCCCCGAAGCGCTCCAAGACAATGGCCCGACAGGTGCCGCAGGGCACCAAGCTGCACCCGCAGCCAGGCGACGGGGCTTGCATCTTTCACACGGTTTCGGCCGGCCTGACCTGGCTGCACCGTGAGGGTAAGAAGCGGATCCCCATTGCGCGGGAGTTGCGAGCAACCGCCATCGAACACTTGAAGAAAAACCAGGACAGGTATGAGCCTTACTGGGATCAGATGGGCCCAGACGGGAATAAACTTAAGACGTGGTCCGACTATCTGGAAAAGCTGGCTTCAGAGTCGGCTTATGGGTCCGACATTGAGATTAGAGCCCTTGCAAAAATTTGGGATATCAAGATCATTGTCATTCCCGAAGCCCCCGAGCTCTACCCCGAAGCGTGCAATCCGCAGGCCGCCAAGGGCACCATTGCCGTGTGGCTCAGCCAAAGGCACGTCGATCTGTTGCTGCCTGACCCTGAAAATGGCACCTACCCTAAGGAAGTCTTGAATGTAAAGTCTGGGCCGGCGGTTGCCTTCCGAGCCGGGGGGGACTCAGCTAGTGAAGCGGCCAGCACCTTGCAGAGACCACCCACAGTCTGGACTCAGTCCGCTGGCCGCGGTAGGGCCATTCCTTCTGAAGCATCCCGGCCCACCACCCTGCGGCCTCCCACCACTGTGTGGACTGACCAGTCCCAGGGCGCGGCCATTCTTGATTCTAAGGCTTGCCGGGGTTCCGACTGTGATGTTGATGATGCTGATTTTCTTGAGGAGACGACTTTCCAAGCAAGCAGCAGCCGAGCCACCACAGGCAAGCGCAAGCGCTACAAGGCACAAGTCCCTGGGGACGTCCCGCACAAAGGATTCTACGTATGCAGACTTTGCGCATTTCGCACCCCAGTTTCAAATCAGAAACAACTTTCAGTTGCGCGCTACTCTCACTGCATGCGCCACCATGGTGGCGAGGGCTTGCCAGGCTTGGCCAAACGTGGCGAGCAGTACGTCGCGCAGGTCACAGATCAGGACAAAGGTCTGTTCTGGAAGTGCAAGTGGTGCCGCAGCGGCATACGCAGAGCTGTCGGGGAGGCTGCCAGCCCCAAAATCATTGCCCAGGCGATTCGCGAGCACCTCCGCGCCAAACATCCTCGCAAGAATCAGGCGGCCAGGCAACAGGCCCACGTCGGCACCTCACATGCTCAGGCCACCAGAGTTCGCCAATGGAATGCCGCCGTATCCAAGACCTTTGCCAAGCGCACTGAACTTTTGCACAAGGGATTTCAGAGTTTTCTCTGGCCTATTTTGAAAAAGTTTCGTAAAGGCCGGCCAGACCTCCGCATCTCTTTTATACGAGCATGGCGCTGCGGCACTTGCCAAATGTGCTTCAAGAACCTCGCTTGTGTCAACAATCATAAAACTTGCAAAGCCGTCAATGTAGCCAACAAACGCAAGCTTACAGATCTTGCTATAAGGTCCGCGCGTGGTGCCTGAAGCACCCAAGCAAAAATACTATGTCTGAGGCCGAGACGCTAAAAATCTTTGCATTGGCCAAGCTAGCCCTCCAGGGGCGTGAGCTCAAGTCGCAGGTGTGATCAGGGTCGCCTCTTGCAATTGGCTGGAGCTGGCATTTCACGCACTGTCTTGACTCTCCAGCACTTAAAAAGAATTTTAATCCCGACATCATTTCTCTCCAAGAAGTTGACATCCCCAAGCGGTGTGCGGCAGCATACGCCAGGGAGTGGAGAGCTTTGGGATGGCAAATTGTTTTGGCCGAAGCCGAACCACATTCAGGATTGCACAGGGTCGCCGTTGCGTGCCGCATTCAGTGCCGCCCCGTCAGCCTGACAACCGAAATTGCGCGGACTCGTCATGCAGCCATTCTCGGAAACACAGGCTGAACACCTCCGCCGACCTCTCCTCATGGTTGCAATTTATGGGTTTTCGGGGGATCCTCCCACCACCAACCTCATGGTGGATGAGCTCGGGGCTGCTTGCTATGCATTCCGAGGACCACACATTCTCTTAGGAGATTGGAATATGACTTCTGAGGAAGGCTCGGTGCAAAATCATTTGATGTCTGGAGCCCTTCGATCCATGGACGAACCTTTCCCCATGGAGCTTTGCAGCACGAACCCGGGCCGAACGCGGCGCATTGACTATGGATTGTGCGATCCTTCAGTTTTCCCTTCTGAGGTGTGGCATCATGAAGGTTTGTGTGACCACACCACCGTGGGATACT